AGAAATTTGGTTGGATACCAACTGAGATATATGGATCGACGCCCTCTCGTGTATCATCCGGAGTCCCGATCATCTGCCTACTCCATAAGAGTACACCGCTCGAGCCTGTATATCATATCCATGTAGTAGAACAACGATGAATTACTATTTACTGCTGTAAGACATTATCGTGGTTGGGACACTTTCGAACTATTCTCGATACTACACTTTGGAGGGCCCTCGACGATAGAAAATTGCCAATATGTCCATCTGCTTGGTATTCAGGTAGGCTCGTAGGTAGACATACATACCTACCTAAAAGTTTTCAAAATGTTGTGGCGGTTCGGGCGCCACGAGTTTAGCGATGGAAAATCAGGGTCCACTTGTCAACAGTACAGTACTTGAAAATCTTCATGCAGATTCACTTGGTAGCGCATCTCAAGTTCTACAAAGCATGCTGGAATCAGTCTTGTCTCACCCGAAAATGTCAAAATTGCATTACAACATTCATTATCGAGTAGTTTTAAGTCTCGGTAATGGAAAAGGGGTCGATGAGGAATCATCTTGGACCGAAGTTTGGAGGGGTGAAGGGTGAACTCGATAACAAAGAAGTACCTACACAACATGATCTATGTGCTCACATCATTAACGTTAACATTAAATTCGCGCAATAATTGTCGCACTACTTTACGTGTCACTCTTAAACATAATCATCAGGATGCAGGCTGCAGGCTGCAGACTGCATCCGTCAACGGTCATAAACTTCCACGATATCGTCATTTTAGCGGAAAAGGGTTGTCGCGTGAGTCAATGTGCTGAATTAAGCTTTCATCTCCATCCTCTTCTCGATCATCTCTGATCTACTGAAAGGGATTTATCTTAGAAGAGCTTTTAGCACAGGGTGATCCAAACCAAAAGTGACTCGAGACTCATCCACGTGTACTGATGATTGGCTGGATAAACCCTTTTGAAGGCTAACTATAACTACTGCCAATTGACTCTTCGATGAGTGAGACATAAGGAAAAACACCTTGAGAGTTACTGGGTAGTCAAGACTGTCAAAAGTTAGTATGGACGGAGGATTTATATGAATCAAGGAAACTTTCCATTTCTTCTAGAGTACTGGGAAACTTCGTAAAGCTAAGACACAAAGATTCATCGTGTTTGAAAGACGGAACAACTCATCACAAGTTCATTCTTCATTATCGTCGTGGCCCAAGAGAAAATTAAATATCTCATCTCTTTCTCTCTCTAAGAAAGAAAAGAAACCAAGCTTTTTAATCGCACAGGTACCCGCCGTTCGGTCGCGAATCTTTCCACGAGGGGGGAGCAACCAACAATCAATTTACTCGATTTTTAATCATAAAAAGACAGGGAAACGGAGTCAGTCATTAATCACAACTCATCATTTTTTTTCCTTGGGAAGAATCTGGAATCCTTTTTCCTAAACCTCTATTTACTACCTATACATGAGAATGATTTCCTTTTCCTAAGACATACATACTCTTTTCTTCTTTTCCAGTTTGATTTTTGAAAATATGCGTGTAAACGCAATATGCATAGCAGTCTGTCTGCTTCGATTTTCTCCTGCTGCCGTTGCCAAACCCCTCGGTACCACCCAATCGAGCCTGCAAGTGCCATTGGAGGACCTGGATACTACACACCATCAGCATGTTGCCTCTAAACGTCTGCATGGTAGATTCTTGCACATTACAGGTGGGGTTAAATCATTATTTCGCCATTCAATGTTCCTGTACGATGCTCATTTATTATAGATTTACATCAAGATCCTCACTACAAAGCATTCTCTTCCACCGACGAAGATGATGCCTGCCATAGAGGCAAAGGAACTGCTGGAACATATGGGGCAGAGACCTCGGATTGCGATACACCTCCTACCCTTATAGATGCGACTTTTAAATGGATAAAGGAAAATGTGAGGGATAACGTGGATTTTGTTGTATGGACAGGGGACAGGTTGGTTCTGCTTGAACGAACAGCCAATCGTCGCAATGTCGATTTGGCTTTGTGCGAGGAGAGATGCTGATTCGAAATAGTGCACGACACGACAGCGACGAAAAGATTCCTAGAGTCCAAGACGAGGTTCTTGATTCGAATAGGAAGATCGCAGATAAATTCCTGGAGACTTTTGGCGATGGACACGATTTATCGATTCCGGTTATATCAACATTTGGCAACAACGATATTCTTCCACATAACATTTTACTTTCGGGTCCGAATAAATGGTTGAAGACGTATACAGATCTATGGGATAAATTCATACCAGAAGAGCAGAGACATGGTTTTCAACGAGGAGGATGGTATTATGTCGAGGTTATTCCTACGAAATTGGCCGTCTTCAGTCTGAATACTTTATACTTTTTTAGCCACAATGCCGCTGTGGATGGTTGCGCATTGCGCTCAGAACCCGGATACGAACATATGGAATGGCTTCGAATTCAACTACAATTTATGCGCGACCGCGGAATGAAAGTTATCCTTACTGGGCATGTACCGCCTGCTCGAACAGACAGCAAATCGCTTTGGGACGAAACTTGTTGGCAAAAATATACCTTGTGGCTCCAGCAGTATCGGGATATTATTATCGGAGGTTTATTTGGGCACATGAACATTGATCATTTCATGATACACGACACTAAAGATATTGATCTCTTATTATTTGACGGTAAATCTGTTGCGCCTCCTCGCGCGCTAATGGACGATGAGTTTACAATTTCATCTGCTGGAGATTACTTGGGTGATCTTCGAGAAGATTGGTCTGGATTACCTAATCCAAAACACCTACCGATTGTCATGGACACTGACGAGGAAGAACTGGACTACTCAGAATTGAATAAAGATTCGAAGAAAAATAAAAAGAGTAAGAAGGACAAGAAGAGAGACAAAAGGAACAAAGAGCTCAAGAAGTTTGGAGGTCCATGGGGTGAAAGGTTTGTGGTAACACACGTTGGTCCGAGTATTGTGCCCAATTACTTTCCTACTCTTCGGGTCATCGAGTACAATATCACAGGGTTGGACGATTTGCCAAGGTGGTCCAATTCAGTTGTGAATAATGATGAGCAAATTGATTGGCTTGATCAAGAAGAAGAGGATCTATTCAACGTCGATGCCGGTGTAGATTCGATTTACGCAGATAATGGCGATGTTTCTACCGAGAAAAAGAAGAAGCACCAGAAAGACAAGAAGAAGTTCAAAAACCCGACGCCGTCAAATCCAGGATTCATCATTCCGTCGCCTCCTTCAAAAGATGCGCCTCCGGGACCGGCATATTCTCCTCAAAGTCTAACGTTACTTGGGTATACTCAATATTTCGCTAATCTGACCTACATCAACAATCTTGAATTGAAATCAGAGGGTTCTAAAGATGAGATTGACGTGGAGAAATGGCGTAAGGGTAAACACGGCGGAAAGGTTCCAAAGGACGATGACCCAAACCCACACGCCTTTCATTATCAAGTCGAGTATGACACTTTCACGGATCCAATTTATAAGTTGAAAGATATGACAGTCAAAAACTATCTCAAGCTGGCTCATAGGATTGGTCAGTATAAGCCACAAAAGGGGGATCGTGTTAAGGATGGAGAGATTCTGGGAGAATCCAATGTCTACGAAGATGACGAGGGTAGTGAGAACGATGACAAGAAACAAATTTCTATCTCCGAGAACGAAACCTTTGAAGATGCCGAGGATCATGATATCAATGCAGAAAAGAAGAAGAAAAAGAAGCACAAGAAAAAGAAGCATCATCGCAAAGAGAAGAATAGAGTGTGGCTTAGCTTCGTTAAGCGTGCTTTTGTCGGTACATTAGACGAGGACGATATCAAATCCTTTGATGATGGGCTGGAGGAGCATGTTCAAGAACCGTTGGTTCCTGTTCCAGAAGATGGAGAAGGGCTACATAGTTTGGAATTGTAATGTTCTTTTAGCGTACATGGATTGGAGTTGCATCAGATTGGGTTGGTGTTTGGTTGTTTTACTTGTCTTGCATTTATACCATTACGATGGAAACGAAACATGCATTTGGAGTTCGGTTTTGTGTATGGATTATTACACCTCAAATGAGGTTGTGCTATGCATTATGGAGCGGTGCGTAAGAACATGATATGGCACCGTGGAGTTCTGGTTTTATGGTTCAGATGAGTGTATGGATGATGGTATCGCAGTAGCATGGATATTATTCCTCGAACTCTTACTCTTACAATACCTAAATAATCTTCATACGAAAGCCTTAATTGAGGCAAGATTTTACGATCTTACAATTTTCTTCAAGCTTCTGTGCGGTGATGACCTATCCTTCAATTTGAATTGGTCCTTCATTATACATGTTTAATTTGCTAGATTGGTTGCTACTACGACTAATCAATCAGGCGATCAATCGCCATTTGAAAATCCATACTTGAATCCCGAATTTTCAAATCCCGATGTAGTATTTACAGACGCAACGCAATCAACCCCAAGTTGGAGTAAGCACCTCGCAGCGTGGTAGTTACTAACGACTTATTATTGTTATTCGATCGCTGGTATGACATAAGACATGGGTTCTGGGAGTTCTGGGGTTTGGATCTAGTGAAGGAGGTGGGATAAAATGACGGCATGTGGGGTAGGTAGCTTTGGTTCTGATTGCACATTGCAATTATCAGTACACAACATGTATGGAACAATGATCTCGATGACGAATAGATGCATTACGTTAAAGTGCCTAGGTATGTATAGGAATGCGCATTTGTAAGCTATCGGCATATGAACTATAGCTTTGCTTGTAGAGCATTCTAAGTGAATGATGAGATTGGCATAGCATTCCCCGGGTTAGCTTCTAGAACTTGGAACCCCTCATTCCATTCATAAGAGGCGAGCTTTCCCTTCCTTCATTTAATATCTAGGTAGTATCTTCTTCATTTCAACATCTCATTTGCCATTGACACATTAGCTACACGTATACATACACATACACATACACTACAAAACATTAATTCCAACCATCAATCCTAACTATCAAAACCATGACCTACGAACGCCAACGCGCAATCGAATCCTACGGCTGGACATCTGTCCCTGCCTCCCTCTCCGAGCTCATCAAATCCTCTTCTTCAGCCTCTAACCCCGCTCCCGCGCTCAAAATATCCGATCTCCCATTCCCTGCATCCCCCCTCGTAAAAAGCGTTCAGGAATACGCACGCACCGAATTACCGCAAGAGACCTTCCACCATTCTATGCGCGTCTACCACTACGGCGTCGCGATTCTCACGCACGCATTCCCAAACTGGACCTCTATCAACTCCTCTAGTAAATTTCTCGAAAGCTACGCGCTCACGGCTCTTCTGCACGACATCGGGACCGTGCCGCGACATTTGCAGGAGACGCTTATGAGTTTTGATCTTTACGGGGGGTTTATTGCAGATGGGGTATTAAGGGATGCGGGAGCGGCGAGAGAACAGCGGGAACTGGTTGTGGAGGGGATCATTCGACATCAGGATCTGGGAGAGGTGGGGACGCAGACGAGGGTTGGGGGGTTGGTGCAGTTGGCGACGGTTTTTGATAACATGGGGCAGAATGCGCAGTTGGTGCACGAGGGGACGATTGAGAATGTGGTGAGGGAGTGGCCGAGATTGGGGTGGAGTATGTATTACTTTTTTTTCTTCTGTATCTTTTTTTGTGATGTTTCGGAAGGATTGTGGGATGTTTGATGTGGTTTGGAGATATTTGGAGGCTTGTGGGAAAATAAATGTCGAGGTGCTAATTGGGCGGTGCTAATAGGTAAATGTTTTTCGCATACGATCGAGCAGGAGAATGCTTTGAAACCATGGGCTCATTCGACACATTTGGGAGTGAGGGATTTCCCCGATGGAGTGTTGGGGAACAAGTTGATGGAGAAGTGGGACTGAGAATGCGGATGTCTTAACAGAGAAGCGGGTGGGCGAGGGACGAGTAAGGGTGAGTAGTATGATGATGGATGAGGAATTACAAGTGAATGCCCCATGAGACAACGAGACGAAAGGAACGAAAATGGCATCCGGAAGTCATACAGGAAAAGAGCAATAGCTGGGGAGAATAAATGATATCTACGGCGTGGAAATACGATCTCAATAACATTAGAGGAGCAAAACAAATCTACCTTCCTGTACCATCCCAATTCCCCTTCAATATATCTTTAAATCTCAGCACACATATCAACAAATCAAGCAAGGCGTCGTGACGGAGTGGTTAACGTGATTGACTAGAAATCAATTCCTTTCGGGGGCGCATGTTCGAATCATGCCGACGTCGATATCTTTTTCCTTTTGCTCATCTATCATATCCATACCACTATGTTTTTTTATACATCTCCCAACTCTTCATCTATTCATCCATCTACACACCAAAACAATCTCTCCATACCAGTATCTTTTTTCAACTTCTTCCTTCAAGTACCTACCTATCAAGCTTTTGTGGGTAGCTATGGATGTGTCCTATGTGTCTTATTTGCTACGTGCGAATATGTGGATGATGAAAATGAGAAAATGTGGATTCGGCAGTGAAAACTTCAACGAGCGGTGGAAATGAAGATCCGTTATGACTTATCCAGGGGCCAAGCGAGATCAGATCGGGTCCACCCGTTTAGTCCAGTCCAGTCCAGTCCGGCAGGAGAGATCAAAAGATGTTGGAGATGATATACATAATATACTCATGTGACTTTCTTGTATCGAATGAGATAATTATTGTTAAGTTGAATTGAGAGTTGTATAGAAAGATGTATTTATGAGATTTAGGTTTAATATAAATTGGTAATGTCATAAGATATTGCAATATAAAGGTTTTCAATGTATGATTGATTCCCTTGGAAAGATTTGGTGTACCGCTTTTTCGGCTACATGGAGCCACCTTTCACCTCGTGCCGCAACCGAGCCGAGCCTTATGAACGTCCTCATGCCCCGTTTCTGTAATTTCTTAAGCACTTGGGTGTATTTATCGTAGACATAATTTCCGATTATATCTCTGCATTTCCGAATACCGAGGCGCGAGATTGTTCTGGAGTGTGGAATTTATTTGATACCGAGTACATGATGTCGAGGAAATGAGGATTAAGAGGGGGGTGGTTCCTGATCGATGGATAGATCTAATACGATTTCAAGCCCTTGGTTTCGGTGTGGGTTCACTAACATACACAAGATCTGCTGTCACCTATAGTTTCAGAACTCCCAAGGCTGGTTTAAATATGTTCGTCGTATCCTTTGCCTACCTAACAACTAATGTCCCGAAGATGTTGCATGGAACATGGATAGAATGAGTATTAGATCAACCCGAGCAAGTATAAACTACTGTGAAATATACAGGGCCATGTCTCTATCAACCATGAAGACTCTTTGAAATGACTTGTGTTCTATACCTGAGAAATTGGATACAAAGGTAGCACTCGCGTGTAGCACAGTGACATAGAAAGCCAAGCCGTTATTCGATGTGTGTTCCAAACGCCATTGCATCATCTGAACATCTTTGACCATAAGCCTCCAAACTAAGGTATTTGGGCGGGCCGTCAAGAAATGAGACAATCTTGTTGGGATTAAACCATCAACCGACGCAGGGTTAGTTGAGCTGGCATTGTGATGAAGGGTCCATTAACCAAATATGAACCTATCCTTCGTCAGTTTACCTCCTTTCTTGAGTACCGCGACATTTTACAACACTTCTGTGGTTGTGTTGTGCAGTTGAGGCGAAGAGTGGAATAGAATTCTGGGATGTCAAATCTCTGGCAGCCATGCTCATGAAAGATTAGCACTCCACAAATAAATTCCTGAACAAGCTCACGAAATTCCCTTGGCCCTTGGATAGTCCAAATCCAAGAAAGTAATACCGTAGTTAGGTGGTCAACCTTGATTTGAGCAAGCGAATATCAAATTTCGAAAGCGAATGGCAAAATGCCAGTATAAGAATGGGTGGCTCGCGCAGTCATCTGCACAAATAACCAGGCAATTTGATGCTCATGCAATAACAATGCTATCTACAGCCATCTTAGCCATTTTGAGGATCTCCAAGCACCCCCTTGTTCTCTCCCCATAGCATTGCCTGACAGTCAAATCTGCAACCTTCAAATCTGGGAAGTGGTCATGCTCTAGCGACCGCACACCCGCAGCAACTTGTGCATCTAATATATTGTGACGAGCGTTCTGTCTTTGCTCCATCTCGGAAATGAGATCTCTTAATCCTTTGTACTTGAATCCAGGTTGGTCATGGCCATAGATGTCAGCTCGCAACAAAGCTCTTACAGTAGTTCGCCACTCTGCTGGTTGCATTTCTCTATCTGCCATGGATAATGCGTCACCTATGCACTCTATTGCCTCGTTAATTGGTCTTTGGTGCTCGCATAAACCACCATATTCAAGATACCTAAAGATTTTGGTCTGCCCTTTAGCAATTGCCTCAGCAGTCGCTTCGTCAACCATTTTTAGTAAACGGCCGTATCCATTCGCTATGATAGGTAATATAGTTCCGATGAGCATCGTATTTTGGAAGGCCTCAATAGGGGGTGTGGGTGAAATTAACGCTATCGCACCACAGGAGGGGCACCAAATGGCTTTCGATGCCACAATACTAGCGCCACGAACTACCTTTAGAGCTTCATCGATTTCACTTGGGAACTGTTGCAATGCTGATAGTGACAAATACATTGATGATAAGCAGCTGCATTTATCGCCTGATATTGGAAAGGGACCATCACTACCATTAGGCGAAGAGGAGGAAGGATTTGACCCCGTTGATAATTCAGCTTCTTGGTTGGCTGCGGGTTGAGTTTCACCCTGTTTTTCCATATTCATACTACTAGAGTCGATGGCAGCAGGGCCTAGCATATCACCGTTTCCAAAATGCCACATATTCCGGCCATCATCTACATTTGAGGCCCAGAGAGGATGTGGGGTGTCCAGAGGGAGAGTTTGTGGAAATTGCTGGGCATCATCAAATCCATTGAAATTCGAATTAGTATAATATGGTTCAGCAAAGTCGTTGTCATCGAAATTGTAAGGTTCATCGCCAAAGAGAGGGAGTAATGTGCCATCATCGAGAAGAGGTTGTGGGTTGTTTTGTGTATCGGGTGGTTCAACTCTAATAGTTTCGATAAATTGACGCTTTCTTGGTCTACCCATTTGTTTCTGTTGAGAGTAATGACATGATACGTTTTCTCGCACACATCTTTCACATCCATTAGGATCCTTTGAGCATGCAAGTTTTCGGATTCCTATGTCCAATCAGTAGTTGTACATAGAATGATGCTTTCTAGTTCTAGGTAACTCACTGCACTCATCACAAGCGCGACGTTTTGCCGCAGTATCCTTTTGTTTACCTGTTGAATCCATCACCATGTGAATCACCTTGTTAAGAAAATGGAGATTGTGAATTCAGATAATTGATGAAGCAAATTGATCTCAATTCAATGCAAAGATGGTGAACAGTTGTTTCTTACTGTAATTCAGATGCAGAGCAGGGTTCGAGAGGCTCAAAAGAGGCTACTGGCATGCTCCAGGGCAACAAAAGACGCTAAGATAACAACCTCCGATAAGCCCTTCGACCAATTTTTCCAGGAAAAAAAATCTAATAAAGCTTTCGGATTCTAAACAGTGCCCAAATTATTGCAAAATATTGTAACAATGGCACCTCCAACAAACCAACGAAAGCGCAAAGCTGTTACCCGAGATGAACCTGAGATATCCGATGTCGAATCTGAGGCAGAATTTGGTGATGGAATTTTAGAAGGAATCTTGTCGCAAAGTGAAGATGAATCCGACGACAGCGCAGCAGAGGAGGACAGTGAAGACGAAGAAGATTTGGATGAGGAGCAACTCGAGGCATTGGATAGTGATGAGGTACCCTCAGAGAATGGCGAGGGAGAAGGATCCACGACAAGAACTTCTCTCAGCAAACTCAATGCCGACGATGACGATGACAAGCCCAACTATACTGTGGTGAAGGATGCTAATGGAGGAGAACGTTATGTTTATGAGGAGATAGATCCAGTCTACGACTCGGATGATTCAGATGCCCAAGAGCCAACTAATACTATTGGAAACATCCCATTGTCGTTCTATGATTCTTATCCTCACATTGGCTATGACATCAATGGAAAGAAAATTATGCGACCTGCAAAGGGTGAAGCACTCGATGCATTGCTAGATAGTATCGATGTTCCAAAGGGATGGACAGGTCTTACAGATCCTTCTACAGGCAAGCCTCTCAACTTGACTCAAGAGGAATTGGAGGTTCTGCGCAGGATACAAACAAATGAAGCTCCTGAAGATGGTTACGACCCATATCCTGTAAGCACTTCTTTCCATATCTATGTTGTATTATCGGACTAACTTGGTATAGGATTATGTTCCATATTTCAGCGGCGTCGAGGAGATTATGCCTCTGAGCTCGGCTCCTGAGCCCAAACGACGTTTCTTGCCATCCAAGCATGAAGCAAAGCGAATCATGAAGATTGTTCGGGCAATTCGAGAAGGTAGAATCTTACCATATAAACCACCACAAGAGCGCGAGGAAGAGGAAGAAGAACACCATTACGATATATGGCAGAACGAGGAGGCGCAACCAGATCATATCATGAAGATCCCAGCTCCAAAGCCACCTCCACCAGGATACGATCTAAGTTACAACCCACCTCCTGAGTATCTCCCATCTAAAGCAGAAAGAAAAGAATGGGAAGCTACAGATCCTGAGGATAGAGAAAAGGAGTATCTACCAACGGCATATGATTCTTTACGAAAAGTACCGGGATATGATAAGTTTATCAATGAGAGGTTCGAACGTTCGCTTGATCTCTACTTGGCACCGCGAGTTCGCAAGAATAGGCTTAATATCGACCCTGCTTCTTTACTTCCAAAGCTACCAAAGCCAGAGGAACTTAAGCCTTTCCCAACTGTCACACAGACGCTATTCCGCGGCCATGATGGTAGGGTACGAAGTTTGGCCATTGATCCATCTGGAACATGGCTGGCTACCGGCGGTGATGATGGTACTGTTCGTGTTTGGGAACTTTTGACCGGAAAACAACTCTGGAGTGCGCAGATAGGAGATGAGGAGGCAGTTAATGCTGTTAAGTGGCGCCCAGCGAAGGACGCTATCATACTTTCTGCCGCAGCTGGAGAGGATATATTCCTTATGGTACCTACCATAATTGATCCTGTTTCTGAGAGCAATAGCCGAGAATTATTAGATGCTGGATTTGGTTATGCAACAAATGCCACCCAAGCACTTACGGCTAACGGACAGAAGAAAGAGCCTGTCGCTACCTGGGCTCGTCCTACCTCACGTCTACAAGATGAAGGTGTACTAATCAAGATCACTGTAAGATCCACAGTCAAGGTCATCAACTGGCACCGAAGAGGTGACTTCTTTTCTACTGTATCCCCTACAGCTCAAAAGTCGGCCGTTGCAATCCACACTCTCTCGAAACATCTTACACAAATTCCATTCAGACGTCTTCCCGGTATCGCCCAAACTGCTCAATTCCACCCCTCTCGACCCATTTTCTTCGTTGCCACTCAACGCACAATCCGCAGTTACGACTTACAAAAACAAGAATTGGTCAAGATCATTCAACCTGGTGCTCGCTGGATCTCTTCTTTCGATATCCATCCTGGAGGTGACAATCTCATCGTTGGTTCTTATGATCGTCGTCTCCTATGGCATGATCTTGACCTTTCTACCCGCCCATACAAGACTATGCGTTTCCACAATAAAGCTATTCGAGCTGTCAAATACCATAAAGGTGGTCTTCCATTGTTTGCAGATGCTAGTGACGACGGAAGTTTGCAAATCTTCCACGGAAAGGTTGTAAGTGATGCGATGGAGAACGCTACTATCGTACCAGTGAAGGTTTTGAAAGGACACAAGGTCAAGAGCGCTTTAGGTGTCATGGATCTGGACTGGCATCCAAAGGAGCCTTGGCTTGTTAGTGCTGGTGCGGATGGTACATGTAGATTGTGGACTTAATAATGCAGTGTTCAAAAATGGAGTACGAAGGTGTTTACAAGGTTGTCATGAGGTTCTATTAGATATCAATGGTAGAAAAGCATGAAGAATTTGATAATTTTAACAATTGATTTTGTTTATTATTTCATTTCCTGGTCTCTACAAGTGTGTTTGAGTAAGAATGTGAATATCAATCCGCCATGCCCAATATTTGATCCGCGACATCGTCGTCATGATGCGTATGCTCCATGCACTATCAGGCAGCTGCTTACTCGTCTTTGTAGGTTACCAATTTATACTTTTGTTTGTGCTAACTAGCACAACTTACAAATTAGGATGCAGTGGAAGATACATACGTCACATAACATGCAAAACCATACTAGGAACACTTTGAGGTTCAAAAACAATATCAAAAGCGTCTTACATTCTACACCACGCGGAGGGCGGCGTCTTCCGAGAATTCCTTTGGTCAATTTCTTGGCTTTACAACCTCGCCCCAATTTTGCAAAATACTACATGTTGGAGACTCTGATATGAAGTTAGGTGCTTAAGATTTCAACTAGCATGACTTCCAGTCAATCAGACAAAAGTCGCTTTTCTCAGCCCTTGCTGTACGACTCAAGGCTACACTTGGCGGGCGGTTGCCTTTGGTATCGATATTGTGCAGAGTAACTGGAAGAAAGTAAGTTAGGATGAGGAATCATGTGCTAAAGCATCGAGGCAGTATCGTACATGAGACGAAAGGATCGACTTTGCGCGTCATTGTAGCCAACAATTTTAACCGAGCGGAACACCTTTGTGTCATTGTGCTCTAGGCATATCGGGATGTAACATTCAGGGCAATGCCGAGATTCTCAGAAATCTAAGTATTTGGCACAAACCAGTTGAGGAGTTCCTGCACAATAAATTTATTTGAAACCCGTGAATAATCATGATAGAGACAGAGAGTCAGAGTGACCGTCCATGGAACGAACGCATGTGATAACCTCGGTTAAGAGACCTGCGTTCAATTGAAAGTATTCTTGGACAACATAACATACAGGCAACTAATTTCATGATTGTAAGCTCGAATCTTCTTCGAGATAACCTGAATTTTACTTCATGATTGGTGTGCCCCTGGCTGGAGAGATGAAATGTCAAGTGATATCAGCCGAGGATAAGCGCAATCATGGTATGGCAATCAACGGGTAATTGCTTCAAAGCTTTACTCGCAGTTCAGAAGAGCAGCAAATTCTAGCCCAAAATTGTCGGAAATATTATGCCAGGCATCATTTATTAACAAAGTGAGGCGGACAGCACCGCCTCGAATGAATGGTTCAAACGTAACCTCGTATGCCACGGAATTCGAATCTCGCCCTTTATCGGCGGCTTGTTTTGCTCCTTCAATTCCGCCACATTCATAAATTTGCGCGTAGAAGGGCGTTGGTAGTAAGATTTACAACAAGCAGTAAATGTGCTTTTTCGATAATGCACATACCTGCTCGACCTCATATACTCCGATGTTCGGATACCTTCGTATGACCACCAGATGCTCTGAGCCAGCAAAGAGTCGATACCTAAGCCGCCCTTTTAGCAAAGCATGTATCCGAGCTTTATAGTGTAAGAAGGGTCTAAGTAGATTCATAAGTATCTGGTTTTCTCCTTGATTTTCCTTTCTTCATTCATTATCAACGAAGTTATCTAACTTTCAAGCCTTGTTTGACATTCGCACTTCGAGTCAAGCATATATATTGTCATCTCAGCCTTCTCTTCTGGCAACATCTAACCTCCCTTTATTTTCCGCATTTGTAGCATACTACCTTAGCAAATTACCAATCATATCGGGCTCCTTCGGTTAGCACGATTATCATTCCTTCCTAACCCGTTTCGTAAGTCATTCGCCCAAGCCTTGTCAGACGCCTCATATCTAACATTCCGAAAGTCTCTTAGCCTTTCAGGATGGCTCCTCCGGTCTATAATGATAACACTGAAGACACTCATCGAAATGATTTAGATGACTGGACTGTCATTTGTCAATTCTGTCTCAAACCCGTCTCGGCAACCAGACCTCCTATCTACAATGAGGTTAATTGTAGTTGCTCAGAGCTTGGCACTCATTCTGCCGGTATCACCCCGTTCACTCAGGATGATACCCAAATTTTGGAGCCAAATGTTACTATTTATGAAGAACCTGCCTATACATATCAACGTCCTATCCAGGGATATGTTTCCTCATACAACCAGACTTCAACTCTGCATGAAGAACCTCTTGCTTATAAGAACAGCAACAAGTTCGGGGACTTCACAACCAACTGGAACAATGATGATCTCAAAAATGGTACCAGAAATATACAAGACCAGCCATACTCTGTCAGTGGCTACTCATGGGCTTTCTGTTCCTGGCTGAAGGAAAACGAGTCCTCATGTACTCTCGCATACAGATCTTCATCAATGAAAGCGAAGAAGGGAAGCAAGCGAGGTGACTCCAGTCTTCATAACTCTGGTAGTAATGTGGAACTCGGATACAACGGGTGGGGACCTGATCCCCTCACAGAGACTGGAGCATGGACCAGTGAAAAGTACCATGACACAATTGAGAGTACATTGGTTATGAGTGGCATGAACAGTTCTTAGTCGTGTCAGTTAGTGTAGTCGTTTTAGTTTCAATTTGGTCTAGGAAATAATGCTGGAACAGGTCATGTATTATGAGGTGTTTTCTTGGTTCGACAATCTTTGATTTTGGGTGCAAGGGGTGTTGGCATGGGGGTAAATTGACTTAGCGACAAACTTTCGTTATGGACTCGCGAGACTTGGGTACTAGAAGGAGCTAATAGGAGTTATTCAATCCAATTTTTCACTATCAATGCTCAAAATAGTTTGGAAAACTCATATATGTTGAGCATATCTTACAGGGTTGAGCGGAGACGCGGTCGTTCCTTCCTAATTTCTCCAGTTCCCCTTTCCAATCTTGCTCATCACTTTATCAAATTGGCTATATCAAGTTCCCATTTCCCACGCTTTGGTTTTTCGCGTTTCAATTAATTGCCATGTTCCCAACGAATGTCAAAGTATGTGCAGTTTTCAGTCAATACTGGAAACAGTGAAATACAGAGTAAAGAACTCATTTATCTTTTGGTTCATCTCTGACTTCTCTTCTCACCAACTTTTCCCATTAGCACTTATTGTTCTGTATTCTCATTCATATCTTCCTGGTTTACATTAAGACATCTCCCGTCGTTCTCATCCAGATCTTCCAATACCATTTTGTGAGCCTACAGTTAAGGATAGAGCTGGCTAACCCGAAAAACTAAGCTCTTATGTATGAGAAAGAGGCTTCGGAAAGCTTTTGAGTAAATGATGAATTCATCTTGGCATTCTTTTATTTTGCATAACAGAGTCTTTTAAAATTCTAATAAGACTATCATTGGATCATTGTCTGCAAGTCCAAAATCTAGTTTGTAATCCATTGTTTTTTTTGCTCTTCCTTGTCTCCTGCTTCTATTTTGTCCACTATCTTCTGTATCACACTCTCTGTGAATTTATCTCTCTCCTTTTACAGTACGATTATCTCTGCCTTTCTCCATGATTTCAAATTCGTCTAAACTCTTTGTTATTTTTGTTGGTATCTCTGCCCCCAATCAAGTGATTTTGTGGTCAATTATATCTCTCAATTGAATATAAATTAAAGCCAAAAGCTTGATTGAGGCTTTTATGTTAGAAACTTCGTCTTTTAGGTACAAAGCACAGTCTGTAAGTACCAAATCAATGAAAATCGTTTGTTCACTTCAACAATGTATTAGTTTGAAAAGATAGCAAAGACAAAGATGAGCCTGGTAGATGATGTTCGTTAAGCAAAACATCAACTTGTCATATATTGATCTTAGGCACCAGGAGATATCGTATTGAGCTGCCGTACGTGAACCTTTCAAGGAAATCCCAGTAAAATTTGAAACTGATGGAAAGTGAAAGCCCAAAGTCCATAAAACACCATACACAAACTTCCTTCTTCGTAATTCTGGTGTTCAGATGTGGTACAGATACGATGATACCCCAACACGTCAAATTTCTAAAAATCAAGTACAGCAGCTCAAATTAGAGATTCTTGTTGATGCAGTCATTGGTTGCTGGAAATACCCTTATCACATAGAACCATTTATTCAAACAATACTACAGTGTTACAATATTGTGATTGCCCGCCTCGTACCGAGCACCCTGTACCGAGCAGTAGAACATGATCGAGCAATCTTTGTAAGATCGATGGCGATATCCCACAACTTGATTATGCTCTCTGCTCCTTACCGTAGATATATTGTCACTTTCTATTCATTTTGTCTCAGCAAGGCAGCTTCTTTAAATATCTTTCCCTGATCAACGAGTTCACCATACAACTCATCAAATCATCACCTCTTCCGCAATATATAAAACCAAAATGCCTCCTTCAAGCTATTTCAAGCAATGGCCGGAATTCCCTTCCAATGTACCAGTCGCCGATATGTCAAGAATCTCCTTCAAGAACTTGCAAGGCAATAATTCGAATTAATCTGCCAGGTTCTTTGACGCATGCAGAGACCAAGGTCACTTCCTACTTGACTTGAGAGATTCTAACAACGGAGAGACCCTATCTAACGAGGCAGGTCTTGGAAGCAGGAATAGAAAATGTCGAAGCTAATTGGAGATATGTTAGACCGGAGCCCGGCTGCGTCATTGTTCTAATCGGAGATACACTGGTAGAATGGACTGCGGGAGCTTTGCGTGCTTCTATACACCGTGTCGTTACTGCGCCGGGAAAACGGGCTGCTGCAACAAGATTAGGTCTAGGATATTTTCTCAGACCTTCTCATACTACGAGAATGTCTAGATTGATTAGCGACAATGGTACTCTCCCTATACTTGCACTGGGAGAGGCGGGAGACGAGCGTGGTGTTGCGGAATGGGCGCAGTGTAAAGCCAATGGAGATGTAGCGGCGGCGGTTGAGGCGGCGGGCAAAGGAAAGTAGGCAGCGGGGTTAAGTGATTGTATTAATTAAGAAGAGACAATGAAACATACTTGTTAGATCATAATCTGATCATCCTAGGCAAGCTACAGATACAAATTCACTTTCATACAATCTCTCGTGCTCTGTTTCTCTTTTTCTTTGCGTGTTTCCCTCAATAGCTCATACTCTTAAGCTCTCCAACCTCCCCACCACAAATTCCATCAAAGCCCCCGCTTCGACCCCATTTACATCTTCCCTAACCCCCAAGCATCTCTCCACCACCTCTCTATACCCCCTCCCAACTTTGCTCCCCAATCCCGGCACTAAATTCTGCACTACAATCTTATCCCTAAATTTCTCCGCCGAGTAATGTGGTTTATGATACGTCTGCAATGTTTTCCACAGGCCGATCTCTAGCAATATCAATCCTAGAGAATAAATATCAAAGGATTTGCAATACTCTTTGCGTGGACAAGAAGAGGAATGTAAAGACGAAGGATGACGATGGAGATCCGCTGCTGTAGGGTTGCGAGATGCGATGGACATTTCCCCCATATGATCTGGACGGGAAGCGTCAAAACCGAGGAGATATGGCGTGCTTATATCTGGTACGTTTTCCCGTTCCTTTGAGATACGGGGGCTTTTTGTGTATGCGCTGGGGAAAAAAAGGATATTGGAACTACAGAGATTTTTGTGCAGCCAGTCTAAGGAGTGAAGGGACCAGAGGGCAACAGAAAGTGTATGAGCGAGTTTAAAACGATCGCCTAGGTCGGGGGTGCGGAAATCAGTGCTGGTGATGAGAGAATTGAGGGTTGAGGAGGAGGACGAGGAACGATAGATAAGTCCGTAGCGAGAAGATGTGCTATCGTCTGTGTAGCCGAGACAATCAATTGTATGGAGATCTGGATGACGATCAGAAGCGCTATGAATCATGCGTGCGAGATCATCTATTCGACGAAGATGATTTAATCGAGCATCGAGGTCTTCTTTCTCGTATTCTACCCATTCAACTATGATCTCTTGTGGCTCGGCTAATGATGGATTTCTGTATTGCCCATGAGTTCTTCCCATGTCTGTATTTTTGACCACCAACGCATGGCGTTGAATCTTCAAGGTATAAGTTGGCTTGAAATTCTTGGTTTCCTTCTCGTCTAGGTTGATTCTCAATTGTTTGAGATTGGCCGAGACATTCAATGCCGGATACACCCCACTACTCGCCGCCTCCAGATCTTTCAGCTTGCCTAAATCTCGATGCGCACCTTGTAATAGTTCATTTGTCCACGTCCTGTGCAGAGTTGCTAGTCTTGATGGTGGAAACAGCTGTTCCAACCCATTGTTATAATCTTTCAGGTCCTGCAAAAGTACTGTGAACTTCTCCTTATCACTTATAACCCATTTAACCCTCTTCGACAACTCATTCCTCAAACTCAACTTCCCTATTCCAAGACCTCCTTTCTCTTTCTCCACCTCCCTATCCCAACTTTCTCTTCTCTCGATCTCATCTCTCCTTCCGCTCTCCTCTACAACCCCATACTTCTCTCTCAACTTCTGAAAGTCTGTAATAGTCTTGTACAATTCACTCAGAATCTCCATCGCCAAACCTCTCAACCTCGCATTGCCAATCCCCTCTTCTCTTTTCAACTCCTCCTCAAATCTTCCCTCCAAAACCCCCCACTCCCTACCCCAAACCAATAATCTCATCTCCTCAATCTTAATTTTGCAGATAAGTTTTTCCGAGTCTCGTGAGAGGTCAGAAGCGGTTGTGAAGAGTGAGTAGGCTGTTATACAGCCGGAGAAGATTTGACCAAGAACTCCAACGGCTCCGACGATCGAGAGAGCTGTACCAAGGACTTCTGCCATGGCGTTGGTTGTACAGTAGGGGATATGAGATGAGAGAGATAGTTTTGAGGGCACGCGAAGTGTAGGTACAATGCGATGTTACTGCATAAGATATACAAGACGACGCTACCTAATGAACAGACCTGTACATAACTAATAGGCTAATACCCAATCTCGTGTTAAAATATACATCAACATTAATGATCAATGTGGATGAAAGATATCGGTTATGTCATTCAAGAAATGCCTACTTATAATATAAACTTGACAGGTCAGCTTGTGATTAGCGAGAGAGAAGAAAAACTTTGGTTGCAGGTGATGATAGTGGCTTGCTGGGATTAGCAATGCAGGTCAGAGGTGGTCTGCGGCTGTCTGCTACTCGTGATAGGTGGGATGTGCCATCTTGCGTTTCTACGAAGGCTATGAAATTGTGCAAGAAATGACTTAGTTACTTACACTTGCATACGGAGGGATTTATTCTTGCAGCTTCTTTATGACAAAGTGCAATCTCTTGAAGATGTGCTAATAATACTATGTTGTTTCGAGTCATGTTGATGGCCTTGAAACAATAGTCTTTTCATTTTATTGAAACATGCAGGAAACATATTTAGCCCATAAGTCATTCATATACTTTGTAGATTGCCAGCTCTGAGATTTACAGTCAGAATATGTTGACGCTGTACTTAAAGTAAGCCGCCAATCTGATGAATCTCCCTTTAAAGGAAGAAACGATAACAATAATAGAAAACTTTCCCTCATCAAATTGAACTCCGCCCTAAATGCACGGCTCGCTGTTTGCTTTTTCCTGAACCTTCACTCCCTTGCTCTCGTTTCAACCTCACCACCGAAGTTTAGTAGACCTTCTTCTTCTCGTCGATTGAGTATTTCCCTGGTCCGCTGTTGACAAGGAGGAGGAGACCTCCTACAATAGATAGAATTTGGAAGAAATCGTACTTTGCGAAGTCCTTGTGGGGGTGGTGTTCGTGAAGCTATGGTAAATTAGTAAAGTGCCCCGCATAAGCAATAGAGCTTTACTTACAGTCCAAAAGTTGTTTACCAATACGTTAAAAACGCTCAAGATAAGCACAAGCATGATAGCACTGAACTTTGCCTTGAAGCCCACGACAACCATAACACATGCAACGAGACCGAAAAGTGCCACAATCACTCTCCAAACACTCCAGGTGCCACTAAAAACGAATCCGACGAAGAGGAAGATCAACAAGACACGACCAGCAAGCTGGAAGTACATTTTGCGGTCTTTCTCATCGATCTCCGGGAGACCAGCAAAAGCCTTTGATTTGCGGACCCATGAATCGGACAAAACCATCAATAGACCACCCATGACCGAAAGGTTTCGGAGGAAAAAGTTGAGATCGAAGATAAGACCGTATCCAAGAGCTTGTACGACTACTACGCCAATCAATCCACCAACAGCGTAATCCGAGTATCTTCGTGTGATAACAAGTGTAGAGCATGAGACCATTGCGAGTACGTTAACGATCAGGAAGAGATGTGTAAGACCGCTTGGGACTAGAAGATTGTTAATTATGCTGTGCCATGTTTTGAACAGATAGGTAGCATACTGTGTCGGTAATCATGCAGATATAATAGTTGATCGCTCCACTGTGTAATTATTCTCAATGCATCTTCCAGGAATGTTACGACAATCAAGAATCGTCCGATGGCTGGCAAGTATCTGCAGAAAAGTAGGAGTTAGTAGATTAAAAAATTGCAAGTAAACTCAAGCACAGAATTAGACCCCCCAAGCTGTCCTCTGCGGGGTCCTCTGGGGGACATGAACATACGGCTTAACAGGATCACTTAATGTATCCAAAAAATCCTCAATCTTGCTTGTTTGTTCTCTGATCGCATCGAGAGTACCAGGTTCGTTCTGTTTATCCATACCACCCATACTTGGTCCTCCTCCGAATGAGTTCTGCCCACCTAAACCATACCCTGCATTACCGCGTATCGACATTGTCGCAATTTTGCTGAACTTGCACCAGATCAAAGAAAGTAAAGAAGTCGAACCGATTTGTAGTCAATTAACACCAAATAGTGTCTTGTACCTGCGGAAGGTGGACTGGTAATATTTCAAAGGGGTGGAGGTATGAAGAAGAGGAATGAATGAACCTTTTGAAGTTTAAGGTCTTTCTAATAAGATTCTCGGTAGAACAACCTAAAGGACAGATTGAATAATGATCCGAGGAACCTAACGAACCTAACGAATTACCCCATTTAGTTCTGCTGCTACATGCGGAATGGAATGCAATCAATCTATTAATTATTTTGTTAGGTGAATGATGAAATTAACAAAGCTCTTTGTATTCGTATTGAAGTCAATTATCGTAATCACAATAGAAGTATTTATAACATCATCACATCATCATCAATTATGGTTAAAATCAAAGTCAAAGAAAGATAAAATTTAAAGGTTTAATATTCTCCGTACTCGTTCTTAAAGTTTCACTGTAGGATTTGCCCATCACGCATGATATTTATAGCTGTGATTTTCTCCTCGGTACCCAGGGTAGTGAGCTGATGTCTCTCGTCAATCTCCATCTCGCGATTCAGGGGAAATTTTTTTGACGATCTTCAGTTTCCTAATGTATAACTCCCAATGCAGATAGCTTGATGCCGCCTTACCGGATTCTAAAAGATATCCCGCTATAACGCCTTAAATCATAATGGTAACACATAAATACGATCCGAAGAGTTATTGTATTTTAATAAGCGAAATTCTTAATGGAAAACACTCAGATCCAACGGAACACTACTTCCACGACCAGCCCGGTATTTTTTGGGTCCACCAACAAAATCTCGAGGTTTTGGAAATACTGATTCATCTGTAAATTTCCATCGAGGATCATTGATCATGATTCTTCTGCTAGAACTAGAGGCTTGTGGTAAACTGCCATTTGATGAGAGGGTGTAAGAACTAGAGTCCATTGTGTGAGTTCTTCCTTGTTGTTGACTTTGACTTCTTGATATTGGTGCCGCTGGGGGTGCAGCGGGCGGAGATGGTGTTCTGTGTGACGATATAGAGGGAGGTCCATTGGATGGAGGAGGTGGCGGTGGTGGAGGAGGAGGTGCACTCATTGGTGATGCTTGACCAGCAGCACGAATAGCAGCTTGCATAGCAAGGCTTTGGTTCCCTCCATTAGTCGAAGGTGGAGATGTTGGTGGTGGTGGAGGAGGTGCATGTGATCGAGGTGGATTACTGGGAGGACGTGGAGCTGGGGAAGGTGGTGGCGGAGGTGCAACAGGTGGCGGAGGTGCTGAAGAAGGAGGTGGAGGGGCGAATGCTGGAGGCGGTGGTGGTGGGCCTGATAGCGCTGATGATGGCTTTCGAGTCCCAGGCGGTGGAGGAGGCTTTTTGCCAATAGGGGGTGGTGGCCCTTTGAGAGAGGCTGAGGATGCAGGACGAGAAATAGATGGCCCGCCGGTCTTTCTCAGATTCGCAACTGAGGGCGCAAATGCGGGAGTACTAGCGCTGGGCTGAGGAGGAGGAGGCCTGATTGATGGTAAAGGGGGAGCTGCGTTTGTTGGAGGTCTGGGAGCAGCCATACCTGGCGGTCTGGGAGCAGAGAATTCTGGTTCTGGTGCAGTCGATGAGTCGCGGTTTGCTGTAAAAAGGTTAGATATATCTCAATTATATAGAACGTAAAATCTTACCGCCAGTATCCACTCCTCCACCTCGTTTCTTCAACTTGGGCATGCCACCTGCGAATATTCCTCCCAGCTGTGGAGCTTGTTCCATCCCCGAGACCGCATTATTGCTCCCTTGGTTACTATCACTTCGAGCTCTATTTCCTCCTGGTACTGGCGGTGCGCCAAATCCACTGGGAGGTTTTGCCATTCCCGGTACTGGTGGAGCACCTCCTATTGGCGCCGGCCCAGAACCATTGGATACTTTGCCTACTATCGGTGCCGATCGATCGTTAGTTACAGCTTTCTTGAGTGCTCTTCCCTTCGTGATATCCGACAAGAGTGCGCCCTGTGGTCTGATTAGCAACCCCAACTTGACAAGCTCAAAGTAAATGTATAGCTGGGAATTTTTACTCTATTGGCAGCAACCTTCGCAGGTGGTCTGGATGGCATAGCTCCTGGAGCTCCTCCCGGCGGCGGTGGTGGAGGTGGACCCCCAAATCCTCCAGGAGGAGGTGGAGGAGGAGGTGGTGGTGGTGGAGGAGGAGGCATGATTTCGTGAATAACAGTGGTTCAATCTTGAGATTGAACAACGTTTAATGCAATCTCAAAGAGGTCCTTTGGCCGAAAGACTTGGTGTTGTATTTCATTCAAGCTTGAAATTTGAAGAAATTTGAAGAAAATGTGTTCAAACGGAATGAAATAATTGTTTGTTTCAATGCTTCAGAGAAGATGCCTAAATGGAAACTAGGAAAGTTATATCGGATTCATACATTGTGTTCGTCGTCACGATTGTGGCTCATGCATCGAGTTCAGCCTTCTTTATTAGTCAGCCATGTCACGTACAGGGGTACCGGGCAGGGATGTGACATCTTGATAGGATGCGGGCTTAGTGGTCCTGACTACAGCTTGTCGAAAAACCTCAAATTAAAGATACCGGAAACTTGATATCACCCTACACAATGTCAAAACGCCTTTTCAAGCCTCGGTCGGACGTATGCCGTATATGCGACTTCATAACTTCTCAGCAATCATCTCTAAGATCACAGCGTCAATTTTTGCAAGCTATAAACACTACTCCTCGCACATTTACCACCACTACCAGGAAGCGATCAAGCAAGCCTCCAAAGTCTACCCCTTCCAATTCTTTGCGCCAATATTCAAGTCCAGCTTATGTACGACCATCCCGACATATCACGGAAGCAGAACTCGAGCAAGGACTAAGCCGTGGAATCGATGCTTGTAATAAATTATTTTCAGAAACTGTAGCTTCGGAGAAGGCCATTCTGGACGTTTTACATACATGCCGATTGATTGCCGCGGACGTTGCTGGAGAGCCTGCTAAATCATCAGACACAAAGAAGGATGTAACTGCTGCCGCATCTTTACTTTCCTTGGCTGATCGAGGATCGAAGAAGCTGCGAGTCCAAAAGCTATCTCGCGAGAACCAACTTTTAGTGGATGAGCTCTCGCGAGCCTTGTTTTCGATTGTTTCCCATGAGTCTGTCTTCATATCACCAGAGATTTTAGAAGTATATATCAGCGCACAGTCATGTCTAGGAAAACCCGAGACTTTTCCAGAAGTGTTTTACTTGTATGCGAACAAGCCGATACCAATCGAGGGCTCTAAAGGAAAACAGTTCAAAAAACAGAATCCAAATAAGATCAATAATGCCATACCAGTTGCCGTGGCAGATCAAGCTTTACAAACCGCAATAGATGCCAGGGAATTAGATGTAGCTATGGATATTGTTGATACAGCATATGCGCAAAAATCATTTCGTCGTGCTAAATTTATCCGGAAAGGATTGTTACCCACCACTGGGCTTGCTGTGGCACCTTTTGGAGCGTATGTTGTTGCATCACAACTTGCTATGTTCCAGGACTCCATGGAACCCGGCATGGCCACAAACATCGCATTTGCTGGAATATTAGCATACATGGGGTTTACCACGACTATTGGTATTGTAGCTGTGACGACAGCCAATGATCAAATGGATCGCGTGACTTGGGCCCCAGGTATGCCACTGAGAGAGCGCTGGATTCGTGAAGAAGAACGGGCAGCGATAGATAAAGTCGCGGGATCATGGGGTTTTCATGAAGAATGGCGGCGTGGCGAAGAAGAGGGCAAAGATTGGGATCGATTGAGATTGTGGATCGGCAATAAGGGAATGTTGCTAGACGCAGTAGAGCTTATGGAAGGTATGGAGTAGTTAAGCTTTAGGGAGGTATGGATCACTAGCCTTTTAGCTTGAAGTCTGTTGCTTTGATTTCCCTAGCGCGGATATCGCTTATGATCATAATTTTTGAAATTATCAACCTTTATGGCTTCAATTCGGTAAAGGTCTCATACACGTTATTCTTTTCGGAATCTCACTTCGACTCGAATGATTTTGCAAGCGCATAACCCAAGACAAGGGAGTACATGAGTACAACAAATCCAAGATGTACTCAATTGAGTCCCTCACCCGCTACTTGTTCTCAAGCAAAAAGGTATAAACTTTTCCACTAGTCTCACTAGTTTCACAAGCGAAGAGACGGCCTCATTGATAGTGAAATCTGGGGTAGTCTAAAAGCTCCTAAGTTCTTCCACTACAGCATGTGACGTTTTCTGGATGAGATATAAAATTGTTCAATCCGTGTCTTCTTCGAAGGGAGTTTAGAAAAAAATGCTTTAACTACAAGCCACACATTAAATTCAAATTTTTCATTGCTAAACTTATTCTCAACAATCAACATGTCATCCAACATGACAGATCCAATGCAATCAGAGAAATGTCTTAAGCATGGCCATTTCATGCACAACCTGAATGCGAGCGCAGTAAAGAGTATTTTCTGGGTTCTCTTCTTGATTGTTCTCATCATGTTAACCATTGCAACGAGTGCCTTTACTAAAAGTGCCCATATAGCCACGTATGTTTGTCGCCTTGTCACCCCATTCATCTGCAGTAAGTCCTTACTGCCAGATAATTAACACGGGTGCCCAGACACATCAAAAACGCAGAATTGCACCCGACAATTTCTAGAGATCTCTGCCCAAGACTGCTCTCCATCAGTAAAGAGAAACATCGTCGCACACAAATTCGATGCATCTATGTCTCTTCCCTCTGTCTTGCTGTCGCAATTACCTGCACAGTCTTCGAAGCCTTCGCCGCATCCACTCTCATTTTCTGTCATCAATTAGATATGGTCTTCCTATATTGGTCATTCTGGACCTTGCTCCAAGTTGGCAGTACTATTGCCATTCTCGGTATCGGATTGGCTCAGCTGTGGTCGTATTTGGGAAGGGAGTCGCTTCCGGTCAAGTATGTATTATAAGCTACCCCTCGACCACTTTCAGTCTCTCATCTTGTATGGAAAATCAAGCTAGCTCGAACTGTGACTGACTGATATCTACGGAATAGTGTGGCAATTGGAACACCGGTTTTAATCATAGCCTGGTTAGGTGTAGCACTTGAATATCTATGTAAGGGATGGTTGAGCGAGAAGGCTTTGAAGAGCTTTGAAACTTTTGTCGATGGTTTAATGGATTCGCCTCGGTAAGTTCTTTCTAACCTGTCAAACTTTCAAAGTACCCAACAGTTTCCACCGTAACCCGAAAATCAGGGGCTTTGATTTCTCAATAAATTTGAAATATTTGAATGGTTTGAAAGGCTGTATATCAAGATTATTTTATACTCTATTTCAAAATACCTAGGTATTTACAAACCGCAAGCTAATACTCACCAGCCAAAGTGAACCCAACGCTGAAGCCGAGAACCAAGCCAGCACGTCCTCCGTCCCAGTTGCCGAACTCTTAGGGTTTACACTCGATAGTCGTCCCATCATTGCATTCAACAGATCATCCGGTACACCTCATCCCATGGCTCGTCATTTAAGTACTACTGATGACGGTCGTTCGATATACATATATGGGGCCATTCCGACTGACCCCATTGATGCCGATGCCATCAGTAACTCTGTGAACCCCAATATATCTATGGCTACTGGAAAGATGGAACAACCAGGCAGAACATCTCGTACCGTAACTTTTGACTGCGAACTTGAAGCTTCGTCTGCGCCTGTTTCATCAACGACATCTCGAGCAAGTTTACTTGATTCGATACGTGGTGAAAGGTCCACGTCGAGAAGCCCCACCAGCGTTGGTGGAAGTAGATCGAGGTCCGACGAACGTGTTTAAAGATGATGTGCAGAAACAATAATATGGGAACAGGGCTCTCGATGGTCGCGGTTGCAGTCTGCAATTCTACAAGATGGATGGAAAGTAGAGGATTCAAGAACCTGAGAACGCTATCTACACACAGTGATAGATCGCTTCATTTGAGAATGGAAGAGAGAGGGAGCGGTATTCGCTTGTACCACAGTCGTCATTGAGATGCTCAACATGCCAACAAGAAGCGTTTTACATCATTAGGATATTTGGATACTCCTATAGGTTTCCAGCGATGAGGCCAACAAATCAATAAATATATCAATATCACTCTGCCTCCGATATGCTTTCCGCGGCATCAGATGACACTCCTTTTACCCTACATCCGATATATAAATCACAGTCCATATCCATCATCCGCACTCGCCTACAATATCCACCTCCATCACATCATATCACTCCCATAATTCAACTACCATTGCCGTCTAACTCTGGAATACAGCATATAAACAAATATTATTCCAAAAATTGACTCATCAGCCATATCAACATCAACACCGACAACACACCCATATTTTCTACACCCGAGTATTCAAATGTAACTTCGAAGTAGAAAAGCATGCTCCCGGTGAGCCCAGATAACGTCAGTACATGTGCAAAATCCCCGACAAGCTTTCTGTGTACAGAAGCATGACCTGAAACGTAGTATACCTTGGTGGGTAGGCTTTTACTACGATCTTTCCCATCACACTCTCTACTTCCCTCTCGATGGAAAGTACTCATTAACTTCGACCATACTAGTATTTACTTCCTCAATATATGCTCCCCTATTCACTCTTGTCTTCGGTAAACTCTCTCTTCCCCCTATCTATGCTTACTCATTTCTTTGAATCCTAGAGTAGCATTTCACATATTAGTAAGCGTATACTAGAACCAAACCTCCGGCGGCCAGATTAGTCACAAGTTTCATGGCACAAATACAGGGTAATCCAAATTCTGAGAGATATTTATTAAGCTTTCGCTCTTCTTATAAAATCTTACGCTATGCATAATAGGACGATCTCTGATAAGGATATGCTCAATGCTTTCGCACCCTCATCTCATCTCATATCATTCTAATAATCCCCATACTAAACAGCTCTCCCCGCCTTCCCAACCTGTATAATTTCGCCCGTCCTCTGCTCATCACTTCTCAACACTGGCCAACTAGCACCATCAGCCTTCACCAATGTGACTTCCAACTTCGTGCCCATAATTTTGAATGACGATGCTTCTGTATCGATTGCGCCAAAGAGTGGAACCACAGTTTTATAACGTTTGGGAACCGCGTCTGTGGTAGGAAGATCAAGAGTAAGTTCTTGAGGGGCGGAGAAGGATACGACTGCATCCTCCTTCTTGATCTTTTTGAGGAAGAATGAGGCGATGACTGAGGTTGCTGTTTGGTAAAAATCGTGTCTGCGTTTTATCATCATTAGTATTGCACTTATAACTTCTTCCAAAACGCCGTCTCATAATAAAACAGGACCAACTCACCTAACCGTGTCCAAAATCTCCTCGCCCCCCTCCTTCGCCTTCCCCTTCCCACCACTGCCAATGAACAAATGTGAGCCCTTGGTCTTACACCCTTCGATTTTCATAAACTCATCAAACTCCAAAACTCTCCTTTTACAGCAAGTATAGCCCTTGCTACCCTCATGGAAAATAGGCACACCGGGATGAAATACGCATTTCTCCCCCTCTCTACTCTTTCCCTCATATTGCTGACCACAAGCTTTCCTCCTGCAAGTTTTACCCATTGGAATTTCTAGCGACGCATCATCATCCTCGGATTCTGGTGCTGGGGGGGGAGGAGTAGCTGTAGCTTGAGGAGCTGGAGCAATTGGAGCTCTAGCAGGTTCGGGAGGAGGAGAGGGCGCTGAAGAAGCTTGTGCAGATGCATCTGGAGCTGGTTTCTTCTCTACCTGAGGTGGGTGATCTGTGGTACTGTGTTTACCGGTTGTGCAGGGTGGAATGGCGAGGAATTCGTCGAAAGTTAGGACGCGGGGTTTGCAGCATTTCCAACCTGTTTTTTGGGGTACATTTTAGTTTCATATACAACGATATAGAGCTACATAAGGTGAATGGCATGAATCAGCATACCTTTTTGACCCTCATGGAAAACCGGTGGTCCAGGATGGTACAGACAGTCTTCCTCAGGATCAGTATAAACCTTTGTACAAGATTGATGTACACATTTTTGCGCCATCTTGTCTAACTTGCTCTTCAATAGAAACTTGGAGATAACGAGGAAGCCTTGAGAAAAAACTGCTGATTGGAATATAGAACTTTGTGTATCGTGTAAATTGAAAAGTCGACATCAGATCTTCTTCCCCAGCTTCTAGAATGCTCTAAAGTATTCTGCCGCGAAGTGACTCTCACCGCCTTTTGACATGCCGGTCCGTTGGAAGTTAATCTGAACGGGGGGAGGGGAGAACAAACCAACCCTTGCCCCAGAGCGAATCATCCTGCTTGAGCTATTCTCAAACCAACTTTGAGGCTCATACCGAAAGATCTTTGAAATTTCAAAAATTGGAATCCTAGATCAATATGTTTCCAACAACACGATTGCTCCAAGCATGTCGAATCACGCTTTTCACAAGAGCTAATTGTTCACTCTGTACCAACGCCAAAGATACATTATTTAAAGTTCGAGATACAAGACCATTTGTATATAGAGAGATTGCTGTTATGGAAGATGGACAAAAGCACTGGAAGGATCTATACGAATTTGATACACCTGTGGTTAGTTTACCATGACCCAAATAAAGCCAGAGCCTGCTGATATTCTGTGTTAGATTCACATTAGCAGGGAGGATGCTGGGGAGGAACAGTCTGAATTGGCATCCAAGGCAAGAAAGCTGATGCATAGATTTACCGAGGAGGAAGTCAAAGCGAAGATGGATGAAGTAGAAGGGGAAAACTCTGTCTGATTTATGCCGAAACTGTACCTCTACAATCTATTCTAATATCCGAAGGCCTTTTCGTACGGTTCCGAATAAGTATATGTACACCAATCATTGATCTACCTGCCGTAAGGACCAGTCAATTTGGGGCCATCTTCTTGACCCTTTGCCTTGTTCACGGCAGCGATTACACCCTGTGGTAAAATATGCATATCTGTTGCAACACTCATCATATGGAACCCCTGATCTGCGTACCCTTTTGCTTGTTCTCCACTCGTACAAAAAATACCGGCCTTTTTTCCAGCTGTATTTGCCGCCTTCAAAATCTTTGCAATTGCAGCATGAAGATTCTCGTGCATTTGTCCTGCAACGATGGGATGACCAATGTTGTTGCCAAGATCGAAAGGACCAATGAAAAGAACGTCAATACCAGGAACAGCAGCAATGGCATCGACATTCTCCAACGCTTCCTTGGTTTCGATTTGTACCATGGTCAGAATACTCTCATTGGCTTGATTCAGATATGCATCAGAGTTCAATTCCGGGTTGAAGCGCTCATGAGGAAAAGGTGATCCAAAGCCTCTTTGACCTTGAGGCGGAAACTTAGCACTTTTCACGAGCTGTTCGGCTCCCTCGGCTGTGTACAGGAGAGGTACAAGTACACCATGCGCACCACAGTCCAAAGCCCCTGTTGAGCTATCAATATCTACAAACATGTTGCAATACATCTTGCTGACTTACGCTTGACCATCCATCCTTGATTATCTGGAATTCTGACTATCGGACTCACCCCGCACGCAGCAATTGCTGGAACTGCATCATGCATTGCGGCATCTGTTGGGGCGTTAGATAAGTGGCGATAAATGGCCCAAAAAGTAATTTGACATCCTCTATTCATTAATTCCTGATTCCAAAAGATCGCGATATAAGTGCTTAGTGTATGAATGAAAGGGTCTTAACAAAAAATAGAATAGGCATTGAATAATGAATGGACATCCTAACAGTTCAGACTGCAGTCCAAACCCTGGAATTTCGAATGCTCGAGATTATTTGAACGCCGGAATGTAGTTTAGTTCCCCAAATGTAGCTGCTACTTCATAGAACTCCAATACCTAGAATGAATCCAAGAACCAGAAACCATTCATTGCCTGGCTACATACCAGACCACCAGCGAATCACCGTGACGGTGATTGATACCACTCGGCATATTAGAGTCATCTAAGCTCAGTGACTACCTCTGTATAATAGCTCATGAATGTAAAGAACACCAACGAGTGGCTTTGCATGACACCAAAATGAAGTGACTCACCGTCTATATTCCCATGCTCGCAATCTACCAAGACCCAATCAACACCTGTCCTCGCCAAAGTTCTCGAAACGTTGGCTCCTGGAATCATCTGCCAACAGCCCGTCGCCGGTCCCTTGCCCTCCCCCATCACCCTCCTCAAACGATTTGCTTCTTGCATGATTGTCGCCATTTTATGATAATTGTGTCCGTTTTTGACTAGAAGGTTCTTCGTTGAGAACTTTGAAGAAGAAAGAAAAGTCGAATTAGATCTCCATCCAAGGTTGCAACGAGAAAGCATGAGGTATCAAGAAGCTGAGAAGTAACTTTATCTTTGTGTATGTCACTGATATGGAGTTGCGTTATCGGATAATAACACTGACGGGACATGACTATTCACTACCCCACATTTTGCTGTCCTGCATAATGATCGTTCCTGCTTGAAGGATATGGGAAGGAGGGGTTGATTATGTTATAATTGATTGGGCACTCATTGTCTCCTGTCCAGAAGTTACTGCTAGAGCTTTCTGTGAGTTCTAAATATGGAGAGATGATTAATTGGTGCTCTGTTGGCTGTTGCGTGCTGAGAAAACAACTCTCAAAGATTAGATTCGTCTCGAACATGAAGATAAAAAAAATGTTATGCAATTTGTCTACATTGCCAAATGCGATAAAGCATTGTTTTTCCCAAAAATGGGAATTTGATGTCCCATCTCGAGAGAACTAAGAAATTACCCAAATAGAAGCTCGCGGGGAAACAAGTACCTCAGAAGGAAGGTGGGGGATTGTGATGTAACGCAAATCATGTGAGATTGCCCCCCATGAGCTTTGTTCCTTGTTTGCCGTCCCTTGAGCCGAGATATGTCCCAAAACATGAAAAATGAAGGTATTCTCATGGTCGTTGGCACCCTTGCATACTAGCTCAATGTTGATCTTGGCCGTATACACACTAGGATATTATTAGAACGCAAGCACCGATTGTAGAACTCGGCCAAGTTCAAATGTTGCAGATGTGTTGATATCTACTCTGTACTTGTTTATGAAGCCTGCTGCCTTTACCCCTCATTATATACTTTGTAATATGGGCTCCCCCATACTTGAAACATGCATGATAATTGCTTTAAGCGTTTGTCATAGAATCATCAAAAGTCCTCGAGTGGAACGTCGAAAGGAATTCCATCCTTGAGCCCGGTAGGAACACGGCTTCGACCGGATAACCGATTGCATCTTCCGGTTTCCAAGTTACAACATAATTGCTTGGATTTCAGAGAAGGTCAGCTGCTGTGATCAAAAAATGCATATAAGCAGCGGTGTGACCTTAGGAGATTAGACTCTTTGAGAATCATCGACTCGGACTCAGCGAATCGAGGTACAAAGAGCTTATTGCTTAAAGGCCTTGATCAATTGGGGCTCCACGCTCCTTCCCACTACGATGAGCCGCTCGTAAATGCTCAGATGCCGCATTTCCATAGCGATGCTGCATTGTGACCCCCACGGGCTTTGAAGTGGACCCCCCATGAAAAACTAATGTACGCCACAGCATGGGATTCAATACATGATGCGAGAGTCCCGATCGAAGACCCGCTACAAGGACTAGGGATCATCAGCGTGACTTCTCAACCACAGTTTTGGGAAGAGGGTAAGTTATGGAGTTGAGTGAAAAGGAGAAGGGAATGCACAGAGTACCATCCTCCTTCTCCACAACCTTCCTGTAAGAAGATATATGAGCCATTATCTATCCATGTAAAGACATGAATGGGGAGTGGGCACGAAGTTGGGCAATCATCTGTTCATAGTTTGAAAAGTGTATTAGTGAGACAGACGATGGTGCAGGTTGTATGCAGTAAGAAGAAATGATGTTGACGTTGGGCAAGGCCAGATCAACCTTGCAACCAAGACAGACGAATCAGATGGCAGGAAAAAGAAAAAATTCGTACTAACCTTGCTCTCATGCTTCTCACCAACCTGATTCTACAACAAGCTCCAGGAGGTAGAACTTTCGACCACAGGAATGATGAAATCCTTGTGTGTTATATTAAATGTCCGAAATTGGATTACAATGAATGAAATCAATGGGTACCTAACATCATACCCCTACATCATAATTTATCCGTTCCCACCCAAAATCCAAGAGACGTCAAACGCAAGCGGGATCAAACGTTTGAGAAGTTGCGTTCACTCTGTAGGTATGCACCAGGGAGGTAGGTAGTATCTGCGACGTCTAGACGGCCCGCGTGAATCTTTTCCCTTCCCCTAGACTTGTTGAGCTACGTGTTGCATCGCTGTGCTACGTCTTAGACTTACAAGTCACAACTTATACTTCGTCTCTATCGCTATGACTATCATCTCGCATCATCACCTGCAGTATCACTCTTCCACCTAATCGAGGATCGGAATTGAAACAATACAATTTGTCTGTACAGCCAGTACCTAGGTACGTGCCGGTGCAGAACTTCCCTTTTCGTCACAGCGCCTGCTTAGAACATCGATCCTAATGGGTTCCACGTTTTTCTTTGAGATGTACACATTCTCCGCTTTTCCCTTATTTTTCCGTGTTTAAGGAGAAATTGTCGACTAATCACAGACAGTCAAGTCTGTTCAATCGAATCCATGAACTCGGATCGGAATTCTTACCTCGTAAACTCTTTTCCTTTGTCAGATACCTCTGCATGTGTGTGTGTATGTAGTGTGTAGTATGTAGTGCAAGGAGGGGGGTGCTACAACTGCGTACAGGTCAACATCCAAACGTCCACTCCGTAATCACAACACGAGTGGCTGACTTTTCTTTTTCTTTCTCTTCTTCTGCTTCTGCTTCGGCTTCTGCTTCTAGAACTCCACAGGTACCACAACCCTGCTTGCAAGGAGATCTTGATCAACAGGGATGGTGCAAAATCATTTTCCCCTTCCTCTTCCTCTTCCTCTTCCTCTTCCTCTTCTTCTTCTTTGCCAGCGGAGGAGGGAGCGGTGATGAAAAAGAGACTCGACTAGATCTTTACATGGGCCACAAGGGTCTCTCGAGGCTTGAATCGTTCTCTTTCCGTAAACCTTCCAAACTTCCTTTCTGTGGGTCACATCACCGTGCCAAGGTCAAACTCCCTTGGTAAGATGTGCAATTTTCTGCCGTCACCCATACAATCAATTATTACTTTTCCAGTTGACCTCGTACTCCATGTTCTGTACATATCGGTGTTTATTTCAATTTTCTTTCTCCTTACTAGGTCGATATGGCACACGACCCACCGCCACTTGCCGTCATTTGCCTAGGTCCTTCTCACTCCGGGACCCTAACCATTTGCTATATACCTCAGTTCCTTCCCACATCGTGAGTCTTTTGATTGATTGTTTGAAATTAACTACGTTTACTTCATTCTTCGTCATATATTGTCATCTTTCCTCACTCAAGTCGACACAACTTCAAGAGCTCATCAACAAACAAACCTTTCGAGAGAAAAAAAAGTATATTTACTCTCAGTGAATTTCATTTTATTGTTGCTATACTTCGATCAATACATGACATCACTCTTCACATTGACATTGACTCCCTCCCATTTCATTCGGCAGTTAAATTGACTTTGACATTACCGGCCTTTCTTATATCATCTACAGAGAATACCCCGCCACGCTTCAACAAAGAACCTCTATCCATCATGTTGTCTTATGAGAATCGTTCCTCAAATATGGCTCAACCAACGCCAGCCATGCCAGATCATTTGCCCATATCAACTTCGTCGTCTTCAAATTCATTGACAAATGGCTCATCAAGACAGCCTAAGACAGGCCATTCTCACATCTGGTTGATCACCGGTCCTGCTGGCTGTGGTAAAAGCACAGTGGCTCAATATGTCGCCAAAGCTATGAACTTGCCATATATCGAAGGAGATGAGGTATATACATCAATTCCATTACTTACCAAATTAAGAACGCCGTTCTAATGAAAATAAAAATAGTACCACCCGCAGTCGAATATTGATAAAATGGCCCAAGGCATACCCCTCAACGATACCGACCGTTGGGACTGGCTCACCAAACTCCGCGACGAATCTGTTAAGAGTCTCAACTCGGGTTCCCAAGGCGTTGTCCTCACCTGCTCTGCCCTAAAGCGCAAATATCGCGACGTCATCCGTGTAGCTTCCTACTACGACCACAAGGTCCTCGTTCACTTCGTATACCTGCATGCTAGTGAGGAAACATTACTCGCGAGAGTCGGTGCTCGAAAGGGCCACTTTATGGGCGCGAATATGGTTCACAGTCAATTTGGCATTCTCGAACCACCTACAAAAGATGAGACAGATGTGATCCAGGTAGATGTTAGTGGATCGTTAGAAGAAGTCGAGCGAGATGCGTTGGCGAAGATAAACACGGCGATAAAGGAAGAATTGGCTAGAGACTCATGATCTTCATACATTTACACCATTGCACTGTAGAAGATACTCGCAGTGGAGAGACAGAGAGCTCATTTTCTTTTCAAATTACAACACGGCGCTCGGTGACCAATTGGCGGACTAGATATCCTTCATCATTCATCTACGGTTTAAGCAATCACGGATGTTTTCTCGGCTACACGATTCGGAGTTGCTAAGGGTATTTGTTTCTTATTTCATGTGTCTACATTTACATTTCGCATACGGATCTCGGTGGGGCTAGCAAAAAAAGGATTTGGCGTATTTTCTTCCAGCTGTAGCTAGATATGGGTTCTATTATGTTCATACACATGATTTTCTTTAATGGGTGGGGTTCGCGTCATGACCAGTCGCAAGATGAGAAGATGAGAGACAACAGTCCGCAAAGAAACGAAGCAAAAATTGAAGGAGGTGGAGGAAATATATGGTTGGACAAGTACGCAATTAGATTAATTAAGAGTATCACGCATCAAAATTTCTTATGCAGCCATTTATAAATGGTTGACTTCGTTCCTCATTTTTCTGTTGATGCACACCGTCGGGAGAATCTTCCCACATCATCCCCCTGATCTGCCAATTATCCTCATGCGAATGCGGGGTAGCGACCAACCCCGGAAAATCAGTCTTTATGTACCCCAGTCGGACAACGCATTGTGTCGTACGACAAGGCTGAATGAATCGTGCATGCATGATGGTATTCTAAGGGGTTTAGGAGATACATGATATTACTTGTTGGGTATCTGCCAATAAATGACAGTCTCTCACTTTATGTATGTATGTATGCAGGCAGGTTCGCTTGTATTGTTTCTGTATGCTACGCTAATGCTTCGCAAGCTTCGCAAGTGCAAAACTTATCATCCATTCCAAAGAAAACCGAAAGTTGAGCCCGAACCCCCTCTTTAAACACCGAATGCAACGCAGTCACTTGTAACAAGTTAGTTACTTTTCGAGGCGGTTGCCTAATTCATCAACGTGAAAGCATACTTCGTGACTCTATTTACCCAATTGGAAGCAGGAGACAAAAATATATCCTTATGTCCGTGGGGAATGGTATCACGGTCTTTGCGTAAGTTGTGTTTCTGTCAACTATCATAAGGTGATGCAGAATGCTCTGTAGAACGAGATCTTGTGAGCTGAAGCGAAGAACGATCTCGTGGTCCTGGATTCCTCAGCCACTTTTACTCCGCCTATGTATATGTAAGACGTGAACGATGAGATGATGTCATGTACGTTGGATGCACAATAAAGCATCATTTCATATGTAGAAGCATGGTTTCTGGATCTTCGATATACCCTCTGACCATTTCAGCTGCGCGGGCCATGGTTGCACCGTCTATTACGCGGTGGTCGGCGCTCCAACTGAAGTTGATGACTTGTTTTGGGATAACATTTCCGTGAGCATCAAACGCGGGGATAGTGCGTAGTTTGCCAATGCCGAGGATGGCGAGCTGGGAATCGACGATGATAGGGGAAAGGTAGGTGCCGCCGATGTTGCCGATATTGGAGATGGTTATAGTACCACCGGAGAGGTGAGAGGAGGTAAGGGTGGAGCTTGAGGCAAGGGATTGAAGATTAGTGAGAGATTGAGTGATGGTGAGGAGGGTAGACGTGGATTGGGCGTGTTTTAGGACAGGAACGAGGAGACCTGTGGGAGTGTCCATTGCGATGCCGATATCGTGTTGAGGACGCATTGTTAAGATGGGCTTCTGCGAAGTGGGATCAATGTCGAGCCGAGCATTCAGAATGGGGTAACGATTGAGAGTTAGAGAAACAGCTTTGATGATGAAGGGGAGATAGGATAGCTTGGCAACCCCGTTGACGGGAGAGCTTGCCAGTTGTTTGTTAATACGATCTCGTACTTGGGAGAGTTTCGTAAAGTCAATTTCATCAGTGTAGAGGAACTGAGGTATTGCCAAAGACTTCGTCATGACTTTGAACATTTGCTGTTGAACAGGCGTTAATGAAGTGGCATACTCCTTTTGAGGGCCACCATTTGCCGCTACGAAGGGTTCCTGGGTTGTTGACGGAGCCCTATCTCTCTGTTTTGCAAACTGATGTACATCTTCCTTGAGTACGCGGCCGTCTTTCCCCGTACCTGTCACATCTAATATGTTGACATCTAACTCTTTTGTAAGATGCCTTACTGCTGGTGTTGCCAATGCCGCATGCTTTCCTTTTGGAGTTGATGGGGAGGGTCGAGTCTCGGCAGCTGGCTGAGAGGCACCTGGAACATCTACTTTATATTCCATTGGTGACTTTTCTACGGGTTGGGCTTTAGAGTCATTGCCAGCACTTGACCCTTCAACGGCATCTGCACCCTCTTGTTCAATCTCCCCTTGTATGTCAATATCCAGGAGAGCTTTCCCCACTTGTGCCATATCCCCAGCCTCATAATGAAGCTTTTTTATGACACCCGAAAACCGACTGGTAATCTCGACCGACGCTTTGTCACTTTGCACTTCACATAATTTGTCCCATTCCTCCACCCGAGCTTCTGGTTCCACGAACCATTGTATGATTTCGCATTCTTTGATTCCTGAAAACCCTATTAGTATGAAATCTTCATCGGAATATTCTGAATTTCTAACCTTCTCCAATATCTGCCAACATAAATGGTTTTATGGCTGATCGCTTCGCAGATGCATGGAAGTATTTATATGTGGTTGGGCATCGTTTGGGGAGATTGAGACCTTGATAGACGTTCCATTGCCTACTCAACACTCTGGAATAGAAGTTATAACGCATCTTGTACAACCTTAAATCAGGAGCTCATACAATTTTCGATAGGAGTGGGAAGAAAAAGGTTGTAATATCTACACATTCTTTGGAATAGAAAGTTACATTCATGATCTTTGCGGAGGTAACAATCTGGGGATTTCGGTTATCGGCGGCTTATCAGCGCTCGGGAAACTCTGGGGAAAAAATAAATTCTGGGGTAAAGAGAATCTTTCAGGCGCGCATGCTGAATTGCTAGCGGGGCTTCTAGGTTTCCCGCACGACTCCCCTTATCATGACGAATATGATCCTTACACGATTGCCGATACGATCCGCAAGGAAGCAATTAGATGCTTCAGCATGTATGCTATGCCAATGGCGTTCATTTACTACTACATATCGACGATGGGACGAAAAGAAAGAGACGCCATCACCGGTGCCAGAAACTCCTTCAGTTCTAGATGAAGCCCCAAGAGCTTCGGGCAAGAGGGTGGAAAATTTTACGCCCAAGCCTTTGGATCGAGCAATTGGACTTCCGCAACCACCGAGAGCAGGTCAGAATAGTGGAGTGGATAACAGGTCAATGAAAGAAAAAAGAGATGACTTCGTCGATTGGGACAAGCATCTTGAAAAGCGCAAGAAACTGTGAGCCTTGCTTGTATAAAATGATGTGTGCAGGTCACTAATATCAAGAATCCAGGACTGCGGCAATGGCCAAACCATATTACAGAGAATGGAGCAATATGAAATATCATAAGGGAAAATCCTTCCTGGCACCTCCCCGAATCTTCAAAGCCGATCGCGCGCTCTATTTTCCTAATTTGAGCGGCCGAACTTTAGAACCAGACTCTACCCTATATGAAAATACAACACCCATACTAGAGGGCAAGGTCTCAGTTGTTTCCGTATTCAGTGGTGCATGGGCAGAAAACCAGGCGGCTACATTTGCATCTGAGAAGAGTAACCCAGGTTTACATGAGGTGGTCAGAAACAACAAGGAATTAGCGCAAATGGTACATATCAACATCGAAGAGAACTACCTAAAAGCTATGCTCATCAAGTTCTTTCGGTCGAGTTTAAGAAAAAAGCTGCCAAAATGGATGTGGAAGAGATATTTTGTGGTCCAGAAGGGTCTTACGGATGAGATGAAAGATGCTATAGGTCTATTAAATAGTAAGGTCGGGTACACATACATTCTAGATGGGGACTGTAAGATTAGGTGGGCGGGCAGTGGTCCTGCTGAAGAATATGAGAAGGATGTCTTGGTCAAGAGTGTTTCCCGACTCTTGGAGGATGCTAAAGCACCCCTCGCGCAAAAGAGACTGGAAAATAGTGCACAGCAATCAGGGGACGCTGCCGCAAAGAAGGGGAGTAAAGAAGATGCAGCAAAAGCTGGACGTCGAGCATGATATTCCTGAATATACCCATAAGCCATTCTTATACTGTACAACAATCTGGTCATATCCCAGACCGTTCCACTCCAAACGCCTTGCCTGTGTTCTCATTACCATAAAATGCATCGTGCTATCCTATCGTCACATAAAGTACAAAAACACCAAGAAGCAAAATGCAATAAAGCTGCCCATAATAATTCCATCTCTCCTCTTCTTCGCGCTAATCCTCCCAATCAAACTATTCAATCCCGGTACCTGGCTTGCAGCCCCAGTGATCCTCCGATTAATACTGGCCAGCGTTTCTCTCTGTAGCCCAAAACTCTCATTGACGGCATAAGCTTGGCTCAGCACACTGTCCGTCATGTTATGACTATTCTCAATACGACTTCTTTCTCCCAACATATAGTCCGCCTCTGCGGCTTCTGGATTATTGCTATGATAAGCATCGATATCAGATCGCACATTTGAGAGTAGGTTTGCGCGATTACGAGCTTCGGAAATAGAGGAACGAATGCGCGAAAGTTCGCGACGGTGGTCGAGAAGAATTTCTCGGTGACGAGTAAGGTTATTTTGACGGGTTGCAGAAGCTGTGAGGGAAGAGTCGCTGTCGAGGAGGCGGGAGAGTTGTGATATCAGATTTTCTCTCTAAAACGGAAGGGTGAGACTAAGTCCTTGAGCTTGCAGTGAGGATCTATTCACCTTTTCTAGAATTTCTTGTAGCTTCATTTCAGTGGATCTTTCATCTTCTGAAGGCTTTGGCGGAATATTGGAAACGGCTGAGAATTGTGAGTAAGTATGGAATAGTGTTTCTGTCTGCCCGGGTCGTTAGTTTAGTGAGCGATAGCTATTGGGAGGTATATGTAATTTACTTGTGTTTCCAACGACCTAGCTTGTTGACGAAGCTGTGCCCATCCTGTCCCAGTAGATGTAGACATCGTTCCTAAGTGAAAGATAAATTGGGATGTATGTTTGCTTTGCAATGATTTACCGCATTTGCTGTCGGCGCATTATTATTATTTTGTGATGCTGGGTTACGTCGCTGGAGCCGGATAATAGGCGGCCCGCCCCTTCTTTGTCGCATCATCAAGTGAACCAATCATTTTGCTTGCTCGTGCATCGCTGAATCAAAACCACGGAAGTTCTTTAAACATCACTCAAATACAATTATATATTGACAGCACCTATATTTTAATACTTTAGGTAAATATCAAGAAAGCACCGTTTCGGTGTCTCTGTCTTATCGTCCTGCTGGAGGGATCCTAGGATCTCTGCTGTACTTTATTCAATATTGACTTTGTATATACGCAAGCGAAGCATCGTGGAGAGTATTTGTCTACCTAGGTAAGTTTTGTAACAATAATTAAAATGTGCGCGGAGAAGGTCACGGAAGTTTTAAGTAATATTTATCATTTTCTGCATAATGCTAGAGCGCATTTACATATGAAATATCAAGTTTGAAAACCTGGGCACTATTCTCTTCAAAAAACAGGAACGCCAGCCCAAAACATAACCACGCAGAACCATGCCATCAATCTTTGAGATATCTCGCAAAAATAAGAAGCTTTCATATGCAATCGTCAAGCACATCATGAACCCTTCTATCAAATCGCTTTCCTAAACGCCTGTATGCTTGTAGTGACCTGCACCGATCTTATTAACCGGCAGCTTGAAGAAGTCTCTCTCCAGCCTTGAGATTTGCACAAGCGTAAGCCTTAGACTCAGGTGGAAATGTTCCATTGGCAGCCCAGAGGTCAATCAATGGTTGCATGGGCTCCAATTCATGTGGCTTCAACATGTCAATCTCGGTTGCTGTCAAAACAAAGTGACTAAAGCAACTATTCATATGCTTGTCGAGGTTAAGATGGTAGAAAGGCTCAATGAAATGTCCCCAGTAGAGATGAGCATAGACTCTGAACATTTGTCTAAAGATGGTTTGGCATACATCAACAAATTCTTGTGGAAATCCACTGCTCTTGCCGATCCAATCACCAGCTCCGGCGAGTTGAGAGAGAGAGGTTGTGAGTGTGGTTGGGCCAGCGGGAATGGGTGTGTTTGAACCAGGTGTGTTGACTCCACCAGAAGCATAAGTTGAGCCAGAAATTTCAGGACCGGCACTGTTGTGACAGTATGAAATTCCGGCAGGATCAGTGGGGAAAATAGCGGTATTATCAATCTTTCCAGAGATCCAGCGCTGCATGAGGGAGATGTACTCGTGGGCCGGTACTTCGACAGGCTCTCTACGTGAGTTCAACCATGTGAAAGAGTGGTTTCTAGTAAAACTTATCAGATATCAAATCGGTAGGTCTTAGAAAATGCAGGCTTACGCGCCAGCAGACATGCGTGGGCAAGTCTGGGGGTTACAAATGGTGTTGCCATCTTCTTCTTTTTCATGAATTACCCGAACAAAGTTCCACAAGATACGATAATGTTCAACCACTACGATTGTTAGCACATGACTGTTAGCTCCTCCTCTTTGTCTTACCTTGATGGGCAATCCACTCTCCAGGCTCAACTGTCTTTGGGCGAGCAGACAATGTCATGAAATTACCCTTAACAATGTGCTTAGCATAAGCATTATTAAGCCAGAGTGGCTTCGGGCGAGGAAGGTTGTAGGCGGCTAGTGGATCATTGCCTGCAGGGGGGGCTTGCTGATCATCCATAGACATGGTTTGTGAGAGCGAAGGCGAGTTGGGGAGTGGCGAGATGCGGGGTGCGTTGGCGGGTGACGAAGAATTGACGGGGGAATTGCCTGTAGGAGAGGTTGGCGAAACTCCGTTAAGTCCACCCGGACTCTTTGCGCCAGAACTCTTACCACTGCCACGAAAGCGGCCACTTCTACAAACACAATATTGTTAGCAGTTTTCTTCGTCGTAGAATATTACACAAGCTTGGAGAACAGCTAGAATGAGTGGAAAATTCTAGGAAGATGCAAAATGACAAATATGAAGGGCTCAACGCATCAAAGACAAATCTGGAGAGCAAATATGCCTTCAGTCAAATATACCCGTATTATAGGGATCATTTTTGGAAGAAAATATGATCGCCCTGCTGATGAAAAGCTACCCCTTGGCCAGACTTATAAGATTAACAGATGAAATTGCTCCTAAGGCTTCTTGTCTGATGATATAACTCAAGCAACTTGCTTGCTGATAGGTCGATTGAGCCGAGATAAAGCTTTCGGGGCGGTGACAATGAGCCAACTTCTCATATCACTGCATCCCAAATGAAATGCCCTCCATCAATCGAACATTCCCCCCGTCCATATTTTACCACTAGTGAATCCAAGTGGTAAAATAATCAATTATCACCACAGGAGCTCCAAATATCAAAAGGTAACCAAAACGACAAGTAAGAAAATCCGACCACGTACATTCCTGAAAACAAGTTTGACATATTGCTGAATCTTTCAAAGTCAGACAACTTATCGAATCTCAAAATTTACCAAGATGACTCAGTAAAGTCGACTTTCAAAACAAAAGGTGGTTGAGTCGAGAGGTAGTTGAAAGATTGTGGTTTGTATTTGATATCAAGTAGGAATAGGAGACAAACAGAAAAGCTTAGGAAGTCTTGAATAGATTAGCGTCGGCTTCTTCCTTAATGTTCTTCCGTCCACTCTATCCAAAACTTCCTTGATCATTGGTTAACAATCCGAGAAGGCGGTGTATCACTTCTTGCTGCCCTTGCATTATTTTGCTTGCTGCTTTGTATCCTCCACTTCCAAGGTTGTATCAGATGTTTGGTATGTCTTCATTCACCAATTGATTGTCTAGTACGGCTGAAAGAGGTGTTGTGTTGAAGACGATTCACTGAGCACGTACAAATTACAGGGACTTCCTACGTCAATTCAAATTGATTCGATTTTACTCGCAATATATCGCTTTCGACGATACCTATCAAAGCTTCTTCTTATTAGCATCTAGCTTTACGCGAAGTTTACGAAGTACGATACGACGGAATTTCGCGATTTACCTTTTGGACATTTTTTTTACTTTACAACCATAAATACATACACCGCTTGAAATGGCGTCCAATTCAGAAGATGAAGTTATGAACAATATCTCCGATGTTGATGAGGAGGATGATCTATTTGGAGATGTTCCTGATGAGGAGCCAGAGACCGCACCACCACACCGGGTGTTGAGTGACGCAGAATTGGATTCGGGAGACGATGAGGGGCGCGATGATAGAGTACCTGATAGGCACGACGAGGAAGAATTACCGGCGGAAGATACTCGAAATGCGCGAATTCTTGAGGCTGATATATTCAGACATCCAGTTCCGAGACCTTCAGATGGAGAAGTAAATGCGCCTCATTCCAATCATCTTTTGTGCACATAGCTAACAATTTTACAGTTCCATACGTTTCGCCTTCCCAAGTTCTTTGGAATTGAGCCTCGAGAATATAATCCTGAGACTTTTGAAATCCCCATCTCCGATCACCATGTCTCTACCCAATCCGCAAATTTCTCTGCCAGGAATGTCGCCGAATCAACGATCCGCTATCGCAAGTCAGATTCTGGCAAACTCGAAAGCAATACGAATATATACACATGGAGCGATGGAAGCACCACTCTAGCTATTGGCGACCAGCATTATGAATTACAGAGCAAACCTCTTGCGCCCGCTAAGGATAGCAAATACAACGAAGTCTTAGACTCACATAGTTACATGGCTTCACCTTCAGTTACATCTCAAATTCTTGTTGTCGTAGGACACATGACCAACGAGTACACAGTTAGGCCCAACAAGTCTATTGAAGATGATGCTCTGAACAGGTTGAAGAAGAACCTTACTGCAGCTACTGGTCTAGAAGGAGGTGAAAAGAAACGCCTAAATATGATCGTCAAAAATGAAGATCCCGAACTTCAAAAGAAGCGAGCAGAAATGGCAGAAAAGGAACGTATGCGTGCTCAACGTCGTCGTGAGGCTCAGCTTGATAGAGCCAGTCAATCAACTGGACGCCGTGTGGGTGTGGGTGCAGGTCTTACTCTCGATGATTTAGATGGTCGCCCTGGACGTCGCGGACCACGTAAACCTGCTGGAGCTAAGCGTCCTCGTCGTAGACCAGAGTATGACTCGGACGACGACCTTCCTCGTGGCAGAAATCGCGAAGATGAGTACGACAAAGAGGATGACTTTTTGGCATCTAGCGATGAGGAACTTGAGGAAGGTGGTGGAGACGACGATGAGGAAGAAGAAATTCTTGATGAGAGTGATGAAGCTCCTAGACCCAAGAAACAGAAGACGTCAAAACCTGCCGAAGATAGTGATGCTGACGCAGATGCCGAAGCTGATCTGGATGACGAGGATGTCGTTCAAGCTCCACATGCAGAAGCTGGTGGAAACAGGAGAAAGCGTAACATTATTGAGGATGACGATGATGAATGAGCTCAACTTTAGAAGTTTAATAGTGGCCATAGATATTGCGTTCATATACCAGGCATTTCGAAATGCATTTCCTGTGTTTCTCATAACATACCCAGCGTTTTCTAACAGATTGTACAATAGCTAACTAAACGTTTACTACCCAAGGATGAGGCATTGGCATACATGCATTTTAAGATATGTGTATGTTTTCAAAAGATTCTCGAAATATCAAGGGCTATATTACATGCAACAGCATTGTGACTGAAAGATTTTATTTAACACAAATATTTTTATCCTTATGTGAAGGCTGTTGATACCTACCTAGTAATTCATATAGTGTTGTTGCATAAAGAAGATAGGCCAAAGCTTTATCCCTGACAATCTGGGGAAATCATCACATGCTAATCCTCATTCTTATTAGAACCCTTCTTTCGTAAATAAATAAACTGTCAACCTCGTACAATCAAACATGTAGTTCAGGTCTGAGAGATTTTTGTTACTCTCAAAATGACTGGAATTCTATCGGGAATATGGAGTATGCTCTTGGAGGTTATGTACTTCTGGCAAAGAGTAAGGAGATTGATAGCTTGTTATAAAGATTGTAATCTGAGCAATGCTAATAATGGTACAAATAGAGGTTCATGCAATGGATGACTCGAAAGAAACCAGTACGACTTTGGTCAGATCTTTTGCAAGATGCTCATACATATGAGGAATGGGAAGAAGCTGCCTTTCAATTAGATGTTTTGTTGGGAAATGATTTATGGTCTGTTCACACCCAAACCCTCTTTACATGCGGTGAACAATAGCTAATAGGATTGCAATCAGGCGCCAGAATCCTACATCCAAGTACTACGATTATCGATTGATACACGAGCGATTGCAATCAATCATAATAGCCCGCGAAGAAGGAGATATTCTGCAACTGGTCAATCTGCTGAGATCTGGTCTTGTGCGTAACCTGGGGAATATATCCGCTCCTCGACTTTTCAATCGCGCATTTGCAGGAACGAAACTCTTAATCGAAGATTATATTACACAAGTCGCGCAGGCGGTAGCAGATGTGACTCAATTGCCTACGACACCCAGCGCTGATGGGAACAATGGGGCGGTGACGGGCTTTAGCAGTCAGGCGAAGTTGGATCTTTTGCATGACACTCGGCAGGCTTTTGGAAGAAGTACATTGGTATTACAGGGCGGAGCAATATTTGGATTATGTCATTTGGGAGTTGTGAAAGCGTTGTTTAATAGGGGGTTATTACCCCGAATTGTAACGGGTACAGCAACGGGAGCGCTCATTGCAGCATTGGTGGGAATTCACACGGAAGATGAGCTGCCAAGATTTTTGAATGGGGAGAGTATCGATCTATCAGCTTTTGCAGGGAAAGAAAGAGGACTCCAGGGTACGAGTGGGTGGTGGGATACATTGACGAGGAGAGTAAAAAGATTCTACAGGGAAGGGTACTTTTTGGATGTGAAAGTACTAGAGGAATGTGTGCGGGCAAATGTGGGTGATTTGACATTTGAAGAGGCATATAATAAGACTAAGAGAGTCTTGAACATTACGGTAGCTACGAGTGGAAAGGGGGGAGTACCAAATCTACTGAACTATCTCACAGCACCCAATGTTGTGCGTATATTCTCTCGATTCTCATAATTAGATACACTGCTAACCGAAGTAGTTGATATGGTCAGCAGCCCTAGCATCTAATGCGTCAACTCCCTCTCTTTATGGGTCCTCTGTAACCCTAAAATGCAAAGATCCTCTGACCGGCACCATAATTCCCTGGTCCGCTGCAGCAGATGCCACATTCCACCCCTGGACCCACGCTTCATATACTGATCGCGACTCGCCCCTCTCTCGGATCGCCGAGCTCTTCAACGTAAACCACTTCATCGTCTCTCAGGCCCGTCCCTATCTTGTCCCCTTTCTACAATCTGACATGCACGGCCCCTCTCGGCTCTACACTCGCGGCGGACGTACCTCTTTAACTGGTGGCCTATTACGTCTCGTAACCATGGAAATTCATCATCGATTACAACAACTCGATTCCTTGCAGCTTCTCCCTCTATCGATTCGCAGGTTTCTGGTAGATGAACACATACCTGCCGCATCTGTAACACTTGTTCCAGTTCTGTCCGCAGGCGATTTCATCCGTCTTCTCGAGACGCCTACTCAGGACAGTCTAGACTATTGGATACTGAGGGGAGAAAAAAGTGTATGGCCAGCTGTCGGAGCACTTAAAGTTAGATGTGCTGTGGAGACAGAGTTAGATAGAGGATATCAGATTGTGAGAAGGAGAAAGGCGGGGGGTTACGGCGAAGGGGGAGTGTAGCTAATGACGGGCACAATGGAAAGAGGGAGAGGAGAGCTAGTAGTGCGGGGCCGAAGTGGTAATGCTGTCTTCATTCATGATTCATTTTTGTAACAAGATAAAAGTAGTCCAGGGTCATTCGCTGTACATGAGTTTTACAACGGTTGGGTAGGATTAACGGGTTATTGGTATTGGTGCATGGCATGGGAATTTGGGAACCAGACTGGCTAGGAGCATGCTTTTAATTAATTGACATACTATTCACATTCATGTTCGTATTTAGGTCGAACTCATTCTTCAACCTCTCTGATTCTATGCCTTGTACATTTGGATTGTTTTTCGACAATTTAGTAAAGCCTCAAACTCAAATAAACGACCTTCGCTTATTTGTGTGCATTCAGTTTTTCTTTGGCATTCTTCTTACACCAAACTCTAAATACAAGATAACTCTTAAACCCCAGTGATAGGAGGAATGTAATTCGAGAAACATCCTTTGGAGGGTGTTAGATTTTATTCCCCTAGAAAAACCTGAAATGTGAGCAGGGCCTAGTAGTACAAGAAAGATGGAAACAATGAATGGAAGCTTTGGTATCTTGTATTTGTGTAATATTGCCTCTAGATGCATTACACACGAGTAAAACCTAAACGAGACTTCTGCCACTCAATCCTCATCATCCGAATCAGCAAACATATCTACTGCCCGCGGTCTTGCTCTTCTCGGCGGTGCAGACTCTTCAACCTTCACTGCCGAGTCTGGTGCCGTTTCCACGGCAGGAGGAGGTTCATACGTGTCCCCTTTATCTTCCTGTACGTGCATGGGTTCTCCATCCAGATCGCCACCCTCATCACTATCCGCCATTGGCTCCCCGTCGACATCTTCCTCTTCCATCGGTACACCATCTACATCCTCATCATCTTCTACCATCGGCTCACCATCCAAATCCCCTTCATGAGCTTCCTCTTTAACTTTCTCCTTTGGAGCCACCTCCACAGCTTTCCATTTACTCTTCTCTTTGTTTTTCTCCTCCTTGCCCTTCTCCTCTAGCTCTTTCAATTCCTCAGCCGATAAAGGAGGTTCCCTGAACACCTTACCGAATTCGTCTTGGCTTTCCTGTGGGAACACACACCAGCCCTCCCATAAACCCAACACATTCCCTACACTCCTCTTCCACTTCTCGGCCCTTAATCTCCCCCACTTCATTTTCCGCTCCATCCTCCCCAATCCCTCAAACGTCTTTTTCCTCCGCATTTCCTGCTCGAATAGCTGTCGATAGCGCCATGCGTGTCGGACACCACTTGTAGAACTACTTGATAAAATATCAGATACAATGTATAAGCCTATTAGCGACGCAGAACTAGTGTCTTCCTCCTCGGCATTATCGTCTTTCTCATCACCGCTGTTATCTCTCTCCTTGTCCTTTTTGCGATCTGGATTTGCGGATGTGTAAGCAAAGGGCTTTTCAACATTAGATACAATTGCCGAGACGACTTCATCGGCTCCTCGACCTGCATGTGAGATTGCAAATGCAGTGACGCGAGCTACGTCTCCTTTTCGTAGTTTACCAGTACTAGTAGGTAAGCGTGATAGAAGGTGTGTGAGTTTGGCCTTCTCAAGAGGGTTCAAATATGCTTTTCCGTCCTCATTGAGTGTGCTAGGGTCAATTGGAGGACGTCTAGCACCTTCGTCGCCAGAGTCATCTTCATCGGAGGAGTTGTACTCAGAATCCGAAACAAATTCATCTAGACGGGTCGTATATTCGTACGCCAAAGGTTGATCGGGTTGCTTCCATGCCGAAGAGCCTTCAAATAGTGGAAGGTATTTTCCTTGCCCTCTTTTGGATTGCGAACCTGTCAACACCTCCCATAATCGCCATCGATACCAAACACCGCCTGTACTTCTCGAATCCCATAACCATGCCCATTTTTCTTCTCGCTGAACGGAAGCGCGTGACATCAAGAGCGCTTCAAACTCCGGTCCGTGAGTGAGAAGCGATTCAATTGTTTTGTGAATGAGTTTTAATTCTTTGATATCTTGCGGTGGCTGGACTGGAACAAAGAGTGTAGATCGGCTTAATTGAGGTGTGTTGTTATAAGAGGTAGGGGGAGCAAAGCCCCCACGATGAGACGACTCTGAAAACCCTCCGCGAGCTGCTGGTGGATTGACTGATTTGGCGCCGAAAGGTTGCGAGGCCGCTGCACTCCCTATGTTTGAAATCTGTGTAGAATTCGAAATCGCCGCTGATGACAAATGCCTATGTAAATTCAAATAATATCCATATCCCAAGTATTTATTTTGTAGCGAGTTGACCGTTGTGTCAATGTCATTCGCAGGGGTGTCTTTGGCCAATGTGACGATCGCCGACATAGATTTTCTTTCCGTAAATGATGTTGGCCCAGAAGGTGGTATGATTCTGACAGCATCGACTGTCAAGTTTGTAGGGAGTAAAGCTTTAATGACGGCAGGCGAGGTACCAGGAGGTAGAGATGCCAGTCGTAAAGTGGGTTTGGCCACGGCTCTCTCCTCGTCTCTGCTGGTCCCCATACTGTCTTCATCATGGTCGAATGTCTTAAGGACTTTTGATGCAGGTCCGTCATGACTGTAGTCATCAAATACAAATGGACCTTTGTCCTCTCTGCGCGAGGAGCTTTGTGCGAAGCCTTCGAATGTTCTTTTCTTTGGTAAGGTATTATTGCTCATATTCCCTGGTAAAGGTCCCAAGCTTCCCGGTCCACTACCCATCCCTAGTCCTCCTCGTGGCGCAAATCCTCCTCTGCTATCCCCAAACCCCCCTCTTCCCATTCCACTACTAAACCCTCCTCTTCCAAAATGTCTATTTCCTCCCATGCCGCCCATTCCTCCCATTCCATCAGCCCCAGCTGCAGGCGCATCATCTTCATCATCAAAACTCTTCACAAAATCCTCATACACAGCCTTCGTTTCTGCCTCCTCCCTCAACCTCTTAGCTTCTGCATCTGCTTTCTGCCTCTCGAATAACGATTTCTTGGAAGGAGCTTGAAGCTTATTCGAAACATCTGGAAACTCGATGATCTTTTTGGAACTCATTTTGCAGCACTACTTTCCAATTCCATATGCGACTATAATTGGCATATCCCCGAGAGAATGAGTAATATGTGCACGAACAGCGATGGTAATATAAAAGGCGCGATACTTATTGCGACAAGGCTGCGAGTTTGTTTAATTGGCTAAAGCTTGACATGCGCCTTTCACTGACGCTTACTAAGGTCAGCTTGTCTTAATTGCCGAAAATCATTGGTCTGCGCTGCAAACATCACTTCTCATCTCAATGATAAACAGCAACCAAACGTCAGAATTCCTCACAGAAAGAAATCGTACTAATCTCCATAGTTAAAATCATTTCTATCTTTGAATGTGAATCATTCACCAAATCCGAAGTATGGAGTTCACAGTCACATACTCAGCATGGAAACACCGTGCTGGTGGGCCGCGTTATTTTCTAGCTTCTTTTTATCATGTATCTTATGATATGGTGCAGTTGCCAAATTCTTCAAGGTTCTGGGGATCCTCTACCCCCACTATAAGTATTCGTCTTTGGGAGAAGGTGTAGACTTTTCTCTTTGGATTTCCTTCTCGTCGATCTACTCCTCTAGATTCTCATAGTTTTTGATATGTTCCCCAGAATTTAAGTGACCTTTCTCTTATCATCCATTCGTTATCACACACATTCCAGCCGTTTACACTGTGCGCATCCTACCTTGCTTCACTACTCTTCCGTCATGACAGCCTATACCCCCCCTTCGTCGATTCTCATAATCGGCACAGGTGTGTTTTCTCTAAGCACCGCCCTGGCTCTTCTGAAGCGGCCCGACTACAAAAACACAACCATAACTCTCCTCGATCGCTCTCCCTTTCCTGCTCCAGATGCCTCCTCCGTTGACTCCTCGCGCATTATCCGTGCAGACTACGGTGATCCCCTCTATGCCGAACTCGCGGACTCCGCCCAGAAACAATGGCGGCAGACAGGCGATGATGAACTTGGCGGCCAGGGTCGATACTCCGAAAGTGGTTTATGTTTAACCTGCGACACCTCATATGAGAACAGCGGGCAAGGATATGTACGATCAAGTTTTTCAAATGTCCAACAATTGATGAAACAAGCTGGAGACACAGACGGAGTCTTAGAATTACCGTCGGCAGAGGCTATACAGAAACTCTTTAGTGTAGGGCCAGGGAGTGGAGAATGGGGATATATCAACCGACGATCAGGATGGGCTGACGCGGGAGCCTCCTTAGTCTGGCTACGAAAAGAGGTTGAAAAGCTTGCTGACGAACGTGTCAAATTCATCGTCTCGGAAGTCACATCGCTCATCTTCTCTCCCGATCAAAGCACGATCCTTGGGGCCAACACTGCATCCGGTGCCCAACACTTTGCCGACCTCACGATTCTCGCAGCTGGGGCCTGGAGTGCCAAATTCCTCGATTTGCGCTCTCAAGTGCATTCTAGCGGACAGTGTTTGCTATACATTGATATCACAGATGAAGAACAGGAAAGATACAAAGACATCCCCGTGCTCCTTAACATGGCTACCGGCTACTTTATCCTCCCACCACGGAATAACATTCTAAAAATTGCACGCCACGCTCATGGATACTCAAACCCAACCATGATTCCCCATCCCCACCCCTCCTCCTCCGGCGAGATGATCAGCGTCTCTCTGCCCCAAACAACTTATGACCACCCCGACAATTGCGTCCCCGTCGCTTTCCAAAAGGAAGCCGCAATAGCCCTCCACACATTCCTCCCCGATCTTCCACCCCGTCCCTTCTCACACACAAGAGTGTGCTGGTACACTGATACACCCGCCGGCGAATTCCTCATCACCTACTGCGATAAACCGCACAGTAGCGGCGGCCTCGGTCTCAAAGGTGTGTTTTTAGCAACCGGTGGTAGCGGACACGGATTCAAGTTTCTCCCAGTGCTTGGAGAGAAGATTGTGGATGTGATGGAGGGGAAGGACGAGGTGTGGGAAAAGAAGTGGGCTTGGAAGGTTACGGACGGATGGGATGGCATGACGGATGATGGGAGCCGGGCGGGTCCAAGAGGGGAGAAACTTTGTAAGTAGGAGGAGGGATTCGGATGTGCTCTCTGTCTATGGTGTTTGAATGAATAATCGCGGAAATAGTTTTAGACGATACACGACTTAGTTCACTTTTGACATGGAGTATGGCTAGATCAAGAGTGGTTAGATGGTGAAGGGTCATATAAAGGATTATATAGAGGACTAGATAATGGAGACTGCACATATACAGATGCCACAAAAACCGATTCGAATATTGTGGTCCACATGCATGCAGTGTGGTAGATGCTACCAAACTTCCCTTCTCATATAAAGAGGATCATTGCTGTTACATTCAGATGATCTCGAACTCTAGCCGGTCGGGTTTTGTCTTGATTATATCACAAGAATTATCACACAGGCATTGCACACAATATGTATATAAAAACTAATGTTTTCTTTATTATTTGTTGTAAAATGTACCAACTAAGGCAATTTTGAATACTTGCTTTATCAGAATAGAAGTAGCAATTAATGACGGCATCGCAGGACCTGCGCACCAATGCCATCCGTCAAAGATGATGTTTCGCAGTCTATCAAGGACTAGTAACGCGTAAACATGCTGAAAAGCACAAATATATGAGTCCCTTCTTTGACTCTTTTCCCCCCTTTGATACGCCTACCATGCATGTTAATGTTCGTAAGATCGTGAAATAATGTTGTACAATGTAAAAAAGTGGTGGTACATCTGAACTGAATCAGACCTTCTTAAAATCTTTGGGCGATGTTAGCAGATGTCATGCATAGAGAGATATGTAAATATTTACCTTGAAGCACGGGATAGATCATCTCGAAAGCTTGGTAAATTTCCTCACGGACTTTTGCTCCCGTCAAGACAATCTTGCCACTGACGAAGATCAAAAGAACGATCTTAGGCTTCATCATTCTGTAGATAAGACCGGGGAACAACTCAGGCTCGTAAGAGCTGAAATTCATGTGGCGCGAAGCAAGTCCTTCCAAGCGAATGGGGAACTTGATATCACAGGAACCCACGATGTTCTGAATCTTGAAATCGGTGAACTTTGCGTTGAAACCAAGCTTTTGGATGATACGAGCGTATTTGCGGGACGCCAATTTCGAATCGTCTTCTGACTTTGCACCAGTGACGACCATCTTGCCCGAGGCAAAGATCAAAGCAGTAGTCTTAGGGTCGCGAATACGCATAATAACCGCAGCGAAACGCTGGGCAGGTTAGCAAAACGAAATATTAGATAGCAAGCCTAGAGAATCAGTAGTCACCTTTGGATTATATTCTGCGTTTCTTGCATGTAGTGCGATGGTCTTCAAGTCAAGACGGCAGTCCAAGTTGACTGTGGCAACGATGTTTCTTTACATGCAAGATAAGCCTCATGAAAAATATAATGAGGCATAAGGGTTATACATACTGTAGGGTGGGGACAATTCCACTGACACCTTGGGTAGCAGCGGGGGTTGCAGCAGGAGTAGCAGGTGGTGAGGCAGCGACGGGAGCCGCAGGTGATACCTGCTGCTTTCCAGCGACAGCTTCGTTAGTAGATGGTGGAGTGATATCGGCAGCACCACCGGGGAAAGACAGTGAGCCAGGTGCGATGAAGTTTTTAGCGTCAACGGCACTGGAAGGGTGTGTCTGAATGGAATCCATATTGCCTTTGATGTTTTGTTTATTCAAGGAAGTGTTTGTGGAAGGTGAGCAGATCTATTTGTATGTAAAATGTTAGATCGCAATCGGAAAGCGATGAGAGTGAATGTCTTTCTTTCAAGGATCGTGAAGGTCCAAGAGTAGATAGGGTACAGCGGACGTTCGAGATCGCGTATCTTGATCTGAAAGCGTGACTCGAAAGTAGCCGCCGATGAGGTAGGACAGTAGAAGAGATTGGGGATGGAGAGATATGGCTATAAATGTGTGTTTATAATCGCCGATGTAAATAAAAGCCGTACCGTTTGTGGGAGATAAACAACTCAATGTCTCCCCTACAGTTGCTGCTCGACGAAGATGACTTTTTGATTGACTTGAAGATCCAAATGATGATCGAGAGTCGAAGTCCTAGCAATCCCTGACTGATGTTTTTAGGATCAGTGTGTGAATAGCAAGCTCTTGTTTGAAGAAGTTCTTGTTGTTGTTGCGACAATGCGACTTGGTCCAAGGATCAAGGTGAGATGTGTCGCAAGGTGAATCACGACAGTAAATCGAGGTCGCAAAGGACGGGGTTTAGTATTAAAGGAATGAATGAATGATACTTTGCACAATCAAGCGCAACGTATGTTCGTGGGTTGGAGGAGGAGTAAGGTTTGTTAGAATATTCGAGGATATTCTAACGTGGTGGGTAGATTGGATGGGTTGGGTGGGATGTGGTTGTGGTTGTGGTTGAAATCGTAAAATTGAGTAAGATTACGAACAACCGAAATAAAGCGGGACCGGAGAGAGTTCAAAAATTATTCGAATGTGGCAGCAACGATTCTATTTATAAGAGATGAGAACTGCCACATTGGTCTTTGTGGGTTGCCGTACTACGAAGGAACCCATAATTAAATCCTTTATTTCACGTTCGGCGCGAGGAAAGTGCGACGTTATCGACCAATTAAAACTTGGCTTACAGCGATCTACCCTACTTGAATCTCTTGAAACCAACACCACCCAAATCTTTTACTCAGGGAAAGAAGAAAAAAAGGAGTCAAAGTAATAATGCCGCTGGCAACGCGTCCTTCCAACAGCTTCTGACACTTGAGAGGTCTCCTTTCTTCCTCACCCCCATCCTCAGCCATCATACGATATGCACCATACGACATGTACCATACGAGAGATGAGAGTACTCACCGACTTGCACAGTTATCGCAACCAGCAGCCATGATGGTGGAGGAGGAGAGAGAAAGTGAAGGGAGAGCAAGAGTGAGAGTGAGAGCAAGAGCAAGAGAAAAAAAGACGAACAACAAGTAGCCAAAGTCATTACGGAAGCCGATTTCATAAAACCATGGCAAAGAGGCGAACCATCGGTTACTATCAATGACCAATCAACCATCAGAGAATGACATTTTCATTATTCCACCATTTTGGTAGCGCCACGGCTAGTGAATTTTAGATACCAATACTTGCGTGGTGAAAAGAATCTTGGCGCTTGCTTGTCCTTTGCACAGGCGAGAAAGACTCTTGAGTCTTGACGGTTTAACCCTTTATTATAAGGTTAGATATTACGAACTTACGAATAATAAGTCTCTGTGCCCAATAAATGATGATCTGGCCTTTGGTTTATCAATATTGATCTGGATTCACTGAGCCTCTTCATGACTGACATGGGAAGAATGTGATAACTCGTGTATGTAATAATATTTCTCTTTTAGATGAATTACTTGCATAACAATGTGATTTTTCACGTATATCATATTTCCCTTTGTGTGTGAATTACTTGCATAAGAATGTGCATCACGATTGATTCCAAGGTTGAGAAGGCTGAGATGCCTAGGTAGGTATTTAATCTATCCCTTAATACATGCATAACTCACATGCATTGGCGCGTATAAATTGGATATCTTTCTAGGTTATCGTAGTACGGTAGCATGAGTCACAGTTAAAGTTGTCCCGACTGCAGCAAGAAGGAGGCGCAATGGCTTTTGGTGTGTGTGTGTATGTGTGTGTGCGTGTGGAAGAGACATATCAAGCACCAGCCTCGATTGTGTCTCTCAGTTCTCCAAAGGATAGGTAACTTTCGAATAACCTTAGGTAATGACGCCACAATCACATTCATTCATTCATTCCTCTGTTTGTTTGTTTGTTTGTTTGTTTGTAGAGAGGAATAGGAAACCAACAATCACGAGAATGCGGTAGGAACAAACTTTCATCGCTTTTGCTTGGTTTATTTCTCTCCTTCCCGAGGCTCGATGAATGCTAGATGCCCGTGCCTCGGATACAAAACAATACGATCGTTACGATATTGATCTTGGTATTGATATTGATCTTGATTGACATTGACATTATCACAATTCACAATTCAACCAACACCCAACACCCAACACCCCAAAGAGGCTTGGTCTCGTGTGTGATCGCCGTGATAAATGAATTAAATGAACGACTTAATTTTAAATCAGGCTTAAGCTTACGCCAAGGGGGAGCGCACCAACAACTTCCTTATCGAAAGGTTTAATTCTAGCTATCTGCACCATGAAATCTCTCCATGTCATGGCCGTCGGTACGGAGGACGTATGTGACATGATACCACGTCCCCCACGATTCCATTGAGCCTTTCCCATCTCCCTAGTGGCTTACTGAGATTTCCCCTTGTGAATAGTTGGGGGCCGCCCAGACAAGATCAAAAGGACGAGGTACATCGAGAGACAATGGGAACCACACCCAAAGATCATGATCATTGTCATTAATGAATATGCGCATCCTCATTTCGTGCCAACTACACACAGAAAGTATTTAACAATTAAATCATCCGACGTCATATCATCTAAACGAACCAAAGAATGTCAAAAACTCTATATGGTTTTACTCCGGAGACAAGACGTGCCTAAACACCTACCTAGTTGCGATCATTTCCGCTTACTGACTTGATGGGCAGTGATTGGTAGTCGATGAATGCTACCGCTATCTATCGATCATCGATGAAATATGAAATATGAAATATGAATTAATGACGTGACGTTACCAGCTTTCTGAATCCAGAATGTAGAATAGAATCCCATGGATCACTGATTCGCCGTTACTGCCATCTCCACCGCTAAAGCATTAGCTTGTGAGAAAGCAAACGCCTCTGTTATCCATCTCTCCACATCAAGAAAACTCAATATCGACCGGAGAATCTTACCAATACACAATAGCAGTCCTGTAACACCTACATCTCAAAACTCTCCCCAAACCCCAAATAACGCATACCGACCTGCGAATCGCAGAACACGAAATGGCATTCTCTATGTGCACCACTATTCAATCAAATATCGAAGAAGTGGACAGAGACGGACACCTAAAGTCCAGCCTCGAGGTGACCGAGTAGCATCCTTGAAGCATTTAACGTGCCACTGCATGCACCCTCCACCCCTAGCATTCTTTACCGAGTGGAAATTGACTGCCGTACAACTTTCGTAGACGGAGCTCTTATTCATGTGTGTGCGATGATTTGATCTACGGAGAAGGATTTGTGTGTGCATGTACGAGATGTTTGATTTGGGTTGTGCTGGTATGTATATATGGAGATGTCGTTACACTTGATGAGTCTCGGTTCGTGTCTTCGCTCTATTTGGTGTCTTTTTTATGTTAGGGTTTGCGAAGAGTTTTGAATCGTAATCCGTGTGGCTGTTGGTCTTGTGTAGGTATCGTTTGATGTTTGGGTCGCTCTGGGTGTCTATTGTTCGAATTGGTGTAGCGGGGTTTCCAAAGGTAGGCTTGGGTATCAAGATGCATTTGGTCGTTACGTATCGGCTGGTTGTGATTTGGTTGTTGAGTTTTGGGTGGAGATGTTGAGATGGGTTGGTGTGGTCAGGACGATTTTGGATATTGAGGTGAGGTTGAGTATTGAGATGGTTTCGAATATCAAGGCGGTCTTGAGTCTTGACATGGGTTTGAACATGAAGATGTTTTTGAACACTGACGTGATCTTAAGTCTCGAGGTGGTTTTGCACATTAAAGAGTCTCCAAATGGTACGGTGTGAGATCGCAGGTTCACAAAGGTAACTTTGCAATGGTCTTTAATCAATACTGAATATCACCGTGTGTTCTCTTGATAAGATCTACCTCTACCTCCAAGTGGAGATCATATTACGCAAATCATCCTTCAGCTGGGATAGATATTGAAGGGGTCTTCTTCCTGTTTTGACATCTCTTTTCTGACTTCCCCATAAACGTTAGATGCGGTCAATTTGTATACACATGAGTGGTGTAAGCTTACCCTTGCAGTCACGAGGTTGTATTTCAGGTTGACAACGCGCACAGATCAACACAAAAACTAGGCTACAACCCAAATGCAGACTCCTCGAATCTTGAGATGAAGTATAAATACCCAGGTACTTGGGTATACTTGCTAGGTATCATTTTACATTGTTTGCTCCAGAGATTTGGGCATGAAAAATATCGAGTCAGTTAGCATCCCAAGCTGATCACTCAATCAGGAGACACACATATATATTTGACAAGACAGCATTAAAATGGACGCAGACTCAAGTCGCTCTACCGACACTAGCAAGAGTGCTGATCTAACAGACCACACTCTTACAAACTCTCGGGCTTCAGCCAAAACAGAACAGGCTTCTGCCTCTGATATTACCAGTCAGGGGAGTATTGAAGAACAGTCAATCCCCGTCAACCCTTCGCCATCTTCAGTTACACCTCCAAAAATAAAGAAGCGTATCACCCCTACTCTGATTTCAAGCCCTTCAAATCATGAAATCCCCCCTCGCAATAGTCCATCAATCCCATCCTTCTCCGCAGCACCCGCCAGCCCCTATATTCACCAATCACGACTCAACTTATTAGAACAACAAAACTCATCGAAGGAACGACAAAGGCAAAACACCCTGGCCCCGAGCATAACTCAACCATCCCCTTCGAACCTAGCAAAGCACTTTCAACGTATCGATCTTCAAAATAGGAGGAAAGATCCTAATGCGCCTAGACGAGGGTTGTCTGCTTACATGTTCTTCGCCAATGATCATCGTGATAGAGTTCGCCGGGAGAATTCTCAGCTCTCGTTTGGACAACTTGGTATAATATTGGGCGAGAAATGGAAGGCGTTGAGTATGGGGGAACGTAGAGTGTATGAGGAGATGGAGGCAAGGGACTTGAGAAGATATAAGGAGGAATTTGCCAGCTATCGTGGTTGAGTGTCTTCTCATGAATCGATTGTAGTATGGCTATTTTCAATGCCCTGTGTTCGCCAAGACTCACCTATGATTCCTCTATTTATTCATATCCACGCGTGTCCTACCAGGAGCAGGTGTCTCATCTTTGGAAAATGCCAATTGTCAGCGGAAGGTGCAACTGTGAAGCATCTTGAATGTCAATCCATGCGATTCCCATACGAAGTAGATGGTTTCTGTTGGTTTGAGAAGGATAGGATGACGTAAAACCTGAAATGTAGGCTCTGGTTGTCAATGTGTAATCTGTCTCATGAGCTAGCGAATCAAAGGAAGAAGCAAGGCTTAGATAGGCCTTGCTATGGGACTAGCTCCTTTGTTGTAAGCTATGAATGACTCAGGGCCATTCATTCAACCTTTGTTCGTACAGTTTCAAGACAAAATCCGATAGTGTATCACTTGCATCGGGGCTTCCGTGGTTGGAGATCGATCTAGGATACTAAAAGGTCTTTTCTCTCTCAAAGTATCAGGAGAGTTTACTGAAACATGAGGAGAAAACGGGCATAGCGACCATTCTTCTCAGCCTTCTAATATATCGCATCTGATAGATTCATGTCAACACTACAAAATCCACCACAGGCGGTATAAAAAGTTGACTCGGGATCCCTCAAGTTTGTGTATGAAGCGAAAGAACTTGCTTCTGTGAGATTGTGCTACTAAATACTCTCTATATCATACACGCTGACGAGATGAACTGATGAAGACAATACTCGCCTTCTCGAGTGCTAATTTTATGTTTTCAGAACATTGCTCTCTTTACATCCATAGTCTACTTTACTTCCTGTAACTCTCGGTTCCAAACAAAAGATATTCTTTGTCGGTGATGGCGATGGTGATAGAATGGAGTCTGTGGTTTTAGGCATGCCAATTGGGATTCTCAAAATGGTTTCCCGTGCAGCAATCTCAACACCTTAAAATTGTATGCGTGTCAAAAGTTGACTTGGGATTTAATCCTCACACCATTCTGATATCCAACACCACTTCATCAATAGACAAGCAACTGTGCTATAACAGCACAACAGTACTCTTCTTCACCATTATTACTGAGGATGCTACATATATCACACAGATTATCTCCCACCAGCGGTATGTAGCATTATCCATATCCCATATGATGTAGAAAGCTCATCCGGCAATTCCCATCGCTCAATTCGTACACGAACTCCCCGCATTATCCATATTTCATCTCGCCTTTCCTCGTCAAGATCCATCCTCACATAGTTCCCTATTAACATTTCATCACAGAGATAATGCCAAGTTCAAATCTGATTCACCAATCCCATTTCTTGCCTCAATGTGTTAATACCTGCCTCCTCAACAGTATCATTCATTCATTCATTCATCCACTCCACCCTCCACCTCTCTCCCGCAACTCGCACTTCTCAAAGCAATGCGCTCGCAAAATCATTGGTCCCCTAAATAGTGATGTCAATTTCGATGTTCTGAAGATACGCAATAAGATCTATCTTTAGCCTAATTCACCGGTTCCATTTATCTATCCCATCCCATCTCATCTCATCCCATCCCTCCAAACTCCACACTCCCACCACCAGACATCCCACACCCTTCCCCATCAACCTTTACACTCACGAGATTTTCACCCCCTCCCCCAAATGTCGCCAACCTCAACCGCCATACTCCCCAGATACCTACCTACCTACCTACCTACCTACCTACCTACCTACCTACCTACCTACCTACCTACCTACCTACCTACCTACCTACCTACCTAACACCTAGTGCCACAAACACAAGATGCGAGAAAGTTCAGCAAACTTCACTTTCTAAATACTACTAATACTACTAACACTACTACTACTACTACTACTACTACTACTAATACTACTAACACTACTACTACTACTACTACTACTACTACTACTACTACTACTACTACTACTACTACTACTACTCCTAAGAGCTAACCTACTTTTCAGCATAGCCAGTATCTAAATCGGTAGCTAGAGTTTACGTTCTGTATATGTATGTATGTATGTATGTATCTATCTATCTATCTATTTAACTTGAGCTTATGACAAAGTTCCCTATTGTTAATGTTCTGGAATTTTAAGTGAAATGTCTTATCATGGTGACAGTCGAACCCTTCTATTCTTTTCTGCTTTGGACCTTTCACCATAGGGAACCAACGATGAGTGGAATTACGAGCGCTGGTAGGAATTCTATGGGCCCGCTGAACCATGATTATAGTTTTGACAAAAAGTATCATGGTGTCACCTCTTTGCTTGGTCACTGGGCGCATGGATAGGCATGATGCTCAGGAATGATGGAGATGTGAGAGCCAATGGAATAATTACCTATAATCACATCACATATCGAAAATTGCATCCTGTCAAATTATCCTTCCCATTTCTCATTACTACTATACCCCCAAAAGGAATGTATGTATGCACAAAAGAAAATGCTTGCTTGCTTGTTGTGTACCCAACGCGATCGCTCATGCTTGCAAAAGACATCACTAATGAAATAAACACGACCGCCCAATCCACCCAAGCCCTGTAGTGAAAAACGACAGACAAGAAATACAGATCCGACCATATACACATCAGTCATTCGACCTTTCATTGCTTTAATTCTTTCTCCATGCACCCCGTACAAAGTACAATCACTTCACCACCCTCACCCTTGTTTCCTCTCTGACAAGGGAAAATCTGCCCATCATCGAATCCACCCGCGCAATGGCCACATCGGAAGCATTCGTCATGCCACTCGCCGCCTAGTGCTTGTACGTATTGTCCTAGAACGGCTTTCTTACATCTCTTACATTTTGGGGCTTTGCGTTCTGTGCGTTTGGTTTGACATGAGAGACACCAGGCATATCCGTCTTTTTCTATGTGCGTCATTCCTTGTTCGAAAGGATCTCCGCACTCTGCGCAGAAGAAATGACCATAGTGCCAGTGTTCCCCGAGTGCGACGGCATGTTCACCGATGATAGGGGTTTTACAATGTTTACAGCGAGGAGCATAAAGTTCGTGCCAGTCGAGATGACAATAGAATCGTAACCTAGCATCTCCGTCTTCGGCTTCTGTTTCACCTTCGGTATCAGGGATTGTCTCTCCGTGTGCACGTCGCTTTATACGATCGAGACGTGCTGCACGAGAAACGGCGGGCTCGGGGCTAATTTCGAGGTCTTGAAGAGCGGTGCCACATGTGAAACAGATAAAACATTCCGGATGGAACCGTTCGGGTACACCACGGAGAGCTACCACTTTTCCTTCAATTGGTAATTGGCACTGATGGCAAGTTGCTGTGGCTCGACTACCTGCAGCGGGGGACCAGTGGCCTCGAGGAACCGGCGCGGGGGCTTGCCGTGGATTGGGGCGTTTTGAGGCAGTTTTGGGATCTGGAAGCGGTCTTGCTTTGGATTGTGACGAACCAGGCTCCGAAATCGTGGGGATCTGAGGTACGGACTGCGATACTGGCTCGTTGATAGTTGGAATATTTATCGTTGGTACAGCCGGTGCTGACTTGGTTGGGCTTGATCCCGGTTCAATGATCGTTGGAACACTAGGAGCCGAAATAGAAATTTGAGGGGAATCAGGAAATTTTAAGGTAGGGACTGACGGTGTTGATTCTGAGACACTTATACTAGGAACTGGGACGCTCACTTGGGTCGGTGCACTAAAATCCTTGTTTGATGTGATAGGCGTCGGACCTGGTCGAGCAGGTAGGCTTTGCTTTTGGCTATTTGGCCGGCGATCGAACGGCGATCTTCTTCGCACTTCTGGCTTGTCATCAGCCTCTTGCGGCTTCCAATTTTTGTCAAAGCTTACAATTGGACGGCCAGGTTTATCACTGACTGCAGTGGGCGTGGGGAGTTTGGGGCTGCGATCACTAAGACGCATGCTTGTCGCTTGACGTATATCATCACCTCTGATCTCAACCCCATTCTTTTTGGGAATCTCTTCCTTCTCAGCATCTGGTTCATTTGCCGGCGGCATATTTGCAGTATATGCAGGATTTCTTGACTGTGTTGGTGGATTTTTATATATCTCGGTTGTGGATAGCTTTTTGGTGATTTCAGGCGGGGTACTATTGGATCTTGGAACATCCCCCGAAAATTGAACACGATTGAGGGGATTTCGAGGTTTGATTTGTAAAGCAGAGGCTGGGCGGCCATCCATGAGTCGACCACGATCGGAATCGTTCGTGCTTTCTTGCTGTGGTTCCTCCCAAATCTGTTCACCAGTAAAGCTGCATTTGATTTCGCCGCTAATGTTCCTCTTGCCACCACCGCTCATTCTTCTTCCGTTTTGTAGTCGGCTGATACTGCCGTAAGTCTTCGTAGCTTGTTGAGCCATTGCATCTCGACCGGTATCTAAGGATCCACTTAACGTTGGTTCTGGGGTAACACTGTTCTTCAATGGGGAGGAAGGCCTTGAAGTTACGGGGTTTTTTGGTCCTTCTTCATCGCTCACAATTGAGTCTTTTCTTGGAATTGCAACTCTAGCAAGCTCCTTAGTCACAGCAGGACTATTGATTCGTCCAACACTCTGAGTCCTTGCACGCGCATAACTGTTCTTTCTTAAGTGGTCTTTGTATCGATACGGCGCATCAGGGTTTTTGAACTTATCCCCAAACTGGTGCGTGTAGACCAACTCGGATGCTTCATCTTGCGCAGCTTTATGGATCCGCACTTCGTCGTCGTGCTCTCCTTTTATATCCATATCCTCCATAGCCTCCCGCAGAGACGCTGCCTCTTCCTTTTCCATCCATCGTAGACCTCGTTCGATATATGTAGCACTGGGCACAACTTCGGAGGGTTTGAGAGGAAGCTCTTGAGGTGGTGGTTGAACAAGTGATCGCCCAGCTCTAGAGCTGACCGATGAATATGATCCAACGGAATTTCGAGTTGGTCTGCGAGAAAATGAACTTCCGGGCCGCGGTTGAGGATCGACAGAAGCTGGGGTCTCTGGTGGGGCATTTGTCTGCGGGGTGATAACTGATGATACCGATGATATTGAATTGGATTGTCGCCGTTTACTGGGAGGGGGTGGCCTTGCACCACTCGGGCGAGCAACACGATTGTTTCTTAAGTCTGCCAAGTAGTCCGCTATCAACTGTCAGTAAGAAGCAAGACCATTTCTCAAGGACTCGAGCTTTGCCGGTAGCTGCAAACGAAAGAGAGAATAGATCGAACCTACCAAATTGATCGTTTGACATATATGACGGCCCAGGAGGGGTGACATTATGGTCGGTCGGCTCTTTAGATTTCCCTCTCAGTAACATTGTAAAAATCCGAAGTTGAAGAAAGTTGGCTCAAAAAATTATAGTTTGGCAAAGAAGCTTTAAGTATCGATGGCAGTGTAGCGAGGATTTGTTGGCGGTGTGTTGCGTCAGAGTTTCTATCCAATGTGGAAGTTCCAAGTATCTGTGATAATGTTTGAGAAATGGTTCGAGGCGTGATTCGTGCGTATTGCTTAGGATATCGTAGATAGTATGGTCGCAAAAGGAGGAAGAGGATGATGATGAAATGATTGAGGGGAAAGTAAAAAGGAATACAATGCTTATCAACAAAAGAGACAGGAAAGAGAGACAAGCAACAACAACAACAACAACAACAACAACAACAACAATAACATATACTTTTTTTTATAGGTCTTTGATGATTATAAAGTTGACAGTAAGAAGGAGAAAATCAAGTGTCACTTTGAAATCTTCAAACATTCAATGTTTTCTTATACAAATCACACAGTACAACCTACCTGTGGAGGTTGGTTCTATTGCTATCGCGCCGAAGTCAATAACCGGCTGAAGGCTAAACAGTCGTCTCAGCAACAACCTTCTCTTGGATTTGAGCCTCCCAAATGTACCTAGGTATTAGATCAGATCTCAATTATGGAGACATGATTTCCCAAATCCAAACCTTATAAGATACACTTTATGTACTCGAATCCTTCGTCCTCTCTCTTCTCTTCTTGAGCTTTGGAAGTTTCGACCGATTTCCTCGATTTCCTCGATTTCTTCTTTATGCTATGGATCCAATTAATGGAGAACTTTTGATTGTACGGTCGGTAGTTTGAAAACGCATCCATAACAGCGAATACAACAAGGGGGGCTGATTAGTAATCCGAGGGAGAGCAAATCGCGTACTGCGAAAGTGATGTATTATGTAAGCGAGATAAGGTACACCGCGAGACATGGGTAAGTTATGTTACACCGCTTTTATCTTACCACCAATGGAATCAATCTGCCCGGCCAAACTAATCCTGGCTAACGAAGGCGGTATAGCAATACAACTTATTCCATATACCTTCGTATGATTGTTTCCGCCAGCAACTCTCCATTTCTCTTCTTGATCCTCTTTCCATTGTCTCCTCTTACTTCTGCCCAACACCACAACACTGACCTTACATCTTCTCCATCTTGCTCTTCTTCATCTTCTTATCCTCTTCAATACATCCAATACATCCAATACATCAATACATACACATAATCTCTACCATCAGCATTTACAAATCTCTTTACAATGTACAACAAACCTAGTACATTCTGGTAGGTATCCACAGTCTACATGGCCAAGCAAATTGATTGGTGGCGAATGCGATGGACGGGTGCTCGGCTTCAATTATTACTACTCTGCACTGAAGGAGGATTCTTCATTTCTTATTCCCGATTCTATACCCATACCCACACCCACACCCACATGAGTATGCTAGGGAATAGCACTGTTAGCTTCGCGGGGAGGTAAAGCTCAGGTAAGAAAAAGCATTTCGTGACTAAAACTTTTGCGCCCTTCACAATCACATTGATGCGCCGGTCCGGCAACTAGGAAGGTCATTGCCTTCTTCAAATACAGAGATTCCTTAGCATTTCCTTTGGAACCCATCTTCATGGATTTGCATCGGTAATCTGTACTTTATTCCTTTCTTCGTGTATATCTTATCTACACTCTTTTCGATTAATTTCTTTCCTTCTGTATCTATCTTCAAGGATACGCCTTTCTATATGAGATGAGTGCCATCAACAATGAGCGGTCAGGACGAGATGACAACAACGAAATAAACATTGCGAATGCGGTGGAGAATGTGGACAAAGATATAAGGGGCCCATCAGATAAGAATCTTCTGGCGGAAGATCGAGGGCATTACACCGATGACCCAGAAAGGATTGAGGACTTGAACCCAGTGGATGTACCTCCTGATGGTGGATATGGCTGGGTTTGCGTCGCATGTGTATTTCTGATCAACGGGCATACTTGGGGAGTCAATAGTGTCAGTGAGCAAGCTTTCCATGCTTTTCGTTGCTAATGAATCTATCAGTCTTACGGTGTTTTCCTTGCTCACTACCTTGCGAGTGATACTTTTCCTGGCGCAACCTCCCTTGAATATGCATTCGTCGGCGGTTTGTCGATTTCTTTAGCCCTCCTCACCGCACCGGTAGCCACGAGTTGCACACGCAAATTCGGAACACAAGTCACTCTAGCCATCGGTATTGTACTCGAAACAGCTGGACTTCTTGGGGCTTCTTTTGCATATGAGATTTGGCATCTATTCCTATCACAAGGTGTCGCTTTTGGGTTCGGTATGGGTTTCCTCTTCGTAGGTAGCGTTGGAGTAGTCCCACAATGGTTCTCGAAACGTCGATCTTTAGCCAATGGCATTTCAGCAGCTGGAAGTGGACTGGGAGGTTTGATATACTCCTTGGCGACAAATGCAATGATTCAATCCATTGGGCTCGGTTGGGCTTTCCGAGTATTGGCTATTTTGGCTTTTGCAGTAAACACCGTTTGTACAATTCTGGTCAGGGATCGAAACCATGCGATTGGATCTGTCCAGAAAGCTTTCGACACACAACTGTTCAAGAAGCCTGAATTCTTCCTTTTGCTTGGATGGGGATTCTTCAGTATGCTCGCATACATTGTTCTTCTCTTCTCCTTACCTAATTACGCGAGGAGTATCGGTCTTTCAGCCAAGCAAGGTTCGGTCATTGGTGCTATTTTAAATCTTGGTCAAGGTCTTGGCCGGCCATTTGTAGGGGCATTTTCGGATGCAACTGGGCGAATCAATATGGCAGGCACTTGTACCTTCCTAGCAGGGCTTTTCTGTCTCGTTATTTGGATTTTCGCTAAATCATACGGAGTTCTCATATTTTTTGCTCTTATTGTCGGAACTGTCTCGGGCACGTTTTGGGCCACTGTTGCCCCGGTAGGTGCAGAAGTAGTAGGTCTCAAAGTCCTTCCTTCGGCTTTATCTATCATTTGGTTAGTGCTTGTGATACCTTGCACTTTTTCTGAGCCAATTGGACTAAAGTTGAGAGCCTCATCTGGGGATATATACCTACACGCACAGGTCTATGCAGGATGTATGTATATAGGAGCTGCACTGTGTATATGGGGCCTGAGGGCTTGGAAAATCAAGGAATTGGAGAGCTTAAGAGAGGGAGAAAGGGAGAAAGAAATAAGGGATGAGGATGAGGCAAGGAGGGAAAGAGAAAGGGAACAGGGTGAAGAGAACGATTCTGAAAAGAGTGCCAATGTTCCGATGAGAAGGCAGATGACAAGAACAGAGAGTGTGAAGCGAGCCACAAAGGGGCTCTGGGTTTTACAGAGAGTTTAGAAAGATGCTATTGATACCCCGGTATATTCAAAATCGATGTCAGAGAGGAGACATACATATATACACACACATATAATGATATCAATTTCAACATTAATTTGAATTCATTGGATACTACCAATGTCGTATGCAACACAAGTTGATACCATCATTAGGGTGATAGCTTTGCTTTCCAGATCACGTTTGTGTTTGCGGCGATTACGATCTTGTTATATATATATATATGGTCTTTGATGGCTTATGAGATATGACAAAGTGAAGGAAAAGGACGGATAAAGGAGATATTGAGCAATCTATCTCAAGGAGGTCACTATCGTAGCTGAACAACAAAACTTTGATGCACCTAGTAGTTGAAAAGACAATGACCAAACGATCTCACAATCATAATCGCAATCACATGTAAATAATTAATGATTACCTAATTGATTCTGATTCAAGTCTAGTGCGGGAAGCACACCTTCCTGATTGTTGAGATTATGCGGAATGTTCCTGGGCCTACCTAATAAGCGGGATCTTTTTTCAGGGTCTTCCTGGAGAGCACGAGACCCTATTTGGAAAATAACAGGAAATTCACAATCCCCTCATCTTAGACTAACCTTCTCCTTATTCACCATTTTATTTTGACCCTTTCTCTTGGAACATTGTCTGCTTGTGATATAATACTTCAAAGGACCAGACCGAAAGTTTTTGAACCTCAATTGATTCACATTACGTTACTTTTCTCAAAACTACACGCACAAGACAATCGCAAGCAGCGCAAAGGTGTTCTTTGAGAGCACCCCTATTCCTCTTCTTCTAGCCACCGTATATTGGTGACATTAGTATATCATAGAGAGTTCAGGATATCACATCTACGATACCTGCCGAAAACCAGAATCCATTTGTTCAACGCTGTTCTCTGTAGGTCAGTCGCGTACAAACGTTATTCACCCCTCAGGGCCTCATAGTCCTATCATCTAAGACAAATCCAATTCGAGTAGGTCCGTTTTGAAATCCTTTTATTTTGCAGATTATTAATAGATTTGAAACAGCATAAAGAGTCTGCATCGATTTGAATCCTTTCGCTTGCGGCCGGCTCCTTTCGTAAACAAACATCATGGCCACAACATCAACGCCGAATACTTCTTCGATTGGCAAGATCCGCTTTATCCCTCTCTCTTATAACTCCGCCGAGTCTCAAACATCAGCCTTACGTCTAATCCTGACCCTGCGCCCCGAATGGGAACAAACTGATGGCAAAATCGAGTTCATACGATTTACGGATGGCATAACAAACACATTATTGAAGGTTATCAACAAGAGACCTGGGCTCACCACGGAAGAGATTGATAATGAGGCAGTCCTGCTGCGGGCATATGGTCAAGGAACCGATTTAATTATCGACCGAGAACGTGAGACTCAAAATCACGAGTTACTTACGCAATACAATTTAGCACCAGCATTACTTGCCCGATTTAAGAATGGAATGCTATATCGATTCATTAGAGGAGCGGTCACTAGTCCAGCAGACCTCAGACAGCAAAGAATTTGGCGTGGAGTAGCTAGACGATTGGCAGAGTGGCATGCGGTTGTTCCTTGTCTGGCGACGAATCATGAGGTCCAACCCACAGAAATAAATGGTAGTGAACAATTTGCTTTTCCAGCTGCATTAAGCAAGGTGGAGCCTGCTCTCCAATCTGCCATTGACAATACCGCTCCTGGCAAACCAGCCCCTAATGTCTGGACGGTGATGCAAAAATGGATATATGCACTTCCAGTGGGATCAGAGGTAGAAAAGACTCGACAGGCAACTTTGCAAAAGGAACTGACTCGCCTGGTTGCTGAGCTCAGCAATCGACCTGGTCTTGGTGAAAATAGTGTGAGTGACCTTCGTGAAACCCGATGCGATCATAATTGTCTCTGGACGCAAAGTAGTGCTACCATAACGATGCAACTCTCGCTGTAACATCCTGCCGCCGAGAACCGTGCTGACATTTTCCAGCTCGTATTTGCCCACTGCGACCTTCTAAGTGGTAATGTTATCGTGCAACCCCAACCCACTGGCACTACTACCCCCGCTGCAGTAGAAACAGTCAGTTTCATCGATTACGAATATGCCACTCCTTCTCCAGCAGCTTTTGACATTGCCAATCATTTCGCGGAGTGGGGAGGGTTTGATTGCGAACATCAATACATGCCCACGCGCGCAGAAAGACTCGATTTCATTCGGGAATATATTCGAAACTATTTTGCTCAATTGAAGCAAACTTGCGACGAAGAAGCAGAGGTTCAGAAAATGTTTACCGAAGTGGATATATTCAGGGCGGTTCCAGGGTTCTATTGGGGAATTTGGGCATTGATCCAGGCCACGATATCTCAAATCGATTTTGACTATGCTGCATATGCAGAAATTAGATTGGGAGAATATTGGGCCTGGAGGGGAGAGAATGATGGTAGTCGAGCGGCGTCTGGCAAGGAAATATCCTTGAGAGAGCGAAGATGGGCGCAGGACGCATAACTATCCCCCCAAAATTGATGCATAGCATGCATTTAGAATTTGTTTAGATCGACTTGCATATTTATGAGGCTTCAACGCCTAGCAGCGTAGCCCGGTGGGAACACTGGAGTCTTCAACGACAAAATTTTGAGATACCTAATGAAGTTAAAAAGTTTCAAAAGTACATAGCTTGATTTTCACCATCAAAGAAAGGTTGATGATTTGCAATATAGACACTTTCAAGTAAACATCGTGCTGTCGCCGCATCCTTTTCACATTAAGGTTTACTGAAAAAGGCTGAGAGGGAATATCAAAAGCAACATAGTAAAAACAAGCTTAAATTGATGGCTGGGTATCATGGGATAAGCCCAATGCTAAGGTGACATTCGGGATCGGCCAGTACCTAGGCTCAAGCTCCAAATGTAGTATTGTACGCAAACGAAGATCAATTAAGCAAAGGACTTATTAGAAGAGGTAGTATGGATGTTTCATCGGTAACTGCCTCGTTTGATCCTAAGAAGTTCATCTTATATGTTCAATACCGAGTCAGCCTTACAAGATGAGACAAGATCAGACAAGACTCCGGATTACATGGATCGAGTTATGGATGTTTCGCCTCCCTTTGTATTGATGGAAATGAAGATTCGGCTTACGCCTCTCTATCATTCCCGCGTGTGGTAGCATTACGGCCTATCCGTTGGATCCATGGAGAAGGATGCCGCCATGATTGCTCCGTGCTTGTGTCACACGGCTCATGATTCTAGAGATCTATATTCATACATTCATTTAGCACCATCACCCAGTGAGATGCACGGCCACATCCTCTTCTTAGGTTCATTAGTTGCATCATACATATCTGTGTTTCCTGCATTGCCGGGACTATCAGCTATGGTTGTCAACAGAGGAACAGAACCGGAGATTCGCTAGATTCAAATTGTAACAGCCAAAGTGATCTATATTTGGCGGCTAACCTTCGCGTGGCAACTGCCCCATTGTGATAATTTACGGAACCCCGAAAATCTGCAGTCTGAATTGTCAATCTGTGTGGCAGTGACCGGTACTTGCCAGATACTCAAACAATCACCTAGTCTATCCCTTAGCTCGAAGTACCCAATTCGGATAACTGTAGCGAATCTCTAGATAGTGAAAAGGTGGACAGTGTGTTGAGAGGAATCGTAGAACTAGCAGCACTGTTAGAAAATCCAGACGTGTACTCATGCGGCCAGGGTATATGCAACTCATGCCTCAACGGGCTTAAATCGTTTAGAGGCTCAAGATCGAGTGGATATCAAGTGGAGAGCAGCCAGTAGTAGTAGTTTTCGTACCGTACTTACTCCTTTGCGATTAGCGCCAGCCAAACTTCCTAAATCCAAGCTTTGATTTACTACCGCATTCTGGGCCGTGTACTTACTCGAGTATAGGTAGCGCTCCGGGGCGTTACGCCGATTCTTACCATTGTTGAATTATAATAAGGAGCTGCTAGTCTATTCCATGACAGCCAATCCCGATTTCCTCAAGCTTATTTAAAATCTGTGCTAAATCGAGGAATGGGCCATCAAGATGTCGAAGGATTGCCAAGCAATACACACCAGTCAATGCCACAACTAAGCGGTTCTCAAGTACAGTACTAAACACCAGTAAGAAAGTAACGTTTGAGGAGCAAGCCGTTGGGTTTTCAGCCCGAAGAAAAAGAGAGAGAAAATGAAAGAAAAGAAAATAGATTGATGTCCTATTTTGGGTTCTGACCTCAGAGTGCGTTTCAAACATTTACGACTATGCACTGTATCATGATTGTGCGACCTTCTATAGATTACACCACTGTTGTTGGATCTTATATCTTATATGTGACGTGTAATCTGCATGCTTACCTTAGGTGTATCAGCACTTGAAATCTACCATGGGCGGTGGTGACGATCTAACCACATAACCCTCTTCAGTCTGTACCACAATCTCACTCGCTACTAATTTGACACCATCAATTATAGACCGTTACCCCATATCGACGATATCACACTATCCTACTAGAGCAAAGGCAAGGCTGATAGCTATTGCGCCTCTTGAGCCTGTCTTAGATATTTTCGGCGCCTTTTGTGCGACAAAATGTCTTGCATTACTGACTTGACTCAGAACGAACTACATCCTCACTTTTATCGTGAGAGATTGAAATAAAAGGTTGTTGTATGCACGAATAGGATTGGCGCTGCGACTCCTGGGAACACCATTCAGATGAGGCAAATTCAGGTTTGGGTCCAGTTCCAGGAACCAGGGACAATCTAACGAAATATCTTCTAAAAATACCCGATGCAACATATAAATTCCTATTTGCTGGGTTACGATTTCGTGTAGCAACAACGTTAATTCGACGTCCATGTCACAACTAACAATCAGTAAAGAATGTTTGAATCAGATGTTATTAATGGACCTGGGACACCCGAGTACAGACACCGGATGTACGCCCTTGCAAAAAAAAAATTAAAAAAATATAGGGCCCGGATATACATGGCACATGCTGTTCGTTGTCTCCAGAATCTGACATCGTTCCATAAAACTTGATGTCTATTTGTTGATCTGACCCCAAGGTGATGATGCCAATCCAATCCTAGCTCTTTACCGTAATCATCAGTAGGCTGTCAAATCAAGAATTTTCCCATCTGTGAATCTCTGGATTGGATTAATTTAGCTCGATTTAGCTTGAAGCTGCTGATTAGTGTGTTAAGCAATGCTTTGATTGGCTCCATCGGGCTTTGGGAAACCTTCAAAGCTTTCATGGAGCTGAGGTCCTCTAGACAAATCACCTCGAAGGATCATCATAATTTTAGCCTTACAGAGGTTAACACATCAGTTAGACAGCCTAGGATCATCGTCACGGTGCGAAAATAGCACGGCTTGGAGTGTTTGGATTTGCAGGATACGTAGCTCACAACAACTCTAACCCTATATTGAAGTTCCAAGTGTCTATTAGTGCAGCTAATCGATGCAGTTCTCATGATTCAACAGTCGACAGATCACAAGAATACTCTGAGAGTTAGTCTGTTTGTACAACAATACTGGGATGGTAATGATACTTGACCAAAAAACCTCAGAGAACAAACCTAAAGATAACATTGAAAATCCAAAGTAAGCAAACAAGAAGGGCAAAGTATTAGTGCGCGGCTTCTTCCACCACCCAAGAGGTCATGATTTATTACTTTGTGTAAGCACGTATAAACTTTGTATTTGGCATTCTACAGAGTACATACTCCGTAAAGCTGGAACCAACAGCTAGAGCTCGCATTCGCTTGATTCCTTCAACGAATCATCAAAGAATTGAGTTTCTAACTTTCTCGCTTATGTCGAAACTAATCCTAGTCAAGTCAAATCTCAAGCGCATGGGAATATACACGCCCATCCCTGAAGACTACAACGGGTGGAGTTTGTTGTTAAAAGCGGTGGCTTCCCCCACCTCTGGTCAAGATCAGGGATAGTCCTAGCGATTCAAGGCTGAATATTAGCACGATACCCATTCCTGAATTGGAGAGGTATGGATCCATGCGCCTAGGAGGCATATTTTGTAGGATGTAAATGCTAGTGCTCAAGGATAAAATGATCTCACTGACTGCGGACCAGAAGGAACGACTGATATAACTCCCTTTCCTTCTCCATCCAAACCGTTTTTGTTATATATCATCTAGGCATCACCCAACACAACCATGGCCACCACTTTCACGTCAACCATTCACGACTCTAGGCAATATTTTTATTCAACAGCAATGGATTCTTCAGCGGATAAAGAAGAACGCAAGCGCGAGGTATGTTGCTCTCCTGTAGGCAGCTACTATACAGAGACTGATAAAAAGTTATAGTACAATCGTCTTGCACAAAGAGAATTCCGTATGCACTCTAAGGTCTACATTACGAGTAACTAAAAACTAATCATGAGTTTACCAGGCCGAAGAAGAAAGGAACACCTCAAGAACCTCGAGCAAGCCCAAAAAGAACAGAGCTCGGAGCAGTCTGAAGAGATTGAGCGCTTGAGATATCAAAATGACGAACTCAGAAGAGAGAACGAAACTCTTCGGGCGCAACTATACGGTTCAACGACACAAAGTCTCCTACTTCAACCAGTAGGACAAATTCCTTCCGATCATCGACAATACTCTTTATCCCCATCTATTTCTGGCGCATCTATTTCAAATGCCGGTAGTCCCCCTGCTTCTTTAAGCTCGGAGATGATGTCGATGGGCTCAATACCAATGACATCTACGATGATTTCACCATCCACATATGCATATGCCGATTCGGCTGCTTTATCTTCTCAGCCATATATGGTACATCAATCCGGGCTCCGTCCACATAACTCACAAAGCTCACCTGATACATCAGGATACACACGGAATGCTCGATCTGCAATGGGGCCTTCAAATTTTCAACACCCCTCTCTAAGCGTCCCTCGAGCCAGCGGCAGTGGCAACGCTACCGACCAACAAACTAGGGCATCCTCTTCCAGACAAAAGTTAGTAGCCCCATGGACGACGCAGCTTATGGGTGGTATTAACGGTCCGAAGTGTCTCGATAACTACGGTGCCTTACAATCGCAAAAGATGTTGCATTGAAATTCGAGAACTTTTCCGACCACTCCTTTCCGACCCTTCTATTGTGGATGGCTCCTCTCCAGACCGTCATCTCGCCCTTCTGCGCTCCATGACTGACATGCTTCCTCCAACCCTCAAGCCCAACACGTCACAACTCGAAAAAGCTCACTATTACGCTATTGATATGATCGCTTCTCCTTCATTGCGAGAACGACTGATGGCTTTAGCTGGAGATGTAGCGCTAAGCTTCATTCGGGACTTTGGGAGTTGCATTGGAGAGGCAGATGACACGGGGCAAATCATTATATGGGGAGACGATCCTTACAACGAGATATCTTGGGAGGTTTCGCAACCTTTATTAGAGCGATGGGGCTGGTTACTCGGCCGGGATTTTGTGGACAGAAGCAATGCATGGAGGGCACAACGAGGTGCCCCATCTCTACCTGATTGGTAAAGAAGGAGTTTTGGGCGTGCCGGTTGAATGAGTGGGATTTGGTTTGAAACGGACTTCAACGAAGTACGAAATACGGAGTGAAATTGGGCATCACAATATACCACAGCATAGCGAATGGCGTTCAGCATTTTGAATGGTGTTTATTTTTATTGGGTTAGAGGTTTTATGTATGGAGACCATTTTGGGTCCGATAGACATGAGACGAAGACCAGGTCTGGATTTCTACAATTAGATACCAAAATTTATTATTTCACCAACCCTACTCTTGAAAATGATGTTGAAGCTTGGAATACCTATCTATGCATGTGATGGAAACCATAGGGGAGGTATAACCAAGGATCCGAGGGCTGAGTTGTTGGTACTGTACTACCGTGCATGCGATCAATTAGTGAACTTTAGTCTGAGGGGTACACTAAGAAATTTCATGTCGTTCCTATCTTCCAATAAATTATCGAACAATCGACTGACTCCAAGAAGATCTAATAAGAATAAGCTCTAGCCAGATATTTTAATCAGCTTATTTTCAACACATGATGATCTCTAGTAAAGCCCGGGAACTTCACTCCGAGCATCGAATGTATACATGAGACTCGTAGTGCATCTACAATACCACTACACCTCCCAAGCACGTCAAAACTGTCAATAGTGCCTTAGCATAAGGAGTTCTCCGAAGTGAGATGCGAGTGGCAAGTTTCGAATATTGTTCATCGACGGGTTTCAACGCAGAGGTAGACTTAATTATTAGATCTGGCCATCAATCGGGAGCTACTGAGCTACCCCGCCATGTACGTATGGTTGTATTGAGATCTTGGATCTCAACAAGCTAAGTGCCCGTTGGTATTGAGTATTCGCGGCTATCGTTCATTGATTTATAAAATATCAGACCACCTTTACCTTATTAGTGTCGGTAGGTTTGCAGTGGCGAGACGGCTCAAGTTGAACTTAAAAAGCATTGACAGGGTTAAGTTACGTTGCACTCACATTCAGATGGTTCCGGAGTGACATGCAGACACGCTAGTTTTCGAGCATCGACACTCCCTTTCCAGATCTGTACCATGAGTCTATTTACTTAGTACGCTATTCGTGTTGAATATCCAGTCAGAAGGCCAAGCTCAAGAAGAATTAAGAACTATACTACATTTCGTAGGTACAGACGAATTTACTCAAGTATTCGCGCGTGAGTAGATATTGTCTTGACTTGGAACATCTGGTCAGAGCGGCTAGCACGGGGGGGAGGCGGGGGGGAAGAACCACGGAGTCGGAATTCCGATGGGCAATGGTAAATAACGGTAGCTGAGTGGGTAAGATTGAGGTGGCTTAACCATGTTCATTTACTGGTCTAGATGGAAGTTGGAACGATACTTGCCGATTTCAACATTTCGATATTCGACTTTCGACTTTTACTCAAGCTTCGGTCTTCGACTTCGAGTCAGTGTGCAAAAATGAATGGCGGTAAGGATAATGTCAGATCAACTCATAAAATCACTCATTTCATAAGATGGTCGGTACTTTCCACACTTGGTGTATGTTCCCCTTTCCCCTATTGGCTAAGTCGTTACGATCGATACACAGAATAGTGAAGATTTTCTTACTCATCTCTCTGGGCCAGGGATGTGGGTAGGCGTATGCACTGCAACATCTCTTTCCCCGCGGCTACCCAATACAAGGATTTTAGATTACACGTTGTCGGTTGTAAGGTTACATCTTGTGGAACTCATCTTGGTTCGCTTCCATAGCGAGCATGGCGAGCATGGTTACAAATCCAAAAATTTCAGGACAGGCCAGCAGGGTTACGGATCTTGAGACTAGGTATAATGGTCAAGAAAGCCTTACTGGAAGCCACCACTGTTATTATATATCCTGGGGTATGGAATCTTTTGTTGAATCCCTGTTCATTTAAGGTCTCAGTAGTGTACGGAGCAGGAGCCTCTCAAAAGCCTCTTCCCGCTGGCACTAACAAGTAGGGATTAATGTCTGGGAAAAGATTGACGGTTTGAAAAAGCCTCCTTATATGGAGACTTTATGGAGTCTATGGAGCACTCCAGAATTCTAATCAGGCAACCTCTTTTTCTGGAAATTCCCCCTATCTAATTGGCCTGCTCGGACGGGTTTTGGTATGACCCGCTATAACGTTCTGATCTCATGTGGGGATGAAGGCTTCAAAGCCTGTATTTTATGGGTATGAACCGTTTAATTACTTTGGTATCTTGTAGCCTACGATTGATTAAAAAAAATTGGTACCGGGGCGAGACCTTTGACTTTGATCTCGTCCAAGTCTTGATCTTTTTTTTCTTTCCTAACCATTTTCAGCATACCGTGAATAAAATCATGGTGTGAATTATTCAAACGAGTAAAGATCTCTCTTTACCAACCCCTATTCAGCTTTGCGGTCGCTTCTTATGTTTCTTGCTGGCCTATTACGGTCCATTTTTCATCCGTAGTTTGACAGAATCGACCTGTTCATTGAACTAATGCATGCGAAGAGAAAAAATGTCTGCTACCAATGCTCTCTAGCACTTGGTCAGATACAGCGGCAGTCCATCTTAATACCAAGCATTCAAAGATTCCTAAGAAAAAATAACCTTAATGATACTCCCGGGTCAGCGTCAGCCACCTACAGCGTTGTGGATCAGCACAAGGAAGAAAAAGATCTGACAACAGCGGACAGGTTGGGCGTGTTGGCATGCAGTAGCCACGTTGAGTGAGTGAGATGAGCCCCCAAACAATCAATCTCTTTCTGAAGGATCATAAGCCGACATGGTACTATTTGACATTTCAGGGAAGCTTTTTGTTCGAGAACAAGACGAACGGCGAGGATGAGGATGCATGCGGGAGCGAGGCGAGGTAAGTCCCGAAGAGGAAGTTCGGGGCGCTGTATGTCGTGCTCACATCAGCGATGCGATTGCTAGCACCATCGCCAGTGTAGAAGGAGTCTAAGGGATCGACGAATTTTTATTCCAGATTTGAATGCTAGATCTGAAAATTCGCCATCACGAGATGGGTATTTCCAGTATTTGCCATATGCAAACGCAAACCGGGAATTTGCGTATCTCCCGTGCATCAAGCATCACCCTTTATCTCATTCGACGGGATACGATTTTGAAGTCTAATTTTCTGCTTTTAGGATACTAACATTACACCAAAGAACTGGCCAGGTCGGCGTGTGCGGAGCGGGTGTGCGGAGCGGTGCGTTGTGCCGTGTCCGTTGCAGGAAGAGAGAAAAGACAATGATAGCTAATATCTGCAAGGCTGAATCTGAAGATCGACAATGAGAGGATGGCGATGTGATTGGTGACTTTTTACGAAGTGCGTGAGTATTCCTTAGATAGCCTTTAGCAGCAAGCTGCTATAGTTAGCACATACGGTAGATGCAGATCGTACGAGCTGGATTGGATACGGGGAAGTGCTAAGAATGACGAGTGGGATTGGAACGTAAAAGAAGAGGCGTTACGCATGGTTGTTTTCGCGATGCGCGGCTGCATATTTCGCAGATAATACCCGCTGGATAGAGACGAGTTGGAAGATGCAAGATGTGTGCTGACGTTGGTTTCTTCTGAGCGCAGCGCGCTCGATGTATCGAAAAGTCTCAGGGTGAAATGGAACGATAAGTGGATGTGAAGGAATCTTGGCAGACCCGACAGCAGAATAGCGGTGGGCGGTTAAACTTAGATTCTATTCCTGCGGTGCTCTTCCTACCTACCCATAAAAACACACTTCGTAGGTAAGATATGACATCTGTTGTGCAAGCATGAGGATACAGTGAGAAATGACAATACTCTACCTCCGGGATCAAGTGAAACAACGGACGAATATGATCTTATCTCCGTCGGATGAAATTTGCGAATAGATATTGAGATGCATAGGTACCTGGTGTATCTGTATTACCCTCCTAGGTGTTCCAGGAGTATCGCCGGGAAGAAGAAATCAAGGGACAGTCGCGGTAGCACACGCAGACGAGAAAGTTCTCAATATATATCTGAGGTGAGATGAATACGTAGGTATGTATGTGTGTGGAGGAGAAGCTGCAGCCGAGAAGTGCGACGCAGGATATTCCTATTTTATCGACTTGTGCTTTATCCCATCGATTCATCGATGTTTCCATTTCTGCTTTTCTATCTTTTACTTTTGGCTTTGCGGTGTTTGCATCTGGAGGAAGGCGGGTTGGGAATAAAGTACTTTGTATCAGGTATACGCATTCGGGATGGGATGTTAGGGTTACGGCTGTCTGGTTTATGTGTTGGTACTAAAGACTTCAATCGTACGAATTGCAGACTGAAAATGTGCGATTCATGAGCGATTGAATTTGTTTCATGTATGGATTGAATCGAGGTTCGATAGATTGAATCCATTTCAGAGATCGACTTGGTTTCATGAATTGAACATGTTTTATAGATTGAACTTACTTCATAGATCGAATTTGTCTTCACAACTGATAACATCCGAAACATCAAATTCCTAAATTCTTGCCAACATGTAAGCTTTAAAAGCGGACAAACGACCCACCGTCAAAGATTCACAGCAATGAAACGTGTGGGACATGCAATATTCTCAAATCTAGACGACAATCCGGATTTGGAACATCTTGGTCGAGATGAGCATCGGTGTCTCCTTTCTCGACGCCGTGCTTACTTGATGTGATCTCTCGACAATGAACACGGATGTGAAGCACATCGACAGAAGTAATACGTCGCATTGATGTTGCATTCTGAAATTGGTATGTATATCTGTACTCAGAGTCTGTCTGGTCAGAATAAGATGTTCCGAACTAGATGAGAAGCAAAACCTTTCAACGAGTCTCTGATAACTGGCGTAGAAATAGCACTTCGTAGCTCGGAAGCTCGATGGGGCCATGTAGCATTGTTGCTATTAATTTCACAAACGATTTGTGCTATGTCGAAGCCAGACGCTCTCATATGATTTTCCAGGAGAAGTTGTACCTTACTGAAAGTTTGGAAGCAATAGAAGTCATTTGTCTCTTTCTTCGTCTCTTGTAAATATATATATTGATTATGGCAAAAATCAATGATAACTATGATACATGCAGTATGCAGAATATGATTCCATTGCATAGCTGAAAACTTCGGGAAAATAGCCACGCCTAGCTTTCGTTTGACCCAACCTTATGACATAACCCATATAAATTTCATTATTCCCGTCCCAAATTTTGCCCCTGAATAAACCTCACATACCCAACCCAGACCATAAATCAAATTATCATTACTCATCGTCCATATCATCATCATCTTTACCACTAATTGTTCCTTCCCCCTTAGCCTTATTTTTTTTCATATCAAAGCCCCTCAGAAGACTGACAAAGATATGCCTAGATTTCTTTCCCAAGGCCTTGGCCCATATATCCAAGGTCTCTGTTACCCACATCAACAACTTGCTGAAGAAAAACAAGCAGACAAATGACGCCGATACCACTACCGCAAACCCAACCCAGTAATCATACAGCGAATACTTGCCTTCAATATCACTAAGCTGGGTTGAGAAATAAGAGGTCATAAGTGATACGGGAAGGAAAAGCACCGATAGTTTGGCGAGTAGAGTAGCCGAGCGATTAAGGCGGGCAGTAGCTTGAGAGTCTTTTTGAGAATTGATGCTGAAATACTTGAGATGTGTTAGCTTACTCGCAGTCAATTAACAACAGTGAAGGGAATTCTCACAGTGGTACTGAGTGCATCTTTCTCGGCTAGAAATTCACCAGTTTCGTTCAGAATTAACAATTTTAAGCGATCACCGAGTCTCTCGAATCTTTGACTCGCAGAAGCAGCTAGCTTGACCCCATTTCTCCCACTTTGAGTCATGAATGAGCCGTCTGGTGTGCCGGCTTCCCACGTACTAGAGTTCTTGGGTTCCAGAATCCTGGTTATGAGATTATGGTAGCCGTTGTACAAATGCTGCATCCGACGGATTCGTTTGCTGAGGAAGTGAAGATGAGGGATGATTCTTATGTCAGGACCTTTGTTGGATTTTCTTGTCATGTCATCGAATATAGAGGTCTCCAACTCCTTTAAACTTCCCCTGAAAAAAGCCACTGTTTTGTAGACAGCTCGCCAGTCATCAAATAGATAGTAAAAAAGATTACTTGCTCCTTCTATTCCGCTATTCGCGTGCGCCGTATTCAAATCCAGAACTTGTCGGACAGACTGCATGGATATTGGATCCGCCGTCTCATGACCCGACTTAGAAAGTTGGCCTAAAACGCTCAGAGTATTGCCGCGCAGTGATTTGAGATCCTTCTTCGTCGGCTTAATTGGCCCCGTATCTTCATGAACTGCTATAACTGTATTATCGTCGCAAAGTATAAGCCAAGACCAGAGCCTACACTGGGCCCTGTCTCTGAATAGATTTTGAACTGTTGGATTATCTTTCTCCTTCGTCGGTGGATCGATATCATGCATCCAATTCGCGCCAATGCACATGAAACGTGCCCCTACATCAACGGACTGGTAGTTGATCATTTGTTGTGCAATGGTATAATGGCTCGTGGTTGCCGGGGGCGCACGATGAGTTGCATGTGTTCTGGGCATATTCATACTCGCTCTGCCCGTTTCGATATCATCCTTTTCGAACAATTTCTCTTTGTAACTGACTCGATGATCGTTACTGCTCGAATTCTTTGGCGGCAGAGTTTTGATGATAGCCAAAAGCCTTGGAGAAAACCCATACCGATGTGCAAGAACATCTATTATATCAGTCTGTCGGTTTGGACCCCAGATATTGCTGTCGCATATTAGCAACCACTCTTGCAGATTTGATACCATCACTTACATCCATCGTACAGGAGGTCGATCGCGCTCGGCTTGCGTGGAAGGCTCGTCTAGGAGCCTTTTCACCTGGCCTGCGTTCAGATCAAAGGCAATTCGAGCCTCGAGTTTGCCAAACTCGACAACAAAGTTGCGGGTCTTTTCATCTCCCGCTCGATCGAGGCTGCCTTCATATACAACTTGTTGGTCGAAGTCCGCGAATATTCCATCTTTCTCCATGTTGTATAGGCTTCGCATGCAAACTATGCAGGAAAATGAAGATTGAAATCATGATGGGCAAACTTCATGAGTTTATATGTGTAGGCTGTGCTGTGCTGTGCTGAGCTGTGAATGCTGCCGTCGAGAGGCGCACAAGGCTGATTTTGGAGCTGTGAAACATGAGGGGAACCTGTTCGTGGTAGTATTCTGATGTATCCTGGCTGAATGACTGGCTATCGTTGAGCGATACAGGTTTTGGTGTTCTCCCCCCCTGTTGGCGCTTATCTATTTACTATCAGCTTCCAGCACTTACCTCGAGGCTTTTGACCAGTCACGCGAGGACATCAGCAGGGGAAAATTCGCCATAACATAATTTCTTGTTGGTGTTTCTCTTCAAAACTGTTTTCCCAATTGGCATCATATAATAGGTTACCCAGAGAGTGGTTCCGAGGAGAGAAACGCTTTTTGTTGACATTTGGTGGTGTCAGTGTACCACTATTTCAGTGCAACGTTCTTCCTGTCTGTCAACGATAGTAAAGCTTATTAATTTACACCTTAAAACGTCAAAATGACGTACGAAATCATACATATATCCAGTGAAGATCTTGTACGGTCCTATGTCGGAAAGTACAAAGATTTTAGGCTTCTATCTCTGCAAGTCGCACCTGAAGCTTTCGCATCCAATTACTCTACGGAAGCCGCGTTCTTAGAAGAAGTATGGTACGAACGTCTAGCAAACCCAAACGCAGCTACATATTTCGCGATTGAAAATTCTAAAATCATCGGTACTGTTTCAATGCTTGGCCCATTGATTTATGGTCCAGAAGACATGACGGTCCTTGGAAATCCGTGGCAAGTGATTGGTGATAAGACATCCAGCGAACAAGCTATGGGCCACTATCGAATGAACGGAGTATTTACTCTACCAGATGTTCGTGGACAAGGAATCGGGAAAGCGCTTATTGAAGCAGCCTTGCAATATGCAGGAGGTGAAGCAGCGGTGCAGGGCAAAGCGTTTGTATGCAGTGTTGTAGTAGAGTCAGAAAATTCTGAAGCTCGGCGATTATACGAAAGGTGTGATTTTGTGGCCATGAAAGAGGTGCCGAATGGAGACACGGTCGTCATACTCATGACAACACCAGGCTAGAAGTCACGAATTGAGCACACGATATTAAGTCGAGCATTTTTGTCTTCTTCCATAAAAATACCTGCAGGTTTGGATGACTGCAGAATTCCCAAGGAGCTGGTAGGCATTAAAAATATAATATAACTGCAATATACTTTGACTCATCTAAGTAGCCCGAAGTTGTTACTTCCCACTCAACTCCTATATATTGTAATGATTTTGTGATGATTTCATAAAATCATATAGCTTTTTAGATTCCACTGATATCATACACGCACATAGTTTTATATATTCTGTTGATATCATACAATTATCTTGTTTTGATGTAAGAAAGACCTTGAGGGAGTCAGGGCGTGGCAGAGAGGGATCACAAGGGGTCTCATTGATTCTACAAATAGTGATAATCATATAACAAAGAGATTAGGTTCAATTAGAAAATATGCAAATTTGAGATTATACTTCTACTGGTATCATATCCATGCATCCTCGAACGCCCATACCTAGAAACAAGAGCAGAGATCCGCCATACTATGCCGCTAAAACCATTTTTCATAACCCATCATGCATGTACCATCCGCTTTTTACCCAATATTTTACACTTCCACAGCTCCAGTGCTCTCAATAGCTAAACTATTCTTTTCAGCATTGATCTTCACCACCGCATTTTCGCCAGTCTTCAATTCTCCCCTGATAATCTTATCGGCCAGTCCATTGCCGATCTCCTTGGAGATGAGTCGGTTAAGCGGGCGAGCTCCAAACTTAGGATCATATCCTCTATCAGCAAGCCATTGTCGCACCTCCTGATCTACTTCGAGTGTGATTCGTCGATCGTCTAGCCTCTTCTGGAGTTCTAGGAGTCGAATATCGACAATATCTCGGAGAGCCTCATTAGAAAGACGTTTGAATATTATAAATTCGTCAATGCGGTTGAGAAATTCAGGGGCATCTGTGATTATTGTTAGTTATGAGTGAAGAAAAAAGATCGCGTAGGAGGCTAGGTAAACTTACAATTATGTTGCACAGCATCCATTACAGCGTTGCGGACAGAAGGTGCAATATCACCATTTGTCTCTTCTTTATATGGATGCGAGGGGTTGAGGCCAACGAGGATATCTGCGCCCAAATTGGAGGTGAAGACGATTAAAGTGTTGCGGAAATCAACTTTGTGGCCCTGACTATCCGTCAAAAACCCTTCGTCCAACACTTGCAAAAGGAGAGCAGAGATATCTCGATGGGCTTTTTCAAATTCGTCGAATAGAAGAACTGCATAAGGTTTTCTTCTAACAGCTTCAGTGAGCTGTCCAGCATCATCATATCCAACATATCCGGCGGGACTACCAATCAATCGAAATATTGTGGGCTGTGTCTGAAACTCGCTCATATCAAAACGAACAACAGCTGATTCAGTCGAGAACAAAAAATTTGCCATCTTTTTGCAAAGCTCAGTTTTTCCCACACCAGTCGGACCGAGAAAGAAGAACGATGCAAGTGGTCTATTTTCGCCGTTCAAGCCTGCTCGTTGCATTCGAACTGCATTTGCAACCGATCTGAGAGCCTCATCTTGACCACGAACGGACTGTCTCAAAGTATCTTCCATATGAATAAGCTTCTCAGCGTGCCCCGAAGTTAACTTTGTAACAGGAATACCAGTGACACGTGATACAACAGCCGCAATGTCGTCAGGAGTCACAGCATCGTGGATCAAAGTACCTCCGGAAGAAGGGCCTGTCTCTCCATCTTTGGGTAACTTTGCTTCTAATGATGGGATTACGGAATATCTTAGCTCTCCAGCGCGGCCATAATTGTTTTCGCGCTGTGCCTGATCGAGCTCAACGCGAGCTTTCTCGAGGTCCTCTTTTGTCTTCTTGATGGCATCAATTTCAGACCTCTCTGCCTCCCATTTCTCTGTCAACGATTTTGCCTCCTCTTGACATTCTTTCAGGTCATTTTCGAGCTTTTCGCGTCGTTCTTTGCTGGCGATATCTGTCTCTTTTCTAAGACTCTCGAGCTCTATCTGTAGCGTCATGATCTTTTGGTCAAGCTGCATAATGTCGTCCGGCTTGCTCTCTTGCTGTAACCTCAGACCACTTGCAGCTTCATCCATGAGGTCAATTGCTTTGTCGGGTAAAAAGCGATCTGTGATGTAACGATTGCTGTAGGTAGCAGCAGCAACCAGAGCTCCATCTGTAATGCGAACTCCGTGGTGCACTTCATACTTTTCCTTGATGCCTCTCAGAATGCTGATTGTATCCTGAATCGTCGGCTCGTTGACTTGAATAGGCTGAAAGCGTCTTGCCAAAGCGACATCCTTCTCGATTAGTCGATATTCGTTGAGTGTGGTTGCCCCGCAGCATTGCAATTCACCTCGAGATAGTGCAGGTTTCAACAGATTACTTGCATCAATACTTCCTTCAGCCTTCCCTAATCCTAATAATGTGTGCAACTCATCCACAAATAGAATTACGCCGCCATGAGCTTCTTGGACCTAGGAGTTGTTAGAACAATTTCAAACATTTACAAATTTCAAGCAAAAGGTGGTACGTCTTGCACAGTGTGCAATTTTGTATTGCGAGATATAGTATTGTGAGCAGGTCTAACTATGAGACATATATCGACAGCTTGTATGTGTCTCAAGTGTACCACTTGGTCGTGCGTACTTGAAAAACATAACAAAACGACTACATCTACTGGCAAGCTACCGCCGCGATGGAAATGGAAACCCACCTCTTTTAAGACCGACTTCAATCGTTCCTCAAAATCGCCACGAAACTTCGCCCCAGCAATAAGTTGTCCAAGATCCAGCGATATCACTTTCTTGTCTTTCACACTTTCCGGCACATCGCCTCTGACTATTCGTTGTGCTAAGCCCTCCAATATAGCTGTCTTTCCTGTTCCTGCACTTCCGATCAATACCGGATTGTTTTTCGTTCGCCGCGATAGTACTTGAATAGTTCTGTTAATTTCCGAATCTCTACCAATGACCGGATCTAGTTTTCCCTCCTTTGCTCGCGCAGTCAAATCGACACCATATTGTTCTAGGGCAGACTTTTGTTCTCCGCCACCCATATCCATGCGGTGCGTGCCGCCTGGAGGGTGTGGACGTCCATTTGCGTATGTGCGAAGCGCAGTAAGAGGCGCGACGTTTCTATATGTAAATACATGACTGCTATGTAATGGGGGTCTGGTCAATGGCCGTCCGATTCGAACTTGTAGAGGAGCTCCCCTAAAAAGACGAGAAGAGCTCTCAATTTGACGTAATACTTTGATATTTCTCATTGTAGTGAAGTTGAGTGTCTTAAGTTTCAAAGAAAGAAAAGAAAAAGAGAAGAGAGAGAAAGAATAGTATCAGTGAACATATCTTGAGTGAAGGACCAAGTATATATACGTACGTGAATTTAGAAATTCTATCTAGAATAGTCTCGAGCATTCTGAGCGGAACGTGGAAGCTTCCCGCGATCTCCCCCCCGCTAGCTGTGTCTCTACCCTTGCTTAGGTAAGCAGTCTCTTTTTGTGCCTTATTTTGAACGGCAGCCATTGGGCATAGAGAATCAAGCCTGATCCCGCCCCGCCACTAGGAATCTCTCGATTGTATCTACGCTACTAGTTAATTTAATTTCGCTTTAAGCGATTGTAGACAATGCCTGAGCCAATCAAATTTTCACACTGTGGAAAGCAGCCGAAAGCACCATTTTTGAAGTTCCATCTTCTTCCCAAAATTTGACTCACCCCACCACTCCTCATCACAATCAACATCACCAATTTTGTTTGTTTTCCTCCTTTCTTAAAAGATAAAAAATTCTTCACCTTTAATATCAAGAAAGAAGATATCTTAAAATTTTCACAATGGGATTCACAGACTTTGTCAACGATGCTGGTCTTACCAGTAAGCTTTTCCCCGCCACGATAGAGATAGATAATCTCGAGTCGAAGAATTTTGAAAAGCGCAGAAATTGACTTGACTTAGTGCTCAACAACTGGTTGGAGACTCGTTCATACATCGTTGGGTATGTGTTTGATTTCTTATCTGGATATCTGTCTGTTTTCATTTCTACCTGCGAGGCAGCATCCACGAGGTGTCTATTTGCGCATCAGTACCCCTCCTCGAACAATTCCTAAATGATGAGCAACATTGGTCCGTGTTACTGAGCGGCCTCAAGAACCGCGTTATGGCGATATACCAAGCTTTTTTTTGCATCTCTGATTTCTCTACTATTATTGCAACAATTTAACAAGAAAATGATGGAAGAAAATATTAACCAGAAATTATAGATACTCCCCAAGCCAAGCTGATGTAGCCGTCTTCAAGGCTCAGCAATCCGCCCCAGATGCCGCAAAATTCCCCCACGCTGCTAGATGGTACAAGCACATCAACTCCTGGACCGAGGAATTCGGTACCCTCCCAGGTGATGCTTCCAAGGAATACACTTCATATGGCCCAGATAAGACCGAGGCCACCTTGAACCCAGCAAAGGCCCCAGCTGCCGAGGAAGAGGATGATGATGAGGTCGATCTTTTCGGAAGTGATGACGAGGAAGAAGATGCGGAGGCTCTCAGAATCAAGGAGGAGCGTTTGGCCGAGTACAAGAAGAAGAAGGAGGGCAAGACCAAGCCTGCTGCCAAGTCTGTCGTCACAATGGATGTCAAGCCATGGGGTGAGTCGAGTTGTTGATTTGGATGCTGGTAACAATACTGATCGATTTATAGATGATGAGACCGACATGGCGGCATTGGAGGCTGCTGTTCGTGGCATCGATAAGGATGGTCTCGTTTGGGGTGCTTCTAAACTTGTTGCTGTTGGTTTCGGTATCAAGAAGTTGCAGATCAACTTGGTCATTGAGGATGACAAGATTGGTCTTGATGATTTGCAAGAGGAGATTGCTGAGTTCGAGGACTATGTCCAATCCTCCGATATTGTATGCTATGCCCCTTCTGATCCCATTGACAACGGCTAATAAGAACAGGCTGCCATGCAAAAGCTATAAAGCATCATTACGTCTAGGTTTTACCTTCGACTTCCGCTTCGTTCCTGTTCCTAAAATGATTCCACGTTACCTATGGAGGTTTTGACTCTGACCAGTCAATAAATTATTATGATAAAAAATAAGTTTTACGAAATGATGATAATCATGGACTGGGATAGAATTGAAATGCAAAAAAAGCCATAACAAGTACATAAATTTTACATGCAGATTGCTTTTGTGATTCATTTGTGCTAAATTAATGTTTCTGTAATATTCCACTCGCATATCTGTAAAAGACAACCCGATTGCCCACTATCGCGCTTACGGTTCCCAAGGAGCCGCATCTTACTAACGAGGATAAGCTGGAATCTTGGACAACTCACAATCTTTAACAAAACACTACATCCTCCAACATGACTTGGATCTCTAAATCAATTACGGGCCTCGGCTTGCTGTTTCTCACGCACGCGTATGTATACCAAAATCTAAATGATCCTGCAATCACTGACAGATATTGTTCCTTCAGCTGCTATTCTGCCCACGAACACTCGGCCCTACAATCTACAGGAACTGCCCACCTATCCTCTATCTCCTCTCACGCTACAACTACTGCCTCTCTTCCAATCGACATATCTATCGAGACCATAGTGTCGATTTTTATTGTTTGCCTTGGCTTAGTATTGGGCACACCAGAATTACGACCTATACAATGGCGGGTTTGGGCAGGTAAAATTGAGCGAGAGGGAGCGAAAGGTTTTATGAACGCGGATGGTGAGGTGGATAAAGATTTTGTTGGAAACCCCTTCAGAGTTCTTGAGAGTCGACCAAGCTTCATAGACATCAGAAGGCAAAGACACGAGTTTGCGGAGTGGATCAGAGAAGGAGGAGAACAAATTCCAGCAAAAGAATTATAGATTGAGGGGGTGAATATCGGGGGTGGTGTATGATATCGATTCTGTGGATGCTGTGATATAAATGGTTTTGGCTGGGGGACTACGTTGCGCATAGTTGAAGAAGTGATATTCTGGGCTACAAACAAATATCATGAAGTGGTACAAAATTTCATGTACTGTTCAGACAAACCAATTTTGAGTCTGTATCTACTACCTAGGTAGTATTGAAACATTCTATTACATGTACTAGCCTGAACATCTCGAGCGCCTTTGGCCATGTACATACAAGTAGTAAAGTTGTACAAGTGAGGAAGGAATGATTTTCGCTTGGCAAAATTACTTCCGTAGTGCTCTCAACTTTCACATTTCGAATCTCATCTTAACTTATTTCGAAAATTATTTGCCTTCTTCATTATTCCCTCTCACTTCCCTTATTTTATTGCAGTGTTTGAAATCTTAGGAAAAGCATCAGTATGCCACCGTTTAAGCGTCGGCGAGCTACTTCCGGTGCAGGTTCTGACCATCAGTCATCACCACCAGTGCAATATGAGGTCAACATCTTCGAAGCGGGAGAGGACGAGGATGATATTCAAGAACGCGAAGATTGCGATTCGATGAATGAAGTTGTCATGGCTGTCGAATTGAAAGGGCGTGGTACAATAGGGTGCGCATATTATCTCGCGAGAGAAGAAAAATTATGCATGATGGCAGATATCAGTATGGCTGGACTTGAGATAATCGACACTCTAAAATTTCACGTGGATCCTACTGGTAAGGTCTTATGGAATTCTTTGAATATTGTTTAAAATAACGATATCAAAGTAATCCTAATAAGCACCCGTTGCGAGGAGGCACTTGAAGATCATCTTCAAAAAGATGCCAAGGGTATCGACCGAGGAGATGCCAGTAGGTATTTTGTGAAGACCGCCAATTGATGCTAAGCTGACCTTACAGACGATATATTCGGCTCATATATTCTTGATTCCCGACCGGCCTCGGAATTTTATTATGAGACCGCAAAGAGCAAATTGGCTAGCTTGAGCATTGAAGGCCCAAGGGGCGCTGGAATGGTACTTGCCACACCTGGTGATGAACTAGCTGGAGATCACGCTCATGATCAGGCAGCTTTAAGTGGTAAGGGTCGTCAAGGAAGACTCATGAGACTTGCAGGCTGGATTGATTTGGAGAGCAGAATCTCGGTAGGTCATGCACTTTGCTTTTTTCACCCAAATGGCATTACATCTCAGTTTCAATCAAGTAGATGCAGTTGACCTATAATGAGCTTTGAAGTGACAACAACAAGCACCAAATAGCTTTATTAATAAACGTGCTTCTAGGTTGGTTGTGCCGGTGCGGTGCTTAATTACCTCGGACGACGACGAAGTGTGGATTATCTACCTAATGACGAGGCCGCATTGATTGCATTTAGGGTCCGCGCCATCGAGATGTCTTCGTTAACGGATATGATGTTCGTAAATGCAGACACGTTATCATCACTCCAGATTATCCAGTCCGAGTCTCATCCGAACTCTCATATGCAAGGTCCAAATAAGTCTACTTCAGGATCAAAAGAGAGCCTATCTGTCTTTGGTCTGTTCTATCATTTGGCTAGCACACCACAGGGTAGGCAGAAGCTTCGGAAGATGTTCATGAGACCAAGCATAGATATCTTGGTAATTAAGGAAAGACTCTTCACAATAGGTGTTTTTTTAATTCCAGAGAATAGCCATATATTACAGGAAGTTCAGAGGAGCTTGAAGAGTGTCAAGGATATCAGAACTGTGGTAATACATCTCCAGAAAGGTGTAAGCGGAGGCTCTACAAAGGCAACAGCAGTCAAGAGTGGCGTTTGGGGAAGCATCCTCTCATTTACCTACCATTCGCTCAAGATACTAGAAGCATTGCGAGGGCTGACAGGCGATAAGACTATCATTGCTGGCAAGGTGAGAATGCCTAAATTGTCCAAACTACATGAGCTGATCCAATATACTAGCTTCTCGGTGAAACTCGCCCCAATGACCTTCTTGGTATTGGTCAAGCGATTACTAATACGATAGACTTTGAGAGATCGGCTGAACAACATCGTGTCACTGTCAGACAAGGTGTGGACCAGGAGCTAGACGGGATGAAAAGAACATATGATGGAATGGAAAGCCTTCTTACTGAAGTCCAACAGAAAATGTCAGATGATATACCTGAATGGGCTCGCCAATATGTCGAAAACTGCATATATTTTCCACAACTCGGTTTTCTGACGGTGGTACAACTTGATCCTAATACAGGCGAAGGAAAATATAAAGGTGAGGGAACCGACAAAGATGAATGGTCTCAAACGTTTGTCAGTGACGAGAAAGTATATTACAAGAACGGGCATATGAGACAAATGGACGAGTATATTGGCGATATGTATAGTATGATTACAGGTAAGTTGCTCGGACATCGTTTTACAGCACGTACTGATTGTGCGTCATTCATTAGACAGAGAGATCGAAATCATACATCACCTCACTGTGCGTGTACTGGAACAGAAGAATCTTCTTATTGCAGTGTCAGATCTATGCGGAGAACTTGATAGTCTCGTTGCACTGGCTCTTGGGGCTATTAAATATCGTTTCAATCCACCAACTATCACTCAAGCCAATGTAATTGATATACGAGGCGGACGACATCCTCTTCAAGAGCTTACAGTCCCATCATATGTACCAAATGATTGTTACCTTGTGGGCGGATCAGGACACTCCGTTTCAATTGATCAAGAACCTTCCTCGAGTGCTTTCCAGGACTCGGAAGGCATCGAGGGCCCAAGTATGCTCCTGATGACTGGGCCAAACTATTCTGGAAAGAGTGTTTATCTCAAGCAAACGGCTCTGATTGTTTATTTAGCCCATCTTGGCAGCTATGTCCCGGCGGATAAGGCAGTTGTGGGTCTTACGGATAAGATATTAACTCGGATAACTACTCGTGAAAGTGTTTCCCGAAACCAGAGCGCCTTCATGATTGACCTGCAGCAGATAGCTCTCTGTACAACCCTTGCAACCCACCGTAGTCTTGTGGTTATTGATGAGTTTGGTAAAGGCACCAATTCAACAGATGGCGCTGGCCTAGCTTGTGGCGTGTTCGAATATTTTCTTGGGCTTGAATCGCGTCGACCAAAAGTTCTCGGAGCAACCCATTTTCACGAGATATTCGAGAACGGATATTTATCCCCAAGACGGGAATTGGCTTTTGGTCATATGGATGTTCATGTGAACAAACAATCTGACCTAGCTGACAACCAAGTTACATACCTATACAATTTTGTGCTAGGTAGAAGTACTTCCAGCTTTGGTACTTCTTGTGCTGCAATGAATGGAATAGATCCTGCTATTGTCGAAAGAGCTGAGGATTTAATATTGTTAGCAGCTCGGGGAGGGGACCTCATGCAAGCTGTTGCGGCAAATGTCTCAGAAAAGGATGCTCAAGACTTGAAGGAGGCAGAAAATATTGGGAGACGCTTTCTTGAGCAAAACTTTCCTCTGTCAGGTGGTAATAATGTCGTCATCGACGTCCGAAGTATTCTCCGAAACATTCTGGATGTCGAGATTGGCAAGACATGAAACAAGGTTTCGAGAATTCGGGTTTGTAGAACCGCTGTTGATCTTTCTCACCAATGTTCGAAATTATGTTGATCAAGTTGATCGTTCTAAATATAGCTTATAAAATATGCAATGATCGCTCTAGTATCAACCAAGTTGCAAGACCTCTCAAACGGATACAATTTTCGTCTGATAATTGCGAATTGTAATTCTACTTCCTTCAGATTGATGTCGAGACGCGAAAAATTCGTCTTTCAAATTTCGAAGATGTATGGAGTAAGGCATGGCGGGGATCTCTTGGAACTTATCGGGGCCCACATGCTCTACTGATAGGGCTGAAATGAAGCACTTAGCTTCACCATTAAATCATTTTGATGAATACTAGGCAAAAGTCCATCAATGCCTTGATCATTTTCGTCCAAATAAACATTAAATCAAGTCTGTTAACCCAGAATTCACAATTGTAAATTCTTGAAACAAGCTAGTGAGCCGCCAGGACCGAAGAAGCAAGTATCTTTTCCGTCTGTGATACTCGTCTAGTTTCACGGTGGGCTAATTTGCCAGTGATACTCTGCATTATTTCATTTATTTGGGTGATCATGAACGCGATACCAGCTAAGGAAGCAGAATTATGGTCCATATTCCTGCAAACAATGTCAGCAGAGACGAAGTCGTGTCTCTTCATTTCGATGGGACGTAGTTGAGACTGCAACGCGAATACATCACTCATTCATGCAGGATTGGGGAAATTGAGAAATTCAATTTCATCTTTGGGGTACATGCAAAAGATGACGAGAACATAGTATTTACTGATTAGATTAGTGAATGAATAGTCCCGTCGTCCGAGAAAAGAGGAGTTGCTGGGAGATTATTGATGGTGAAGTCTGAGGGTCAAAGACCTCCCCACTGCAACTCGATCAGACCGTCAGTGCGAGATGTCAAGTAGTGTTATCTATAACTTTAGCCGCCACAGAGCTGTTGTTACTGGCGTCTATCATTTTTTGAATTGGTTGCGAACAGGGAAGTTGGGTGAACATGCATGAATTCCTCGCCTGCAGCTTCTTTTCTGCTGGTTGCGTTGACCTCCAAGAATAGAACGTTCAAAATAAGGGTATGAAGGGCGGAGAAGTCCCAATCAAATTTGTCTTGGAGTTCAACTGGATCTTCAGTTGACCAATGCTTCTGTGTTGCAAATTATGTGGGATATCTTTTAGCGGGTAGTTGAAGTTTATGCTTCTTTTTCGGATATTTGAGTTGATATTGCCAAGGACTTTGACAAGTTATAAGGCGGACTGTCATCACCGTGCTTCCTAATTCATTATCCTCATCATTCATACATCCATCCACTCATCCACCCAATCTCCAACACAAAGCTGGTCTTTTCCAAAGCAGGTCTTATAGTTCAAATATATATCGTCATATCCAAATCATTTCCAAGTCCAGTATCCATATCCAACTTTCAAAATGCAATTCTCGAGCACTCTTTTCTTGGCTCTTGCTGCTGCAACTGTCTCTGCTTCATCCGTAAGTTGTTTCTGGCTTTCCACCAAATCCTCAACTCGTCTAATATATCTCTAGGGTCTTTCTGGAAGCGGAACTGCTGTAGGCGCTGCCAAGGCAACCGGGTTCGGAGCTGCTAAACCCAGCGGAACTGGTGCAAAGCCCAGCTTGGCTCCCCGCGTCGTACACGGTCCGTACCGCCGTAAGGATTCCAACGAGTCAGGATCTGCCAAGGGAACTGGAGCTAAAGCTGATGGTGGCTCTGCAAAGGCAACTGGGGCTCAAGGAGCAGGATCTGCCAAGTCCACTGGGGGAGCAAGTTCCGGTAACGATGGCAATGGTTCAGCCAAGGGCAGTGGATCTAGCGTAAAGGCTTCCAAGACAGCAGGAGCTGGCTCTGCAAAAGCGACTGGAGGGAGCTCGGCAAAGGGGTCTGGAACTGAAAATACTGGCAAGGGATCCGCTTCCGCTTCAGGTAAAGGGGCAGCGTCAGCTTCAGGGGCTGCATCGGCATCCGGGGCTGGTGGCGCTTCTGCCACTTCTACTTCTCCAGGTTCGTTCTCCCCTATCTTAGAGTTCTTGAAATCATCTTGCTAACTTCGATGTATTAGCTATCTCCACTGGTGGTGCCGCATCTCTATCCAATAATGGAGGAATGGCTGCAGTTGCTGGCCTTGGCGTTGCATTCGCTGTTTTCATGTAAAGAAATTTAGATTCTTTAGTGGTGTGATATTGCTCAAAATCAGAGTCATATGTTGAATTGGATGGAATTGGATCGAGTGGTTTGTACATACCTTCCTGATGTAAATAGGGCGGCGTATCGGGCATTCTTTTGAGCGGGTGGGCGGCTTTGGTATTCATAGATCGAGCTGGTCTCTGGTGACAGACGAAATAATCACTCGTTCTTATTTTTGATGTAACACAGGATTATAAAATCTGGCTATTTTTTATTACTATAGATATGATTGAAAGGATCCTTTCTCAATCGCGAATATTTGGTATTATTTGACTGCAAATAGAAGCTACTGCCGCCGGTGAACATTCTGATTGAGGATACTTGGGGTCATATTTTCGTTCTGTATCCAGTCTCGTTCAAGAAAACAGCGTGGTCTGCTGGTGGTGGGTTGAAATTACTTGTCGAATGCTTGATAAAGGTGATAAACGAAGGTTATCTCTTAGGTGTGCAACAATCCAGCCTGCAATAAGCAGAACAGCTGCAAAAGCCGTCTGGCATATCGTTACGACGGATATTGTACTCAACTCTGAACACTAAATAGAGTTCAATTGGCGTACCTGCCCTAGATGCAGAGCTCATTCTAGACCTTAATCCATTCCAGTCACCCGAGCCATTTTGAATGATCAAAACTTTGTGTATATTGAAACCATTTAGAAGATTGAAATACTGAGTCTGATGATACGCTGCCTCGAGGCTTGAAACAATCGGAAAAAATGTTGAAAAATCAAGTACGCCGTGCCATTATTTACGGTAAAATTTTAGCATTCGTCCTATTTTCTCTATACCTCGCAGACCAGAAAAAAAGGAGGAAAGTTCTCAACTCTGAAAGCAAAAGGGTACGTCATTCTGAAACAAATTACATAGCGTAGAAAGAAGACCACATGCCAAAGAGTAACCTAATAATAACATCAGGCTGAACTTTACGTTGGAGAGATGTTGAGTCTTCTCCGGTCAGATTGCTATCTCATCAATGCGTGGACCATCTAGGACCCTCGCATTATTGAAAGATACTCGCTAGCAAGATTCGTCAAATGGTCACTACACTCGACGTCGCTGACTATGGCAATCCCTCTGAGTAGATTGTACCAATAAGAGACAATGAGAGACACGGAAAGCTCTCCTTGGCAGAAAAATGGCTTCGGCCGAAATTTGTTACAAGGAGACAGTTCTGGAAATTTCTTTGATCATGAAGATCAATCAGTCGAATGCATAATGCACGTATATTTAATATCTATCGCTTTTGCTGACGTGCGCTGGGATTAGACCCGAGTTCCTGAAATGTAATAGATAGCGGTCTCTCCCAAGGTACTAGGGCTGACAAGAATACGTGACCAACGAAGGAATGGGTGGATTGTTGTAATTGATATGTTGTATTTCTCATCAATTGTATATCCGCAACTTCCGCAGTGGAATGCGGAAGTATGATAAAGCACAACCAAACATAAACGGTTCATTAGGTTTGTTAAAAATGGAAAAAATGACATTTGAAACAAATAACCTGAGGTTATTATAAGATTTTTCATATCCACCCAAAAGATCATGGGTGCAATTATGCGATTAGACCTAACCGTCTAGTCGGATTTGGCATTTTCACACCCGGATAATCAATCATATCAATTACAATTGATTGGCTAAATTGTCTGTCAATCCTGGAATGCATTTTCTTCTTCAGAATAAAAGCCGATTCGGAAATACTTTTTTGAAATTAGGTTCTGGAAGGAACCGAAAAACGATTAAAGTTTCCGGTTGAACATCTCCGTGGTTCTTAGGTTGGTTCCAGGATGAGAAAGAAAAGAATTTGTTGAATGCTACGAGAGTCATTGCCTCGAACCTACCTAACTGGGCTAATCTATTCATCCAATCATACGGTAGAAGAGAGAAAATGCGGATTTCTGATTTCTAAGCTCATGAAAGATCGACAGGGCAAGGTTGCAATGAAGAAAGATGATATATTTCGTGATAGATAGTCGAGATAGTAAACCAAGTGAGTGGAATCAGTGGATGGATCTTCCCTTGGGGCTTGATCGCTTATTGCCTAGTTCCGGCTTACCTCCCTTATCACCGTCACCGTTACCGCTTTCATCTCCCAACAAACAAGCGGGGGGAAGCTCCTCTTTCTGGATACTAGCTCTACCTAGGCAGTTGCAAGGGGCCATATACCGCACTAGGAAATAGACCTCTTTCGTCATTTGCTACGCTACCGCTACGCTACAACTTTGCCATGGTGTCTTGGTAGCTTACCGTTCGTCATCATTCTTTTCTCGACTACTCGTACTTCGACTCATTAACACTCACAAACTTATTACTCTATACCCAATCCACCATCTTAGCTACCGGTTCTAGAATAAAATACTATTCGTCTAGCTTAATGGGTGTGAAAACCATCGATTTAAGTTACACAATCTTTTGCCAATTTCCAGTTAAATTGTTTCTCTTCTTTGATTGATAAGCTGGGCACAGATCAGAAGCAAAATATGCTGCACCCCCACCACATCCACAATCTGATACTACTAGGTCCATCTCGCTGATAATATTTCACGGTATTCTGCAGTTCTCCCTAGAAGTATTAAAACGGGCACACTAAGCATGCATGAGCCCCCTATATTACTACCCTTTTGATATTTTTGATTTGTCGATTTGTAATCCTTCTCAATATCTGGAGCTAAGTTGATCAATTCGCTAGCACTAGTTTCTAGCATACCTCCAATATATCTTTCTAAGCCTCCCTTGCTTTTATATATATCGAAGGTCTGTTTAAATTTGAATACTTATTCTGTAAACACTCTATTATCCCATTCACGGCACTTTGCGTGCGACCACCGTCAAAATGTTTTATACACATGCTGAGCGGATGTACGCAGAGAGAGCTATCGAGGGACGAGAAGGCGCTCAGATTCCACTCCATTCAGATAACTATCGTGGAGAGCTGGTTCAGCCTCAGGACGGCTCATCCTCAGAGAGCGAGATAAACAATGATGGAACATGGGGAGAAAATGAGCAAGGCGGGCCAGTCAATTGCTCGGCTGCTATGCACGACTACGAAGACTTGCGCCATCAACTCACGGATTTGTCGAGAACTCGTTCACAAAAGAGTGCAGCTACTGCCCGAAAACCATCGGCATTGAAGAGAACTGTAACTAACGCAAGTCGCCGCTCACGAGCGACCGCTGGTGAAGACATAGAGGCACAAGAAGAAGAGGAAAAGCTCGAAGAGGTGGCGGCTGAGGACGAGGATGAATTTGTACTGGGTGACTTTCTCAGAGACGGTCATTTTGAGAAACGGAATACAAGAGGGAGCGCTAAAAAGGTCGGTGTGATATACAAAAACTTGACTGTGCAGGGGGTTGGTGCGACGTCAACATATGTCAAGACTCTTCCATCTGCTATTATGGGTGTAAGTATTTCTCTGTTCCAAATTCACACAATGTCTCAATCTAATTTGTACAATGTAGACTTTCGGACCCGACTTGTACAAGTTATTGACGCGATTCATCCCTGTACTCCCTAGACCTGGGTCTAATGGCCTGAGACGCGATTTAATTCATGATTTTACTGGTTGTGTAAGAGATGGGGAAATGCTTTTAGTTTTGGGAAGGCCTGGCTCTGGATGCAGTACATTCCTCAAAGCTATTTCCAACAAGAGGGGTGATTTCGCTGGAGTCACTGGAGAAGTCTCATATGGAGGTATTTCTGCTGAAGAGCAAGCAAAATACTATCGAGGAGAGGTAAACTACAACGAAGAAGATGATCAGCACTTTCCAAGTCTTACAGTTGAACAAACTTTGGATTTCTCGCTCCTAAATAAGACAAAAAAGCACGAAAAGGGAGATATTCCAACGATAATTACAGCGCTTCTGAAGATGTTTGGTATTTCTCATACGCGTCATACCCTTGTTGGAGATGTGAGTTTTCAATCTCTCTACCTGATTGCGATTTTGAAACATGT